CTCGAATCTCGGATCTCGAATCTCGGATCTTGCATCTCGGATCTCGGATCTCGGATCTCGAATCTCGGATCTCGGATCTCGAATCTCGGATCTCGGATCTCGGATCTCGAATCTGTCCGTTGTCAAGTGCGTTCTGAAAATTTTAGTCAAATTTGATCTCTAATTTTGATTGCTGCTGCTGCCTCTAATAAAGCGAGAAACTAGCAGCCAGACACCTTTTTTAAAACACAGCCGAAACAGCAAAACACCACCCAATTTCGTGCCGAACATGACGGAAAATCAATCACAATATTAAGTTTTCGGGGGCCGAAACGTCCCTTCTGAAATCCTACTAGAAACCAATTTTGTCCAATTTTGATCTCTAATTTTGACTGCTGCTGCTACCTATAATAAAGCAAGAAACCAGCAGCCAGACACCTTTTGTAAAACACAGCCGAAACAGCAAAACACCACCTAATTTCGTGCCGAACATAACGCAAAATCAATCACAATAATAGGTTTTCGGGGGCCGAAACGTCCCTTCTGAAATCCTACTAGAAATCCAATTTTGTCCAATAGAAATCTAATTTTAGTCAAATTTGATTGATCGCTAATTTTGATTGCTGCTGCTACCTCTAATAAAGCAAGAAACCAGCAGCCAGACACCTTTTTTAAAACACAGCCGAAACAGCAAAACACCACCCAATTTCGTGCCGAACATGACGGAAAATCAATCACAATATTAGGTTTTCGGGGGCCGAAACGTCCCTTCTGAACTCCTACTAGAAATCCAATTTTGTCCAATTTTGATCTCTAATTTTGACTGCTGCTGCTGCCTATAATAAAGCAAGAAACCAGCAGCCAGACACCTTTTTTAAAACACAGCCGAAACAGCAAAACACCACCTAATTTCCTGCCGAACATGACGCAAAATCAATCACAAGAATAGGTTTTCGGGGGCCGAAACGTCCCTTCTGAAATCCTACTAGAAATCCAACTTTGTCCAATAGAAATCTAATTTTGTCCAATTTGATCTCTAATTTTGATTGCTGCTACTGCCTCTAATAAAGTAAGAAACCAGCAGCCAGACACCTAATTTCGTGCCGAACATGACGCAAAATCAATCACAATAATATACCAATGTTTATAGTTTTCGACCAATGTTTATACCACTGTTTGTTGCTGCTGTTGCCTCTAATAAAGCGAGAAACCAGCAGCCAGACACCTTTTTTAAAACACAGCCGAAACAGCAAAACACCACCCAATTTCGTGCCGAACATGACGGAAAATCAATCACAATATTAAGTTTTCGGGGGCCGAAACGTCCCTTCTGAAATCCTACTAGAATCCAATTTTGTCCAATTTTGATCTCTAATTTTGACTGCTGCTGCTACCTATAATAAAGCAAGAAACCAGCAGCCAGACACCTTTTGTAAAACACAGCCGAAACAGCAAAACACCACCTAATTTCGTGACGAACATAACGCAAAATCAATCACAATAATAGGTTTTCGGGGGCCGAAACGTCCCTTCTGAAATCCTACTAGAAATCCAATTTTGTCCAATAGAAATCTAATTTTAGTCAAATTTGATTGATCGCTAATTTTGATTGCTGCTGCTGCCTCTAATAAAGCAAGAAACCAGCAGCCAGACACCTTTTTTAAAACACAGCCGAAACAGCAAAACACCACCCAATTTCGTGCCGAACATGACGGAAAATCAATCACAATATTAGGTTTTCGGGGGCCGAAACGTCCCTTCTGAACTCCTACTAGAAATCAATTTTGTCCAATAGAAATCTAATTTTAATCAAATTTGATCTCTAATTTTGATTGCTGCTGCTGCCTCTAATAAAGCGAGAAACCAGCAGCCAGACACCTTTTTTAAAACACAGCCGAAACAGCAAAACACCACCCAATTTCGTGCCGAACATGACGGAAAATCAATCACAATATTAAGTTTTCGGGGGCCGAAACGTCCCTTCTGAAATCCTACTAGAAATCCAATTTTGTCCAATTTTGATCTCTAATTTTGACTGCTGCTGCTACCTATAATAAAGCAAGAAACCAGCAGCCAGACACCTTTTTTAAAACACAGCCGAAACAGCAAAACACCACCTAATTTCCTGCCGAACATGACGCAAAATCAATCACAAGAATAGGTTTTCGGGGGCCGAAACGTCCCTTCTGAAATCCTACTAGAAATCCAACTTTGTCCAATAGAAATCTAATTTTGTCCAATTTGATCTCTAATTTTGATTGCTGCTACTGCCTCTAATAAAGTAAGAAACCAGCAGCCAGACACCTAATTTCGTGCCGAACATGACGCAAAATCAATCACAATAATATACCAATGTTTATAGTTTTCGACCAATGTTTATACACTGTTTGTTGCTGCTGTTGCCTCTAATAAAGCGAGAAACCAGCAGCCAGACACCTTTTTTAAAACACAGCCGAAACAGCAAAACACCACCCAATTTCGTGCCGAACATGACGGAAAATCAATCACAATATTAAGTTTTCGGGGGCCGAAACGTCCCTTCTGAAATCCTACTAGAATCCAATTTTGTCCAATTTTGATCTCTAATTTTGACTGCTGCTGCTACCTATAATAAAGCAAGAAACCAGCAGCCAGACACCTTTTGTAAAACACAGCCGAAACAGCAAAACACCACTAATTTCGTGCCGAACATAACGCAAAATCAATCACAATAATAGGTTTTCGGGGGCCGAAACGTCCCTTCTGAAATCCTACTAGAAATCCAATTTTGTCCAATAGAAATCTAATTTTAGTCAAATTTGATTGATCTCTAATTTTGATTGCTGCTGCTGCCTCTAATAAAGCAAGAAACCAGCAGCCAGACACCTTTTTTAAAACACAGCCGAAACAGCAAAACACCACCCAATTTCGTGCCGAACATGACGGAAAATCAATCACAATATTAGGTTTTCGGGGGCCGAAACGTCCCTTCTGAACTCCTACTAGAAATCCAATTTTGTCCAATAGAAATCTAATTTTAATCAAATTTGATCTCTAATTTTGATTGCTGCTGCTGCCTCTAATAAAGCGAGAAACCAGCAGCCAGACACCTTTTTTAAAACACAGCCGAAACAGCAAAACACCCAATTTCGTGCCGAACATGACGGAAAATCAATCACAATATTAAGTTTTCGGGGGCCGAAACGTCCCTTCTGAAATCCTACTAGAAATCCAATTTTGTCCAATTTTGATCTCTAATTTTGACTGCTGCTGCTACCTATAATAAAGCAAGAAACCAGCAGCCAGACACCTTTTTTAAAACACAGCCGAAACAGCAAAACACCACCTAATTTCGTGACGAACATAACGCAAAATCAATCACAATAATAGGTTTTCGGGGGCCGAAACGTCCCTTCTGAAATCCTACTAGAAATCCAATTTTGTCCAATAGAAATCTAATTTTAGTCAAATTTGATCTCTAATTTTGATTGCTGCTGCTGCCTCTAATAAAGCGAGAAACCAGCAGCCAGACACCTTTTTTAAAACACAGCCGAAACAGCAAAACACCACCCAATTTCGTGCCGAACATGACGGAAAATCAATCACAATATTAAGTTTTCGGGGGCCGAAACGTCCCTTCTGAAATCCTACTAGAAATCCAATTTTGTCCAATTTTGATCTCTAATTTTGACTGCTGCTGCTACCTATAATAAAGCAAGAAACCAGCAGCCAGACACCTTTTGTAAAACACAACCGAAACAGCAAAACACCACCTAATTTCGTGCCGAACATAACGCAAAATCAATCACAATAATAGGTTTTCGGGGGCCGAAACGTCCCTTCTGAAATCCTACTAGAAATCCAATTTTGTCCAATAGAAATCTAATTTTAGTCAAATTTGATTGATCGCTAATTTTGATTGCTGCTGCTACCTCTAATAAAGCAAGAAACCAGCAGCCAGACACCTTTTTTAAAACACAGCCGAAACAGCAAAACACCACCCAATTTCGTGCCGAACATGACGGAAAATCAATCACAATATTAGGTTTTCGGGGGCCGAAACGTCCCTTCTGAACTCCTACTAGAAATCCAATTTTATCCAATTTTGATCTCTAATTTTGACTGCTGCTGCTGCCTATAATAAAGCAAGAAACCAGCAGCCAGACACCTTTTTTAAAACACAGCCGAAACAGCAAAACACCACCTAATTTCCTGCCGAACATGACGCAAAATCAATCACAAGAATAGGTTTTCGGGGGCCGAAACGTCCCTTCTGAAATCCTACTAGAAATCCAACTTTGTCCAATAGAAATCTAATTTTGTCCAATTTGATCTCTAATTTTGATTGCTGCTACTGCCTCTAATAAAGTAAGAAACCAGCAGCCAGACACCTAATTTCGTGCCGAACATGACGCAAAATCAATCACAATAATATACCAATGTTTATAGTTTTCGACCAATGTTTATACCACTGTTTGTGCAATGAGACATAGAACCCTCCTGTTGCTCCTGTTGCTGCTGCTGCTCATGGCCACCACTTGAAACGCTGAAACGCCACCTAATTTCGTGCCCAAAACGCTCCAAAATCGAGCCCAAAAAGTGCCTAACGTCCCTTCTGAAATCCTAGAAAAAAAAAGAACTGCCTTTGTGATGATAACCGTCTTGTCAAACACCTTCTATTTCCTCCTGCTGCTGCTGCTGCTCCTGCTCCTGTGACTCCTTCTGTTCAAAAGGCACCTGCCGGATGGGAAAACACCATGGCAGTAGTAGTAGTAGTAGTAGTAGTAGTAGTAGTAGTAGTAGTAGTAGTAGTAGTAGTAGTAGTAGTCCGAAACAAGAGTCAAAAGTATTATTCCCTGGCACGCTCCCCCTTGCGTCTGCCGGGGTCGGCGGATATTGACTGCTGGCTACTGGCTGGGTGCTGCTGTCTTATTCCCTGACGCGCTCCCCCTTGCGCAGCCGGGGTCGGCGGATATGGGCCGTTGGGGTATATACCCTCCAAATAACCATCGAATTTCGGCCTGGAATTGCCTCCAGCTCAGGTGGCCTATCCTTGTGCACCTACAGAGGCCCGCCCATGTTGAATGGAGAAATCATGAGAAATCGAGGATCCCTGGAAGCCACGGAGTTTTTCACATGGTTTTTATTGGAGGAAACAATCATCACATCAGTTTCCTGGTGACTGATTTGAAAGAGGATAGCCAAGGGGATATCTGATGTCTTACAAGCTTTGCTTTCATCTGCCAGTGCCAGGTTGCATTCGATGTGAATCCAAATCCCAGTTTTTTCTGAGAGGGTTGCAAGCAGCCTCGACACTGCAGAAATGCTGCGGAAAACGCCGAGGGATTTCTTTTAAGATCGCATGGCCGGAAGTTTCTGTCAAAATTTCAGGTCAGTTTGGAGACTTTCAACAATTGGCTAAACTCCCAGAGTTTGTCTCAACAGATTTAGCAAACGACCCCAAAATCACGCGCAGAAAGCCGAGTTCCATCCATCCCCTGCTCCTCAATGGGTTTGCTCGTGGCCATTGAAGCTGCTAGGGTTACGACGTTGTATGTTTTAAAGTTGATTATACTGCTGGACATCTTGATTCACCATCATTTTTTTTCGATTCATCAATTGATTACCTGAAAAATACCAAACTACATCGAGGTCTCACCACGCTGCACTTAGATGAGCAGGTTCGTTTCGATTTTTGAAGGGGAACATTTAGGCATAGTCAACAGATGTCAACAGCAGAACAGCTCCAAAACACTACGCTGGCTTCGGACCGCTGGATGAATTCGCTGTACGCACGACCTTCCCATTGAGCTCGGTACAAGACCGCAGTGGAGGCAGGGGAAGGTAAGCGCTGGCACCTAGCTAGTTCATCCAGTTCATTGATATTTAAATTAGACACAATTCGTTGAATTTCGTTGACATCTACAGACTTCTATCAATTTGTTGAGAGGCCAATCCAAACCAAATGGTGTACTTTCTTCATTGCAACAGCTGATATAGATTGATATTGCTATCGATCCTCTGTCCGACAGGCATTGCAATGTCCATGATTAAGTCCTTGTTCGCCAAGTTTGGGCCCCAGCCCGTCCCGGGTTCGGCGTCCAAGGGGAAGCCGAGGCAACGGCCCATGGCAACAGCCCATGGGGACGATGGGGAAAAGTGTCAAGATCCACCTGAGATTTTTTTGCATAGTTTATATTATGTTATATTTAATATTATTTAATTATATTTATATAGTTATAGTTCTTCCATCAGAATTCTACGAGAATTAGTTGTTTCTAAGTCTGTTCAAGACCCATGTTCATTTGACGATAGAGAATTGAGTCCCCAGTGATCTCTTCTGGCTCCGAGCTCCGTTGGAGTCTGAGGTGTGCCGGCTTCTCGGGTGGAATCATCAGCGGGAACAGCGAGTTTCCACAGTTTCTGATCTTGGGCCTGGAAAGATCCGGCAAAACCACCTTGCTCTACAGGCCGGCCGGGCCTACCTGGGTATGCCTGGGGAAAGGAAGTCAAAGGAGACCAAAGGCCAAAAAAACGTGAGGACACCAAGGAAATCAAGGAAATGTGGGTTGGGTTGGATGAGGAGCCGAACTCGTTTTTCTTGGAGATGGCTACTAATCTTCGAAACGTAGCCGAGCTGCTTCTAGGAGGAGAACAGTTGGACATGAAAGTCTTGGGTCAGAAACAAAACATGATCAAAAGATAGGAATCCTTCGTGTCTACTTTTGGATCATGATCAATGCATTATTTTTAAAACGTCCCCAAGGACAACGCATGGCTTTGTCACCACCTCAACGCACCTTTTTTCGCCACCGGGGCAGGCTGAAAATTGGTTCTGGATGGCAAGACATCAAGGCAGATATGGAGCGAATGAGGCAACCCAATGAAGATGGACACTTGGGCCTGGCAAATGTTAACTCCCAAGGACACCATTGCAATGGATACAGTACTAACAGAAAGGTTGTCCGCACATAGGATTTTCATGACCAGGTTAGATTACCAACGGATGTGGGGTTTCACCCCAAGAACAGGGAAAGAAACTGAACTGAACTGATGGATTGATCAAATAGGGTTGCAGGATGTCGCAGGTATGCTACCCCCATGTTGCATAAAACGTGACTGTTGGACCACCAATTCCTTTCAAATTTTGATGATATGGATATATGGGGAAGCTGTTGAAGGCACTGTTGCAGCCCCAAGGAAAGGTGGAGGATCCGGGATATCACTACGAGGACAGTGGGGAGCCTTGGGGCGCTACGAATTGAGTTTCCCACATGTTCGTCAAATCAATGTAAATGTGTCCCCTTGGGACAAATTGTGGTTGTAGCGAACCATAGTCGCTGCACCCTTGAAATAGATTGGTTCAGGATGGATCAGGACATGGTCCGGTTTTGGCTGGTATGGATGGTTTCAATCATGGATTGCCAATCTGATTCTCCAGTCCAGCCAGATTCCAACCAGAATGAAGAAAACCAAGTGGGATAGACCCGGATATCTGGCAATATCATCCAGTCAACTTTTGGGCCTTTTGGGATTGGGATGGAATGTGACTGGGTTATTCAGTACCCTAAACCCCATCTGTTGCTTAGTAGAGAATGATCTGTAATGATCTATAATATTCTTTAATATTCTATAATATTCCATGATAACTGTTATAATAACTATTATAATAACTGTTATAATAACATTTAAGAATCATCATCCCGTTCCCTCATTCCCTAAGCACTTCCGTAAGCCAATTTCACTTCGCTTCCCTGGGAAAAATGGCGGCGGAAGGAGCTGAGTCGCTTCTTCTCGGTGGGTGTTTGGGAAGTGCCCGGCACAGAAGCCATGAGGCGCCGGGCTACCAGCCAGTTATGACTATTGTAATGGGGAACATGTGGGGAAAACGTGGGGAAAATGATGGAACATGAGTGTTTAACATCGCTTGAACCTGATCATATTTTGAGGCCTATTAAACTATTTTCAGGTAAGTCTCGGTTGTTCGAAACAAATGATACCATGTTTGAGCCTACGACCTGACACCATTTCGATATCTTGATGTGTTTTTGATTGTTGGGGGATATATGTTAGTCTTTTTGTTTTCTTGAACGGCTGCTTCTTTTGATGCCAGAGTTTGTGGGGACCAGATAAGAATATATGGGTATTGGGGGGTTGTAAAACTGCCATTCTAAGACCTTGGGACTCACAGATTTCCGGTCAGTTTGTACTAAATTCTGAGCCATATCCAAATGTGACCATGCATAACTCCAGCAATCCCATTGTGGGTTGATATATGTTGGTATCCCCTTGGCAAACATTTCACTTCAGGCTTCATTCAGCCGAGGGTTCTGCGGGAGGCATCTGTGGAAGCTCTTCTACCACTCCATCAAGATCCATTGTGTGATCTTCGTGGTGGACGGAGCGGAGAGCGAAGACAGGCCCGGAACGCACTTTTTGAAGCGCGACCGACGGTTTTTTAACACGACTGGTTTCAGAGTCAAACACAGTTGCTTGGGTTTCCAAGGATTTCATAGATTTTTGAGGTCAGAGTCTTGATTTGGTGAAGTGTTTACCCTCTGGTAAACTAACATAGCTATTGAAAATCACCATTTTTAATGGGAAAACTCACTATAAATGGCCATTTTCAATAGCTATGTTAAATTACCAGAGGGTAAGTTGATCCAATCCAATCTTCAAAGATCTTCAAACCGTCAACATTTTTGGCAGGATCGATGTGGCCAAACGGCACTTGCACGTGCTCATGAATGAGGCACGAGTGGCCAGGGGCGGGCGAATGTTTCAGACGACCCATCAACTTCCTCAAGAATGTCATGGTTTGGCTACAAAAATCTATGAAGTTGCTGGAGGGCCAGAATTATTGCAGACTCAGAAAAATCGAGCAATCCAAATAATCCAAGTTTGATTCGCAAGTGTAGATGAAGTGGAGACAGCAAAGACCACTGATGCGCGCGATGCAGCGTTCAGCAGAGATTCTGACCTGTGCTTTTTCGTCTATGTTGTAAGACACACACGCGCACACACACACAAATGCATTTTGAAGCATGGGTTGGTGCTGAAATCCGAACAGATACTGAATCTACACTTATATGACTCATATATACACTGGTCACATCTAGAAGAGTTTCTTTAGTAAGGTATAGATGTGTGCCGTTTCATTTGATGATTGACGTTGAGCACGTGCATTTGCTTGAGGCTGAGCTGAGGAATACCTGTTTCTGTGTGGGGACCTCATGGGCTGTCGGTGAGACCCTATGGATATCTATGGATGCTGAATGTGTACAAGGGCTGGGGCTGGGATTGACCCTATCTGGGCGTGAACTGGGTGTGGATCGGAAAATGATGGAAAATGGTGTATACCAAGTTTACACATGTTTACACCGGTATATCGGTATATCCCAAAATAACCACTTGAACGGGAAGATGGATGATCAATCAGTAGATTTTGGGCTACCTTATTTCTAGACAAAGCCATCTATAGAACGGATGAGAACTATCAGTGAACATCCGGGTGACATAAGACATCCAGGTGACATAAGGCTGCTTCAAGCTTGAGGTTTTCATGTAGAATGCACCATCAGAGTATCACCTGCAGTGCCCATGATTCGACATGTTTTCTTTGAATACTACGCACTTCATCACACTTCACCGTTTTCCTGTTGGTTTCCTGCTATTTAGTTTGCACGGCAATGTCATCTCCAGTCCCTGCTTGATGCATGGTGCGCCCAACTAGTGACAATTTGCTACTCAAATGCTACCACCCCAAACATTGAGACCCGGAGGCCAGGAGACCCCATGAATTCAGGCTTGACATGTTGGACTCATATCATTTCAACCTACCAAGCTTCAAGCATTTGCTCACTGCAGAGTTCCAGGTGGTGATCAATCAGAGACTGGATGACAAATTAAATCCGGTGGACCCAGCAGCTTTGGCGGTTGCTGGCTTTGTTTGAAGATGTAGGGTAAAAAGCACAAGAATTGCTGGTGCATCAATTTTCATCAATTTTCACTCTTAGTACCATTTTGGGTATGCCCTGTTGAACAAAGCCAACTAGTGGCCGGAATGGACCCATACTGAACTGGTGATTTGGTTGAAACTCACCACCATTGGCTGAGATGATGTAAGCAGTGTGTGTTTGTCTCGCGGACTCTTGCTGCCTTGTATTTCTCTACTTCTTCACATTGATCCAACCATCTTCAGAATTCTCACGGTGCATCCCAACACCTTCGATTCAATGTTTTTCTCTAACTCAGACTCAGATTCACATCACTTTTCATGTCACGGATTCCGCTTCGGCCAGGTCTATGATGAGAAGGAAGACGTGCTGAAGTACAAGTTGGGGTTGCACGAGCTGCATCCCTCTATCGACTGGAGAACCAAGCACTTCATCATTAACATCCTGGAGCTCAAGGGCGAGCCACCCTGACCTGGTTGGATCCTGAAGCCGGTGATCAATACACAACCAGGGACCAAAGCTTAAGGCAAAGATGGGAAAATTGAACAGAAAACTGTGATGATCCATGCTTTGTCTCCGGCCAAATTGAACCTGAGCACCTGAAAAAAAAACATGTTGCAACATCTTACAGCATATTGGGTACTGTATCTTACCCAACTAAAGTAAAATTCCTATTTTTCGAAAGACAGCTGCCAGGTCTGACAAAGAATGGGCGCAGGTGATGATGTTCGCCAAGGCCATCCGCGATAAACATCGATAAACTCCATGGAGGGAGTGAGAAGTGACGGGGAATTTTTCACCAGATCGGAAAACCACCAACCAAGTATATGATATTTGATACCATTATTATTATGGGATTATTCAATAACCATTATTATGGGGTTGTTATGGGATTATTATTATCTACCATGATATACTGGGAAAACTATGGTATAATATGGTTTAATGGTGGTTTAATGGTGATTAATGGTGAGTAATCATGGTGATTAATGATAAATTAACTGGTTGGTGGTGACTGGAACATTTTGTATTTTCCCCAATAGTTGGGATGATGATCCAATCTGACTAATATTTTTCAGGGGGGTTGAAACCACCAATTGGTTAAATATGGGACCTTGAACATATTTACCCACTGAAAAAATTGTGCAATTGTTTCTTTCTTCACCAGACATGTAAATCATCAGAGATGCCATGCTCATCCCAAGTCCGAAGCTGTCTTGACATTGCATTCGGAACAGAACTCCCATTGGATCCTATAATTATATAGGTGGATTTCCAGTTGATTCCATGTCAATCTGAGAACATTTCACCAACCATTTTTCAGTTTGGGGATGATCCTATGGTGTAAGTCGACACAGCACCTATGAGCCTCTGGTAAACTAACGGTAATTATATGGAAAGATCCACCATTTTTAATGGGTAAATCCACTATAAATTTTATAATGGGCCATTTTCCATATGTTAGTTTACCGGAGGTTTTTTTTTCTGCTGAATTTCTGATTGGCTTTACCATGCCAAGCCCCAGGAAATTCTCTCCAGTGGGAAGGGCTTCGGATTGAAACTCTGATCGCCACAGAACGGTGAGTTCAACAGTGAAGCTTAGAACATCACCATAAGGGGAGATCAGTAGTGTTCATCAGTATATCATAGTATATCCTAATATTCAGTCTACAAGAAAACAGAGAGTCTATACAAGAATACATTGACGATTTATTGTGTTTGACAATCTTGAAAGTTTCACCATGTCAGCCCTGTTGAGACGTGCTGAAGAAAAGGCCTTGGCTTTCTTCTTGCCTTGATATTGCAACTGATTACTGGTTGATGGTTTGGAACATCTGGATTATTTTTCCATATATTGGGAATGATAATCCCAACTGGCGAACTCCATCATTTTTCAGAGGGGTAGGTCAACCACCAACCAGGATTACTCTCAGCAATGGATGCCTTGAATCATCACAGACGCCAGATGCCTTTGCCTCGACTTTTCATCCGCTGCCAGTTTCGTTTCGTGTCGTGGCGCCTAGGTGTCAACAGCAGTGCAGCTGAAAATCAACGTGGCAATAACTTGCAGGTGATTTGATTTACCACAACCTCAGAAGATACTTCCGCAAGAATGAAAAAGTCATTTTTACCGAGGCAATGAAGTGTTTGAAACAACATACAACATATATGTTCAATCAAATTCGACTCAAATTCATTGATGTTCAGAAACATTCAAAAACTTGAAATCACTTGAAATCTGGGCATTTTTCCTACATCTTTCATAGATTTTCATCCATTTTTCATATCATTTTTCATCCATTTTCAGGTCATCACCAGCTCCCTCCGACCCACCGTGGGCCCCGAACCGGCCATGGCTCGGGCGCAGTCGCAGCAGTTGCCGCAGCGTCCTCCTGCGGAGCCCCGCGCGCAGACGAGCGACGGGGCGCGGGAGAGGAGTCCGTCGCCGCACACCGAGCCACTCGGCGGTGGGGCCGTGGGAGTTTTTGGGGATCCCCAAAAAACCAACATTTTTGGGGGGGATTTGACAGTAGCCCATCAAATGATGGGTTAATGATGGTTAATGGATTGGTTTAAGGGAAAATCTTAACCGGAAACCATGGGTTTTACCATCAAATTGGTTGGGGGTTCCGGTTAAAATTTTCCCATCATCCAATTCTGTGAAAAAAACCATCATTGTTTTGGGGGGGATTTAGGTGGATTTGGACAAACTTACTGGTGCTAAACGTAGGGAATGAATGGGTTGCTGGGGGTTGCTGGGATTATGATTGATAGTGATTATGGAATTATGAATCATTCCCGAAAATTCCCTGCGTTTAGCACCAGGAAGAAAACCATCATTTTTGCGGGATTTAGGTGGATTTGGACAAAGGATGAAAAAAACGCCATCATTTCTTTGGGATTTTGGAGAGATGTCCAAAGCCGTTTTTTTTTGGGATTTAGGTGGAACATCTATAAAACATATGTATGTTAAAGAATGAGAATGATGAAACTTTCAGAAGATTCTACAAACATGATTTTATGAGGACATTTCATGGGAATTTCAATAACAGAAAATTCATTGACAAAAACCAGTAAACATAATAAACATAACTGGTTAAATACCCCATTAACTAATGGTTTATCAATGGGGTATTTAACCATTAATTAATTTTAACCAGTAAACCAGGAAACCGTTAACTTAACCAGGAAACATAGATACCATACTGAGCCAAGATATGTGAGTGAAAAAAATAAAGACGTCACCACGAGGTCGACAGAAGACGGTTATATAATATCACTATATATATATTGATTTCCTAGTCCTTTTCCCTATGATACATTAAATTTCCATTCTAGAATCTTCCAGACACCCTGTTTGAGTGGATGGATCAAGATGTTTTTGGGTCCCTTCTTGAGGGTATGTTAACAAAAATGAGACACATGATCAGATATTGAGAGGCAAGTCAAAAGATGCAGAGATCAAAAAAAAATGAACTAGGAATTTTGCAACTCAGGATTCAAACATGAAAAGTGCATCAAAAAACAGCAGCCCAACAAAAAGCGGGAATGATGCTGGTTTGCCTGGGATCATGTTTGGAGATTATGATTATGATGAATGATAATCTGAAATATTCTGTCGTGAGTTTGTATCATTTGGCATCACTACACCGCGATGTTTTTTGTGTGAGAGTTTGATCCCTCAACAAGTGTGATGAAAGAATAAGAAACGAAAAGAGACACGAATCAGTGACAATGCTGCCATCCTCCAACATATGTTGCGATAACCCTCTCGCAATGGAAAATCCATCCCCACATCGATCCCATGAGACTTGACCATGACCATATTTTTTGGGATAAACATCCATTGGCCAACTATTTTGAAGTTCAAGTAGCATGGTGACTTGACCCGAAGCCATTTGATCAGCATGGTTCCATAGATCCACCATGTTTGTTGATGTTTTTTTCCTTAAAAGTTCTGTATATAGGGGCTTTCCTGGCTAGTCCTGTTTGATTATCGCAGGGTAAACCCTGTAAATATGGTACCTCATGGTTTCGACAATCATGTTCATCCTATTTTTTGATGGCCATATAATATTTGATATCACAACTGTGGTTGTTTGATGTTGTCTGTTCCAATTTGGAAACCATTCTTCAACCGCATGAAATTGTGAAGTTCACGAGCTACAGAAAAACCCGATCCAAGGAACCATTTTTGGGTGGTATTTGGAGGGTCTAGAATCATTAAAAAAAAGACATGTACCATATTACTTTGCTATTACCATCGCCATAGGTATATTATATTACTATTATATAATATTCGCACTAGTAATGGAACCAGTATATCATAGCAATCTATAACAAAATGGTCATGTACGCTAATAATAAAAGTACTAAAAATATATCCTACAGAGCCATTCATCCCGTAGCCATAGTAACGGAGAATTATATAGATAAGTATATACTTTCACTATATTACTATATTACTATCACAGTAGGTATATTACCACTATATGATAGCGATAGTAAGTGCCATTCAAAGATAATTCAATAGTTAATATAGCAAAAGTATTGTTCCTATATTAACTGACCATAGATATTAGTACCCTTTGGTTATTTAACATAGCCATGGAAAATCACCATTTTAATAGGTACACCATCTATAAAGGGGTCATTTTCCATAGCTATGTTAGTCATAACAAGGGGGTATATACCAATATATCCCTTTTATATTCTATGGTTGGTTCATAAGCTCATCACCTCGTGATGCTATGATAATCTATGATATTTGTAACGGGATAATCACATAGCATGGTAAATTACTATTAATAACGATATTAGGATATCATTATTGGTAATTCACCACCGATAATGATTTATATCCCTCATAGTTGGTTGATTAAAACATATTAAAGCCTCATGTGTCTATAACAGTATCACTGGGAATTCACCACTATTATATATATATATATTATACCAACCATTATATTACTGGTAACATCTCGGTATACTACTATTAGTTCACCAGCGATACTGTTGTACCAATTGATAATATATCTCCACATATTCTATTTATTAGTTGACCAACCATTATACCCTGTGGTAAACAAACATAGCTATTGAACATGGCCATTTATAGTTGACTTACTTACTAAAAATGGTGATTTTCCATAGTTATGTTAGTTTACCAGAGGGTATCTCAACCCGAATTGCGGTTAATTAAGACCTAATATTTATATAACAGTATCACTGGTAATTAACCACTATCAGTTAACCAACCATTATACTTTTGTATCAATTGATCGTATATCTATCTATGCATATATTCTATATATAATACATATCAACCACTATTATATCTCTATTATTAAAACCACTATTATATATCTATATTAACAAACCATTGTACTGTTGTACCACTTGATAGTATATCATAGTATATCTCTATATATTTTCATGAATTAACCAACCATTATATCTATCACTGGTAATATCTCTGTATATGAACCACTATTAGTTGACCAACCATTATGTAAATATAATACCATAATGACTGGTGACCATTATTGTAATGGCCATATTAACCACTATTAATTAAGGTATTATCAATAATTAGCTATTATATTCTATTATTAACCACCTATTATCTATATTAACCAACCACTATATATTTATTAACCACTATCATATATCTATATTAACCACGATTATTAGCCAATAATAGATATATAGATAATACCATAATGTCATATTAGATTGGCCTATATAGATAATATAATACCTCTATATTTACCTAATTAACAGCTATATAGCCAATATTATTATATATCCATTATTAGCCACTATTATAGCCACTATTATAGCCAATATAATACCTCTATAGATTTTTAGCCACTATTATATATCTATTGTATATCCATTATATATATATAATACCATAATGGCCATAGCTGCCATGATCCCAGGTGGCAGGGTCGGATTCTAGATGAGCTGGCTGTGAACTCTCGACGTGGCGGAGGATTGCCCGTGCCGCACTACAAGCTGCTTGCTGAAAGGTGGTAAATACCGGGTAAATATAGTGTTGTGTCCCTGATGTTTCAAATTTTTAGTTGGTTTTTCCCTGAATTTAGATGTTTTTACTATGTTTTGTTGTTATTTTTTCCCTGAAGTTGCATGGTTCTAATGTCTTTCTTTGATTTCGACGATTTAGTGTTTGTTCCACTGACTTTCGATGATTCTAGTGAGAACATATTTTTTCAGCCCAAAAAATGTTGAAACGATGGGCATTGACCACTTGGACCTGACTGGTGTAGTGAGCAGCCAAGAATGGGGATGTGACCACCCAACCCACAGATGGCCTGAGAGGCCCACCAAAAGGGCTAGTCCGGCTAGTGATGCAAAACAGACATATGAGACATATTGAAGGGTCAAAACCTCTCAGAGCACATATATATATATATACATATATATGTAATTATATATATATACATAGTTTGGGGATGAACATCCATCTACCAGCTATTTTTTTAACATTTTGGTGTTCACCGGGGTAGGTATCAAGGTTTTGACCGCCACATGACATGGTGAAAATGGTGGCATCCCTGAGTCGCTGAGGCGTGAGTTGGAACCCTTCAGTAGCCACACCTTTGATGCGTCCAGCACGGCATCTGGACCTGGCTTCAATCGTTCAGTGGGGTACATTGTCGTGATGATTACCCTCTGGTTATGTCAAAATAGCCATTGAACATGGCCATTTATAGTGGGTTTTCCCATGTAAAATGGTGATTTTCCATAGTTTGTAAACGTTTACCAGAGGGTAATATCAATGAATGATCATTATCATTGATAATGATTTGACAAGCCAGAATGATTGAAAGACATCATTTTCCAACAACACAATATGGTCAAGCATTTCTTTGATTCCTGCTGGAGTTGCGCGAGCAGGCATGATTTCTGCTTGTCACCCGAGGATTGCAGTGATGGAAAAGCTCCACAGGACCTGGCGCCTCACAGATGCATGCCTTACTCGTCACGAGTTTCAACACTTCATGTTATGCCAGCGAGATTTTGACGATTTTGATCCCCATGGAATTGTCATGAGCATATTTCTTGGTCCAGTGGCTCACCAAGAGGAAACTCCAGGCCCATTCGCCCATTCCAGATCCACATCCACTCCAGGAGGACTCCATGGCATTGGAATCCAAGAAATCCAATGCCCGGGAAGCACCGAGTTCACTTGGAACTTGGCTTCCCGATGTCTCAGAGGCCGCCGCCTTCCATTTTTAACACCGCCGGTGTTGAAGATGGGATCCATCTGGTTGATCCTCCACGATCTGGTCATGTGAAAAGATGAATCCCCAGGTGAACTCCCACGTTCCAACGGTGGTGAAAGTCCCCCGTTGGTGATCCCCACAGTTGGCTTGTTGGCCTGGGAAATTTTCAGATTTGACCAGGTGATCTCTCGTTTGAGAGCTGGTGCTGAAGGTTTCTCCAGCACAGAAATGGAGCGAATCCAAAGTGCATTCCAACGCTTCAAGGACCAATCAAGACCTGCCCGGCTGCCAGGGGTTTTCTCTTAAAATTCTTAAAAGATGGGAAAGCTCAAAATCTGGTGTATCATCCTGTTCCCATGAACATACTAAAAACATGGGAGTATCCCCGAGTTTTAGACAAAACCTATGGCTTCAAGTCTGTGAATTGCAGATTCATGGCCGATAAGTTAGACCGCTTTGGTGGGAATCGCTGCGAGGTGGATGCTGCTGAATTTGGGTGCCATAAAACTGCGTGTTAAAAAAGACTTCTCCTGATTTATTACCCTCTGGTAATTTAACATAGCTATTGAAAATCACCATTTTTAATGGGAAAATCCACTATTGATGGTCATTTTCAATAGCTACGTTAAATTACCAGAGGGTACCAAAAAAGGGCACATAAAATGAACGACCTCGAAACTGCGATGCCCAAATCGATTCTTCCCGTGTGTTTTTCATTTCCTGCTTAAGATCTGCATCTTTCGGCATCACTTTCCGTGCTTAAAATTTGGTTGCGCCCCTCAGAGGACCCGGACAATCCGGAGATTCACAAAGATGAACTTCCAAAGGCGGGACAGAAATGCAATGACAACATAGGGAACACGAGAGAGCAGCACAGGTAACGTGCTCCATAGCCATGATGCTGCCATGTGGGTGCAGGTCTTGATGCACTTGGGATACACGCAGATCAGTGAGGATCATGTCAAAGAATTGGCTGACAGCATTACCAGCAGCTTGGACAAGCCCTGGGGGGTTTTACTGGCCCAAAAATCTGCTGGGCTCCAGGCTCCAGATGGGTGGTTTCATGATCTGGAAAAATGATAAAAATGTATGTGTTATGTCTGAACATGGAGGAGATTTCAATGGCATGGCCATCCAAATAATGGGGATGATTGGAGGGGTTTGTTCTAAACCATAACCATTGGATTCGGGTGTGCCTATTTTGAGACATGCCCATATGAATGGGAATGGGAAATGCAAATGACTCCCATGTTTCCGAGGGGGCTCAAGCCATCATTTTTTGAAGTAGAACATGTCCCATGAATGGATTCTGCCCAACACCCAGGAAGGGTTGACGATGGCAATTTTCCAGGTCTAATTTTTGGATGTTCCAATTCCCACATGATCGCTTGCATCCGCCTGCCAACTCATCGCCCAGAATTTCCCAACTTGGAGAAGGGCGAATTCATCTACTTCATGGAGAAGCACGTGGAGTACGAGTTTGATGCATTCAAAGAAATCTTTGAGAGGTTTGATGAGGATGGTCACTTGGCAGCTCTAGCTCACCTCACCAGCCGGAGAAAACTGGCGGATTTTTTTGGGTGCCTTTGCCCGTGGCCTAGGAATATATCTTTGTTTTCATGGACCCATACCACCCAGTATCCAGTTTTCCTGCTATGATTCATGGCCAGAGGTTTGTAGTATCCCCATACTGAGGGAACAGCCCTCAGAGAGGGATCAAATAGCTTTGTGAATTAGTGCTGTTGGCTCAATCCCCATCTCCAGCTCCTGCTTAGACCTGGTTCAAATCCAAGTGTTTTATTAAAACCCTGCCACTGAGATTGTTCCATGTTCCAGCAATCCATTGATCAAAGATCTGGTGATGTGTGTTTCCCATATTTTTTCCCCACGTTTTCCGAGGCAATGGCACCTTAGACGCGGACGAGTTGTGCGTCTTTTTGTCATCCTTGGGTTTCACCCCACTGCGCAGCATCATCCGCGAATCCCTCGATCTGGTGGATCTGGACCACAGACGGGGGATGACGGGAATGGAGAGCGACCTGCTATCCTCTGACCATTTGTTGGTCATGGACAATCCGCATTTTTACGAGGTAAATGGGCCATGGATGGCCATGGTCCATAGCTATTGGAAGGCAAAACAAGTGTCCTTTGTGACACAATTGCGAGGAAACTACTGATATTTGTTCCCTCTTTTTCTCACTGAACAACCCATCGCTGGGAGGATGGAAACGGCGTTCTGGACTTTGAAGAAACGGTGATCTTGATGCATGTTTACAGGTGGGAACTGGGCGACGGTTTTGTGCCGTCCGAAAAAGGACTGGGTGGGGGAGCATTCCCCGTTGCTGTCGCTGATGAAGCCACAAAGTTGTCGAACCTGAGATTCTATACTGTACAGTATCCTTTCTGATGAGGTACTGTGGTAAACCCAACGAGAAACCATCCCCATCCCCATCCCATCTTTTAACTGGAAATCGGTGATGCGGCCTATCCAAACTCGTGGAGGTTTGGGGCATCGGGTTTACCGGTTTACCTCCAATTTCCTTCAATTGATAGGTATCTGAACTCGCCATTTTTCCCATGAAAAATGGTTATTTCCCATGAAAAATGGTGATTTCCCATGACAAATGGTGATTTTCCCAATGAACAGATTCAACACTCAGGGGTTTTTCAGGGGGGCACTCCCTTCACCCCTTCACCGAGGACGTTTGCCATCTTTTACCCACATGTTTTGGGTCAAGTGAGGTACCCATATAAGTTGCCTCATGGGCGCCTCCAATTTGGGCGATTCATGGTACCCTGGTACCCCCCTAATCTCCAACACCTCCAACATAAGGGACCCAATTCAGATTAAACCAGAAACATACTAAACCATCAATTAATATGACAATTAAGCAATCATGGAATATATGATAGCATGATTCTCATATATTGATGGTTACTCATATAATAATTATAGTGCATTCTATTCTATATAGTGTAATGATAGAATAGAATAGACTACACTATATGTTACACTATATGTACTGCATCAATCCAGGACCAAAGCAGAATACATTCCACCTGCGTCTTTCTTCAGGGATGACTTCTGGTAACTTCCAACATTTTTTCCCAGCGCTGATCCCGACTCATTCATATCCCATATATGATCATATATGTTAAGTGGCGGTACCCAATAATGGGCTACCATAATACATGGGATAATGGGATATATTATCAACAGATTATGGATATGTTAGGTTTACTTATTATAATGTGGTAAACCCAATAATAAACCAACCCCAATATCATCAGAAATATATATAGATGGTATACACCTCCATAACTGGAGGTTATGGCACTGGCTTTACCACATTGTTCCATATATATATCTCAAATTTACATCCCATTAATATCTTAATACCATATGGGTATATGTCAGAATTGGGTACCACAACAATTACAGTAGCTGATTAGTAATAACAATATAATAACATATACATTCCAATCTGTGGTCCCACAGGGCTTGTGGTCCCACAGGGCTTGTATAAATCCTCAAATTTGGACTCATCCCATTATATCAAGATATCATTGGTTGCCATTGATACCATTATAGGATACCAATATCCCATGAACATCACAGGAATCTCCAATATACCATGAATTAGGTGCATTTTCATATCCCACATATATAAACAAATATAAAAATAACAATATATCCCATTATCCATAGATAATGGCATATCCATTCATCCATTCATATCCCATGTCTCTATCCTATCGGTCTCTTCCATGACTCCCCCAGCCAGGCATTCGGAGGGCTTTACCATCGACGAACTGCAGGAGTTGACCACGGTCTTCATGGAGCAGCAATCAGCGCCTCGCCATCCGAGGATTCAGATGCTGATTCGTTGACAACACCAGGCAGTGTTCAAAAACCGAGGACGCCGGGCCTTTTTGGAAGATGCCTTAAATCTTTATGGTCATTTGGTATGTCAAATCTTTGTGATTCAGAATTTTCAACACCTTTTCGCAGGCTGCTCAGACGAATGCAAAGTCAACTGATGAGAGGCTGGAGTGGCAAACGGGGCAAAGCCAGCAACACGGGCAGTGCTGTTTTTTTTGTGCTTTCGTTTGTATTATCTCATGTTGAGTAAGTATGTGAGATGATGAACATATTTGGGGATTGTTAGCAAAGCCTCTCAAAGAGTCTGCACGAAGCAGATTTGTTACTATGTTCGAAACACATGTGTCATTATTTAAGATTGGCACTTGCCTCTCAGCCTGTGCCCAAATTTCCTAATGTTTTCCTGGAGATTGTGCTAAAAGTCATGCCGCTGTTTGTTTCCATCATTTGGTGTCGATTGTGACAACTGTGCGTAGGCTTCTTCCTGCAGACCGCCTGTACCATTTGCTGCTTCAGTTCTTTGGGTCACTTGGCTGTTGATGATTTACTCTCCTGAATATTGACGAACACCTCAAAAATGAGCAAATTTTGTTGGAGGTGTATGTTAAGATTCGGGTAAATATGTTAAGAATCTGAGGTGTAGGTTGGTGAAAATTTTGCAGGAAAATTGGGTGCTCTGGAAGGGGTCATGTTAAGGAAAACAACTTATCTTCGCAGCATTTGGTGGTCAAACACGCGACCTTGGCAGCCATGTTGGCAGTGCCTGAACGTCGCGTGACTGGCAAGTCACCCCCTGACAGAAACACTGATTCTTGCACGCACTGGGTACGGCCAAGCCAACTGACCTCCAAGGAAAATCACCATTATCCCATTCAATGTTTAGGCAATGATACCTTCCAGTACTTTAACATAGACCCTGCGGTAGGGTTTCCCCGATTTTCTTATATATACTTTTTCAAACCAAAATATCACACTGCTTGAACTGGGTCTATGTTAAGGGGAGTTCAGGGGTATGACAATGATCCTGATTTTCTTGTATATACTTTTCTGAAAAACAAATAACACGGTGCTGCTACAGGGTCTATGTTAAGGGGAAATAGGAGCCCAAAAAGCTACACAGAGTCCCAACTGCAGAAGGGTCAATGTTTTTGGTCATCTCGTGGGGTCCCTCCCCCCTTGATGGAGCCAAAAAATGTTACAAATCAACAATTCTATAAGGAAACTTCTATACAAAAAAAAATGTTTTGTTTTTTTGTTTGCTACCTCGATTTTCTGATATATATATATATTTATACTGTTTTAAAACAAAATATCACAGTGCTTGAACGGGGCCTATGTTACGGGGAGTTCAGAGGTATGACAATGATCCCGATTTTCTTGTATATACTTTTCTGAAAAACAAATAACACCGTGCTTCTACAGGGTCTATGTTAAAGGGAAATAGGAGCCCAAAAAGCTACACAGACTCCAAAATGCAGAAGGGTCAATGGTTTCTGCCCTCTCGTGGGGTCCCCCCTTCTTGGAGCCAAAAAATGTTACAAATCAACAATTCTATAAGGAAACTTGTGCACAAAAAAAAAAGATGTTGTGTTTTGCTTTTTTGTTTGCTACCTCGATTTTCTTGTATATACTTTTTGAAGACAAAATATAAGAGTGCTTGACTGGGGTCTATGTTAAGGGGAGTTCAGGTATGACAACGATCCCGATTTTATTGTACAAACTTTTCTGAAAACAAATAACACGGTGCTGATACAGGGTCTATGTTAAGGGGAAATAGGAGCCCAAAAAGCTACACAGAGTCCCAACTGCAGAAGGGTCAATGTTTTTGGTCATCTCGTGGGGTCCCCCCTTCTTGGAGCCAAAAAATGTTACAAATCAACAATTCTATAAGGAAACTTGTGCACAAAAAAAAAGAGGTTGTGTTTTGCTTTTTTGTTTGCTTCCTCGATTTTCTTGTACATACTTTTTAAAGACAAAATATAAGAGTGCTTGACTGGGGTCTATGTTAAGGGGAGTTCAGAGGTATGACAACGATCCCGGTTTTATTGTACAAACTTTTCTGAAAACAAATAACACCGTGCTTCTACAGGGTCTATGTTAAAGGGAAATAGGAGCCCAAAAAACTACACAGACTCCAAAATGCAGAAGGGTCAATGGTTTCTGCCCTCTCGTGGGGTCCCCCCTTCTTGGAGCCAAAAAATGTTACAAATCAACAATTCTATAAGGAAACTTGTGCACAAAAAAAAGAGGTTGTGTTTTGCTTTTTTGTTTGCTACCTCGATTTTCTTATATATACTTTATACAAAACAAAATATCAAAGTGCTTGAACGGGGTCTATGTTAATTAACCAAAGGGTATGTTGTAAATTATAGCCTCTCAGGACCCGGATGTGGCAAGTGATCGCCGTGCTGGGTTGAAGAGGCTGCCATCTGGCCAGGCTTACATTGGTAACTGGCCATCTGGTAGAAAACCAGTTCTATGTGATGAATCAGTTCAGCAGAACCTTGAGGAAGCTGCTGGTTGGGCAAAGGTTGCAGTGGAAGTGGCCTCATCCCATGCATCTTCGTTGGGTGGATCACCATTGCTTTTGAGCGACAGGATTCTAAGATGCTCTTCCAGCTTTACTGGGTTGCTTGTCTCTCAAAAGGGGTACGTTAAGGTGGGGGATCGATACTGGAACTCACTTAGACACAATCACCTATCAACATATTGAACAACCAAGCCACAAAGGGTATGTTAGCATCCCCGGGAAAGTCTTCACAAATTAAATCAACAGCTGAGGTTGGACGCTTGTGGGCGTGCAGCTGAAATCATCTCCAAGAGTGGGGCGCTGGTGAGATTTCAGTTGGTGACTTTGATGCAACATGATGCTACGAAAGTCTAAAAACTTGGCATTCCTGTCAATGAACAAAACATAGAAATTGAGATCCAAAGCCATGAAAAAACCTGCTGCAAAGAGCAACGAATGAACGTCTGTTCAATTTCTGCGCCGTGATGTTCTCAGCTCAGGTAAGTTGCTGTGACAACAGCAAGGGTGTGCAGCACGGATTGCTCCATGACAACTTTTTCCAGGATTGTTGCGTGTTCACCGATGTCCTGAATTGCGTAGACTTGGGCTCTCGCAAAGCTCTTCTGGAAGCTGAAGGCTGGGAAAGATCAAAGGTTATATTATCATATATGATCTATATATAGTATGTATTGTCTTGAACATCTAGGTTAATGCAAATTCAGAAATGGAAAAGATAACATATTTTCGACTAGAGTTACACGAACATATTTCATAAAAACTAGCAGCACGCATTCAAGTGCATTTTTTTGTAAAACAGGATTGGCATTTGTTTTGACAGGTGTGGATGCAATCCGATCGATCCTCGAGTCGTCCAAATTTCAAGCTCGCGCATTGTGCCTGCGGCACAAACCACATGACGAAGCACTTCAGACTGGATGCCAGCTCCCGAAGGAAATCGATTTGGATCCTTAATCCAACCAGGGGTGTATGTTAAGGGACGATTGCATTGTTTCTTGTTACTGCAGGATATCTGGTTGTTTCCATTATTGAATGTAAGTAACCACAAGCTGCCCCAGCAGGGTCCTGAGAGCTATGTTAAGGGCTTTTTTCCAGTTGTTTTTTTGAGATGAATCACTGTAAACAGATCAATTGGCTCAACCCAAAGAGAAACTTATGAAAAGAAAAATCAAAGGGTTGTATTAGATTGTGTGGAGTACTTGCTGTTCTGTTTAGAGAATGAGGACCGCCACATTTTCTGAACTGACAGGGGTCTATGTTAATCCGCATCTAAGGACATGAGTGCGTGCAGCTGCAAAGATGATTCTGGCATGGGTCAACAAAGAAGGGATTTGGGACCAGGGAGACGTGCGGCCATGGTTCATTTCAGGCTCCTGTTGATGAACAATTGTTTATATTTTATAACATGTTGCTATGTTCCTTAACTAGCCTTCTTTGCGCCAACGCACGGCCTTGTTTTCATGTTGTCACTACTGTCAGGTGGCATGCCTTTGCTGGCACCCGGATTGTGCTGTTGGAGAATGTCTGTGGCGGGACCATCCAAGAGTTGTCCTGCCGTGAATTGGAAGATGTCTTCCACCTGCGTCTCATTCATGGTGCAACAGAAGATTCTGGATACGGGGCTCAAAAGCGATATCGAGGGTGGACATTTGGATCGCATTTTTAGTAGGGGGCGCATCACACATAGAGTTCATATCTTGATTGTTACTTAATTGCAATAGCTTTTGGTAAATTAACATGCACCCTGAGGCTTGACATTTGACATTGCTATTTCCATTGTACTGGTGGCGCTCCAGTCCATACACTAGCCCTTTTCATATAGCATGAAAATAGGATAAGCATGGACCTGGACTCAGATCCCAGTGGACTTGCTCGCACCTTACTAAGGATCATTGGAGTCAGAAAAGGAGCAGGCCATTTTCTGGACGAGCCCAACAACGTCTACATGATGATCAGGGAGAAGCTCAGGGTCAAGCAAACAACGATAAATGATCTGTTTTGGTGTGAGGACCCACAAGTGTTTCTTGTTCAAGTGTTAGAGGTATCTTTCTGAGAGATGGGCACTGCCCCTTCATAGCTATGCTAAAAATTAGTGAAATGGTGTTAACATAGATCCCAGCGACTTGTGTATGATCCAAACTGAAGGTGATTGTTTTTTTCAGCACCAGCCATCGAGGCTGGAAAAGGAACGCGCGCAACGGGTCACCAAGAATCGCCCAATGTCGGAAACATTCGAGCCCCTCAACCGCAAAATGTCAGGGGTTGATGGTAGCTTGGAAAAATCAAATTTTGGTTTACCGGTATGTCTATTGTGGGGTGTGGCTCTTTCAAAACAGACAACATAAACCGTACAGTATTTTCGAAGCATGTTTTGTTTAATCGTGTTTGGCTGCATGAGTGATAACAACTCCACGCACATCTCCACCAGGTCTATGTTAACAGGGTATTGTATTTCCTTTCAAACGGTTCAATTCCGCCCACAAATTACCACATTAAGGCTTAAGGTCAATTGGTGGTAATGTTCTTGTCTAGCCAAGGGGAATGCTGAGCTTGGGCGACACGCAGCGGCTGGCGCAAGCTTGGGAACGCTTGGACCAGGACCTATGTCGTGCCATGGGGGCAGTGCAGAGTATATTCACCATGGTTTGAGTCTATCACTGTACCTTCTTTTTTGAGCCTGTTCTTTATTAAATGCTCTTCTGGTAAATTAACATAGACCCTGCAACTAGTAATTGCTTAGTTGAAACCAATCTTCCAACCCCTATCTGCCAGGGTCTATGTTAATTTACAAAAAGGGTACATTCTGAGATTTGCCATGCCTTCAAGGACCCAGAGCTCAAAGATCGTCAAGATTTGCACTGCGCTGTTCCGGAGCAAAATGTCGAGAGGATGAAAGGCACCAACAAAATGAGGACTGATTCTCACGGGTTGGTGATGGCATCTATGTGGTGAAAGTATCAGATATTAGCTACGGTAAATCAAATTACAAACAAATTGATTGAGACATATTGTACTGTAAATTTTGCTTTGAGGCATGAAATTATTCGCCATCAATTTCACAGTAGTCCCTACGGCCCTACAGATAACATGAGCCCTTGCCGCAGAACTCTTCCAACCTACACGACTGTGGATACTCTATATTCCAGAAGTCGAAAGAGATGGATGCTGGGAGTCGAGAAGCTTGCTTCTCTTGGATTTCCTGTTTCCCAAGCGGTTGCCACCAAGTACGGGATTGCAGCCTGGCTTTCATGGCTTGCGGGCCATGCATCCAGGGGTAGGTTAATGTCTGGACCTGGGCATGTACAATCCTATGAAGATCACCATATATTTTTGAGTAGAAACGTGCCATCATTCATCAGAAGAAATGACAAGGTGATTCAGCGATTCTTTTTTAAATGGCTACACTTGGCTGTCAGGCACTGATCTGGGGACAGGTGTGGGAGGCAACAGGATATCAACACTACAGTACATCTAAAGTAACTACCCTCCAGTAAATTAACATAGACCCTGGTAGATAGGGGTTGGAAGATTAGTTTCCTCTAAAAATTGGTGATTTTCAGGGTCTATGTTAATTTACCAGAGGGTAATTTAGACCAGTACATTCAAAACACTTTACCTGAGGACCGAATGGAATGGGAGCATTGGCCAGATTTGCACGAGCGCGTTGGCAACACTCAACATTTGCCACAGAGTGCATCTTGGCATGCAGATGGTAAAACATTTTAAAGCAACAGTCACCTGCCCACCAAGGGGTTACAGTAATGTACTGGAAAGTAAAAATTTCAAAGCAACAACCACCTGTCATGCCAACAAATGGCCAGGGTCTACGTTAATGTGCTAGTAAAGCATTTCAAAGCAACAGCCACCTGCCCACCAAGGGCATGGTCCTTCTCTCCGCTTTGGCAACGATCGAGTTCATTGAGTCTCCAATGCCATCACTGTCTGACAGCACAGTGGTGGTTTCAGTGCCTGCCGATGGATTGTGCATGTGGTCTTGCATATACCTGGCATGCTGCTCACCCCAAGAGTTGTTTGTAACTTGGATGTGGGGAAAAGTAAGGTGGCAGACCCGTTTCAAATCCAAACTCGCAGTTTATTTTTCCGACAGGGATGCTTGTCGATATACACATGTACTCTACGTTCTCTAAATAAATTCACATAGACCCTGACATCAGAAAAATCACCTATGTTTGCGGACAGCGACTGTAATCTTCTAATCTCCTTCTGCGACCGGGTCTATGTTAATGTACTGCCAAATGCTGAGGCATGGTATTCAAGGCCAAGGTCAAGCACAGGCTTCTCCAGTGAAAGCACAGAGGAATCTGAGAAGGTCCAACTTTGGGCTCTGGATCTTCCTAGGATGGTAGGGGTTTCAGGATTACCGGTTTCTATGCCAGCTGAAACTCGACGAAGAGTTCGAGGCAAAGTTTCTGCGGAACACGAAGACCTTGAGTCTTGACTGCATTGAAAGTCGCTTAACATAGATGTGGGCACCTGTGGCAGAGTATATGGTCACCGGACAACACAAACGAGATTTCAAGGCTCAAGAAGACTAGCAGTCACGCAAGGTACTGTAGCTACCTTTCTTTAGTGCTTCTTTCCTCAAGTTAACCATGAAAAGATCTGCTGCTCGAGCCTTTGGAGAGTCATCAGCAACCGCGGTGTCTCATTCAGACCAGAATGAGGTGCCTGAGGCAACTGAAGGTCTTGAGAGCCCAGGCGTGGTGGTGGTAGTGTCTCCCCATGAGGCAACCACTGCTTCTGAGGCAGTGAGTGCTTCTGAGGCAAATGGAGCTTCTCTGTCTTCTGACCGAGATGGGTCCCACATGCAATCTGTGACACCAGCAGCTCAGCTGCCATTGGTCGCAGATGGAGATGCTGCTGCTGGGCCCCGCCCGCTTTCAGATTATTTCGAATGGGAGATTGTGGCCTCACCGGTGCGGCACCGTACTCTCCGCCGAAGTCACCGGATCAGTCCAGAAACATTGGAATTGATCGACGGGGACAACTGAGTGATTACAATAGCCAATAGATTAGATAGATCAGGTCCAGTAGAGCCTGAGGGTTTTAGCTTTACACATCTGACTCAATGACTCTGGGGACCGTACCGAACCCATGTTGCTCATAGGTCTTGTTAATGCACACCTTTACATGCAAAGGTATTGCGGCCCCAGGGTCCATGTTAGGACGTAGCGACCTGACTGGGAATGCAATGCTGCATTCCTTCTGTTTCCATGCTATCTTACGATTACAGTCAACAAGAGCCGACGCGAGATGTTAAAAGGCACGGCCTTGATATGCGTTAACGTAACCCTTTAGTTAGACACCCAGATGTTGACAACACTTATACCAACATTAGTGTATTAGAAACGATTGCATGTACTCAAGGTTGCAGTTTCCGACCCAGCAGCATCTAAGGAATGGGTGTGCAACATGCTTGGCATCCAGCTTTGCATCCTCACTGGAACCACGAAGCCGCAAGTTGGAATGCAACCCAGCCAAATCGTGCCTCAATCCGAATTGAACTTCAGTACTGATCCCAAAACACCAGTTTGGATCTGGTCACATATGTCAGTTGATGGTTCTGGCCAGAGCGCGGAGCATTTTTCTTTCGTTTGCCAGGACAGAGAATTGCCGTGAATCCTGTTTTCGAATAATCAAATTTCCCACAACTTCCCTTTCTCACATATGGGGTTACAAAGGACCATTACATAGAGCAGGGGTCATGTTAATGCGCCCATCAAGATACCAATCCAATGTTAAAGCACAGAGAGTGCAAAAACCACCCAGACCCAAAATCGAAGTTTTCTGCAATCTTGTGGGGTACCCTCCCATTGTTGGGCCAACAACATCTCACAAATGAACACTTTTGAATTGTAACTTGTGTAAAGAAAATAGGATGGTCCCATTTCATTTAGATTCCCATGACTTCCCATTCTCAATCAGAGTGGTTACAAAGGACCAGGAGATAGATCAGGGGTTATGTTAATGTGCCCATGAAGATCTCAATCCACTGTTACGCCACAAAAGTTTTCTGGCATTTTGCGGGGTCCCCCTTTATTGGGCCAAAAACGTATTACAATTGAATGCTTTCGAATTTGGATTTCCCATGACTTCCCATTCTCATAGCAGGGTTATGTTGGCGATGGTGTGAACTCACACCAACGGCTGCAGCAGGAGACGTGGCTGAAGGATCCTAATGCCACTGTGCCGGACTATCGCGAGATCACCGTCAAGAAAATGGAGCCGGCCAAGGTGAAAAAGGAATTGGAGAACTTTGCTTCTTTGGTGACTGTGTTCGGGCATAGATCCAGTATCGTGAAGGAATGTGGGCCGTATGCATCTTGGAAAGCACGCCTGCCGCCAACCATTTTGGAGGAATTGATGAAATTCTCAGGCTGGGAACGTTCTTGCGAACAATGTTGTTTTCTCATCTCCATGCCTGGAGAAAACGATCCATTGGAGATTGCAGATGACCATGCAGTTTCTTGGTTTAAGCCGATTGTTCAACACAATTTCATATTTGTGTGACTGTAAACAAACAGCACGGTGCTGCTACAGGGTCTATGTTAAGGGGAAATAGGAGCCCAAAAACCAACACAGAGTCCAAAATGCAGAAGAGTCAATGGTTTCTGCCCTCTCGTGGGGTCCTCCCCCCCTTCCCAGAGCCAAAAAATGTTACAAATCAACAATTCTATAAGGAAACTTTTGCACAAAAAAAAGAGGTTGTGTTTTGTTTTGTTTTTTTGCAGGATACCCCGATTTTCTTATATATTTTTTTTAAAGACAAAATATAAGAATGCTTGACTGGGGTGTATGTTAAGGGGCGTTCACAGGTATGACAATGATCCCGATTGTCTTGTATATACTTTTCTGGAAAACAAATAACACCGTGCTGCGACAGGGTCTATGTTAAGGAGAAATAGAAGACCAAGACGCCACACAGAGTCCAAAATGCAGAAGGGTCAATGGTTTCTGCCCTCTCGTGGGGTCCCCCCCCTCCTTCCCCCCCTCCTTCCCCTCCTTCCCCTGCTTCCCCTCCTTCCCCTGCTTCCCCTCCTTCCCCTGCTTCCTCTCCTTCCCCTCCTTCCCTTCTCCCCTTCCTCCCCTTCTTCCCCCCTCTTTTCCTCCTCTCTTCCCCCCTTCTTCCCCCCTTCTTCCCCCCTTCTCCCCTTCCCAGAGCCAAAAAATGTTACAAATCAACAATTCTATAAGGAAACTTTTGCACAAAAAAAAGAGGTTGTGTTTTGTTTTTTTTTGCAGGATACCCCGATTTTCTTATATATTTTTTTCAGACAAAATGTAAGAATGTTTGACTGGGGTGTATGTTAAGGGGTGTTCACAGGTATGACAATGATCCCGATTTGTTTGTATATACTTTTCTGAAAAACAAAAAACACGGTGCTGCGACAGGGTCTATGTTAAGGAGAAATATGAGCCCAAAAAAGCTACACAGAGTCCAAGGCGTAATTTTTAGCAACTTGAAGCCAAGGCATTCCAAGACAAGTCCTACCAGGCTCAATGTGCTATTGACCTGCTTCGGCACTGGGACCTGGAAGACCAAAAGTACCAGGACATGGACATGGCAAGCTTGCGAGCCATTGGAAAGGAGTACAACCTCAAATCAAAAAGTAAGAGCAGTTTGATAGAGTTGCTGGTACACGACTCCTGTCATATTCTTAGTTTCTGTTTGAAACACTGGCACATGCATATGTTTCAAACCAGTGGGTTTCTATTGTTCTGGTATTTTAATCAAATGAAAAAAATACGTGTTTCTTCTCCCCTCCTCTAGGCGTGAGAAGATTGAACAAGATGGTTAACGCAGAACAGCAGCCTGAGCAGCAAAACGCACCCGAGCAAGCAGAACAGCAGCTGGAGCAGCAAAGCGCACCCAAGCAAGCAGAACAGCAGGCTGACCAGCAAAGCGCACCCAAGCAAGCAGAACAGCAGCCTAACAAGCAAACTGATGCACAGCCAGCAGAGCATCAAGACGCGCAGATGCAAGCTGAACAACAGGCTGCCAAGCAAACTGATGCACAGCCAACAGAGCATCAAGACACACAGATGCAAGCTGAACAACAGACTGACAAGCAAACTGATGCACAGCCAACAGAGCATCAAGACACACAGATTCACGCAGAACAGCAGCCTGACAAGCAAACTGATGCACAGCCAACAGAGCATCAAGACACACAGATCCACGCAGAACAGCAGCCTGACAAGCAAACTGATGCACAGCCAACAGAGCATCAAGACACACAGATCCACGCAGAACAGCAGCCTGACAAGCAAACTGATGCACAGCCAGCAGAGCATCAAGACGCACAGATCCACGCAGAACAGCAGCCTGACAAGCAAACTGATGCACAGCCAGCAGAGCATCAAGACGCACAGATGCAAGCTGAACAAGTAGCTGACAAGCAAACTGATGAACATCTAAAGCAGCATCAGCAAGGACAGAAGCAAGCCGAGGAACAGCCAAGCCAGCCTACGCAGCAAGAGAACACAGAGACAACAGGCAAGGACAGCTTGAATTTAGCTTGGCGGGCTGAAGTGTCTGCAGAGCAACTAGGGGAACTTGACGCTCTCTCTGGGTGGGACCGGAAAGATGGGCACTTCGTCGTTGAGATGCCTGCCAGCTTCGAACCACTGAAGGTTCAAGATTCAGCCACCCGGTTCGCAATGGGGACTTCCGGAGAGCACCAGGGGACATGTTACTGTAGTACTGAATAAATTTCATGTACTACTTTAAAAAAATGCAATGCGCTTTAAAAGAGCACCAGGGGATATGTTAATCACAAATTGGGACTTAACATGATTATTTTGTAACCGCATCTCCAACAAGTCTCTATTGATTGACCCAGGTCTTCCGCACTATGCAGATTGCTGCGGAAGTCACGATGGTTCTTCTCCGCAAGAGGAATTGGGAGCAGAGTATGGTAAACCCAATGACTTTGAAAGAGCTCTGCGAAAGAGCACATTTCTTTGGAGTGAAGGTCAAACGCCGACGTAAACAGGATTACCAAGAGGGCTTGGTCTTTTCAGTTTGCTTGGGGACCCAGTTGAGAGTTTTTTTTTGAAAAACTAAAGAACTTACGGTTGTTGAAACAAAAGTGAAGGATATTTATTTACATATTTGCCATCAGGGGCGCAAGGTCTATGTTAACAGTCACGGTACAAAATTGCAAGGTTCCATTGCACGAAATGTTGTACTGCAACTTACAATTTTCAAAACCCTTTCCATCCATGCTTGCAATGAGGTCAAAATCAGCTTCAGGATGACGAAAAAAACGCAGCGGGCTTTGCTGGTGACTCCCAACCTTCAGCCGAAGCATGTGAGGAACAAGTTTTGTCAAGTCTTGTCAAAGCACCAGGATCTTCCGAAGCAAGCAAGCCGTGCACGCAGGATGTCCCAGAACAACCAGCTCCTGCTGGAAGCTCCATCCCGAGTAGTGGAAAGAACCTAGATCAAGGTGATAAGCAACATGATGATTTGACGCAACAGCATGCCAAGGAAGCTTTGAAACCGAAAGCTGGCCTGCAGGGTAGTGTTCGCGACCGCTTCATGCAATGTGATTTGGTGGTGCCATCTGTTGCTCTAAACAAGTTCAAGCAACTCTCATCAGCAGAGTTCCTCATGACCAAATATGTTGCCATTCTCGGCAAGAATAAGTGCCGAATGTACAAAACCGAGAAGGATCGTCTTTGTTGTATGGTAATGGGTGACTTGATTTCCGACCCGGACGATTTTTGGGTTCATGTCTCTATGCAGCTCAAGAACAACTTTATTGGTGGTGTGGTTGTCTTTGATAACTATGAAGGAGACATCAGTCAGGCCCGGTCGTCTAAAATCATAAACGTGTTTCTAAAATCATCAAAGTATCTCAAAGGGGTTATGTTAACAGCAAATTTCCATCTAGAATTCAACCTGCTAGGTTCTGGCAAACATGCCTGCTGAGCTGAACCCGGGCCAATCGAGTTTGCATGATTCTCCCACCAGGGTCCACGTGTTCGTCCTGCCGGCAGAGTCTGCTTTGAGCAGCAATTCAGATTTCTCTGATCCGAACTTCGCAAACATTGAGATCATGTCTCTGACACTGGACGATAAGTCACTTGACTCCGTGGCCAATGAAACTGTCTTCATTGTGAACAAAGGGAAATTAGGAGTTTTACCTGACGGTCTTCTACATATCCCTGACTTCAAACAGAAAGTGGATGTGGCACAACTGCCTAGCCTCTTCCTCGGGTCTGTGGCCAGCCAGGTTGAGTGTATGAGGAGAACGAGATTGGTTTTCCACGGAATTTGATGGTTTCCGATATTGGTTGTGAGTAAGCAATAGCTACCTATAACCCAAAAAGCTACACAGAGTTTTTTTTGCGGGATACCCCGATTTCCTTGTATTTCACTGTATTAAAAAACAAAATATCACAATGCTGGAACTGGGTCTATGTTAACGGAAGTTCAGAGGTATGACAATGATCCCGATTTTATTGTATATACTTTTCTGAAAAACAAATAACATGGTGCTGCTACAGGGTCTATGTTAAGGGGAAATAGGAGCCCAAAAAGCTACACAGAGTCCAAAATGCAGAAGGGTCAATGGTTTCTGCCCTCTCGTGGGGTCCCCCCTTCCCAGAGCCAAAAAATGTTACAAATCAACAATTCTATAAGGAAACTTTTGCACAAAAAACAAGAGGTTGTGTTTTGCTTTTTTTTGGCTCTCCCGATTTTCTTTTATAAACTTTTTTTAAAGACAAAATATCAGAGTGCTTGAATGGGGTCTATGTTACGGGGAGTTCACATTTATGACAATGATCCCGATTGTCTTGTATATACTTTTCTGAAAAACAAATAACATCGTGCTGCGACAGGGTCTATGTTAAGGAGAAATAGGAGACCAAGACGCCACACGGAGTCCAAAATGCAGAAGGGTCAACGGTTTCTGCCCTCTCGTGGGGTCCCCCCTTCCCAGAGCCAAAAAATGTTACAAATCAACAATTCTATAAGGAAACTTTTAAACAAAAAAACAGATGTTGTGTTTTGTTTTTTTTGAAGGATCCCCGATTTTCTTATATATATTTTTTAAAAGACAAAACATAAGAATGCTTGACTGGGGTGTATGTTAAGGGGAGCTCAGAGGTATGACAATGATCCCGATTGTCTTGTATATACTTTTCTGAAAAACAAATAACACCGTGCTGCGACAGGGTCTATGTTAAGGAGAAATAGAAGACCAAGACGCCACACAGAGTCCAAAATGCAGAAGGGTCAATGGTTTCTGCCCTCTCGTGGGGTCCCCCCTTCCCAGAGCCAAAAAATGTTACAAATCAACAATTCTATAAGGAAACTTTTGCACAAAAAACAAGAGGTTGTGTTTTGCTTTTTTTTGGGCTCTCCCAATTTTCCTTTATATACTGTTTTAAGACAAAATATCAGAGTGCTTGAATAGGGGCTATGTTAAGGGGAGCTCAGAGGTATGACAATGATCCCGATTGTCTTGTATATACTTTTCTGAAAAACAAATAACACCGTGCTGCGACAGGGTCTATGTTAAGGAGAAATAGAAGACCAAGACGCCACACAGAGTCCAAAATGCAGAAGGGTCAATGGTTTCTGCCCTCTCGTGGGGTCCCCCCTTCCCAGAGCCAAAAAATGTTACAAATCAACAATTCTATAAGGAAACTTTTAAACAAAAAAACAGATGTTGTGTTTTGTTTTTTTTTGCGGGATACCCGGATACCCCGATTTTCTTGTATATACTTTTTTTTAAAGACAAAATATAAGAGTGCTTGACTGGGGTGTATGTTAAGGGGAGCTCAGAGGGATGACAATGATCCCGATTGTCTTGTATATACTTTTCTGAAAAACAAATAACACCGTGCTGCGACAGGGTCTATGTTAAGGAGAAATAGGAGACCAAGACGCCACACGGAGTCCAAAATGCAGAAGGGTCAACGGTTTCTGCCCTCTCGTGGGGTCCCCCCTTCCCAGAGCCAAAAAATGATACAAATCAACAATTCTATAAGGAAACTTTTGCACAAAAAAAACAGATGTTGTGTTTTGTTTTTTTGCCGGATATCCCGATTTTCTTGTATATACTTTTCTTACAACAAAATCACACAGTGCTGTTACAAGGTCTATGTTAAGGGGATAAGGGGTACATGTTTATGATTTAGTTTCTCCTTTTCAGGAGACTTTCGGAGGAAGATTCTGATCTTCTACAATGGAAACGGAAAAGGTTGGATGAGCGGGTGGAAGAAGATGAGGAAGTGCTGAAGCAAAAGAAAGCCTTGAGGGATGAAGCCGCGACGTCCTTGGAATTTTGGGAAAAGATTCTTCATTTCATCTCGGCCTTGGAGACTCATGGAAGCAAAAAGGCTCCGGACATTTCTTGGGCCCAGTACTTTCATGGAGCATTTGGCCCAGATGGACCTCCCACAGAAGTTGGAATCCCGATGGTGTTCCACCAGGCACTTGACTTTCCAGCATGCTTGATGGCAGTGACCGATGAAATCAATCACTTCAAGAGAAGCAAGGAGAACGCCCATGGCATTGCTTCAAAGATCGAGAACAGGCTTGACAAGTTCAAGGAAAAATCTGAAAAGAGAGAACAGCTGGAAGAAGAAAGGTTGGACAAGCTCTTCGATCAAGACAGGATTGAAAAAGAAAAGTTCCTTGGCTAAGATGTGGAAAAGGCACCCAGGGCTAGGTTAATACTGAGCATATACATTGGAACTTGGCAAGTCAGACCAGTCCCTCAAAGATCAAAGTCACACCGGTACACTTGTTTGTCCTATTCATTTGAAATTTTCAAGGTGTTGCTCTCTAGAGGCCACATGATCTGTAGAGCGCGGATCAGGAAAAGAAGAAGACAGAACTACTTTGCGAAGACTACTTTGAAAGAGAGGAAAAGGCCGAAGAATACCATTGACAAGGGAAAATGGGACAGGATACCTCCCAAAGCACGAAGAGGTATTTTCATTTCCGACAAGTTGAAGGTAGTCAAGAGATACAATGAACTCGTGGAACAAAAAAACCAAGCAATGCAAATTTCATGTAGAAAAAGGCCAAAAGGATTGACAGCAAAGCAAAAGAAGGATTTCGAGAAGGAGAAGGACGATGCCCGCAAGGTTTTGAAGGACAACGTCTTGAAAAAGTGCAAGGAGGAGTTCCCCCAGATCGTTGGCAACTGCCAGGTGTGGAAATGGGCCAAGCAAGCAGAAAGAGAAAAATGGGATGATCTCCCAGAGGCAGACAAAACGAGAAGGTTGGAAGTGCCGAATGCTTGGCGAAAAAAGATGAGTCTTTCCATGAAGGGGAAAATACTTGGAGGAATTGTTCCTCTTGAGATCCAGTACGAGCTGGACAAGATCGTGGCAGCACACGTGGTGGGAGAATCTGAGATAACAGAGCGCAAAGAAGTGGTTTCTTGGAACGAAATCGACACTTGGATTACAATAAAGAGGATGTGTGCAGACGGGCAGGGTGTATGTTAAGGATCCCGGTGGGATTGAACAAGAGTTCAAAACTACATACAGATGTATGTTTCTTCATTTTGTAGGCTTTACCTAACATTTTCAAAATATTTTGTGCAACCAATTTTGTTTGGAATCACGACAAGCATTCTCAGTAGTCCGAGGGTAGCTCTGTCAAAGGATATCCATAACCTTCCAGCCTTCATATAGAGCAAAAGGAGCAGAAAGGTTGAATATTGCTCCCACAGAGTCTATGTTAACCAAATCAAGATTTCATAAGAGGCCTACCGGCCGTCGCCAGGAAACCACAGCCAATGTCATGATCCGCAAGTGGAACGAAGGTCTCCAGGAAGCCAGGGATGCGGTTGAGAAGTACAACAATGAACTCATTCAGATGCACAAGGAGAAGAAGATCACGGCAAGGGATGTTGCGAAAAGACGCTTGAAATATCCAACCAAAGTGGATGAAGTGAGCGAAAGGTGGGGTCGGACTTTCATGAAGCGGTTCGGGTGGAGCCTGCTTAGCAGTTCGCAGGAACAGGCATCGCTTCCATATGATCATGCAGATATGGAGATGTATCGACAGCACTACAAACACATGCTGAGCCAGGGGGTGCACAAACACCTGGTCCTAAACTTTGACCAAGTGTGGAGGTGCGCGTTTTCATGGAATGGAAAGATGCACTGGAAACCAAGAACCAAAGTCGGAAAGACAGGCAAAAAGACAAAGACCCCTAAGCAGTTGGACAAGAAGCGACACGCAGTTCGTGGAGCAAGAAAGAGTCTTACGGTACCTAGGTGTAAGTTAAAGGTGGAAAAAGGTTTATTCTGTTTAGATACGTATACACATATACAATATACCTATATACGACATAATATGTTTATATATACGTACTTTCCAATGAATTAACATGGACCCTGCGAGTTGAAAAAACTATATACACATAAGCTCATACATATATATAACATAAATATGTATATACACTTATAATATATCTAAATATATACATATTTTCTTTACACATATTTCTATTCCCTCTGCATATACCGAAGTTTACAGTACATAAATGAACTTGTAAGTTCTGTCAAACTGACTGGCTCAGGCGCTGACATCATCATGGTCAGACGGAAGCAGAGGTCCGATATGCTTTTGTTTACCCGAAGGTGTGCTTCCTGCGCAATTCCTTCGAGAGTGGAACGATGGCCATATTGGCGTTTCCTACCTGACGACATCAGGCACAAGTTCCCACTTCATGAACTCAAACACCCTCCTAGAGATCATGGATCAGTGCCTGAGCCCAGCTCTTGAGCTCCAACGCCAAAAGCTTCTTGGATTGCACCATGGGATACAATATATCAAAATTAGTAGACGACCATTGCAAAACATGTTTAACATAGACCCGGTGGTTGTGTTTCTGGTCTTCCCCATATCAGGCTCTCGCTCACACGAGAGAGCCGCGCCGCTATCATCTGCGATGCGTGGACAGGTAGCTTCAGCCAAGCTCGGGGGGAAGGTGCCAGGAGGCTGGATTGTTCAAATAGATCTGGGCCTTTATGTTGATATTCTAGACAATAGATTTTACAGGGTGCCATAAACAAGCTTACAAAATCTGTTCGCGAAGTTATGTTAACAAACATTTTGACCACGTGTGAGACCAGACCTCAAACATATTGAAATATTTTCTCATTATAAACACGCATACCCTCTGGTAAATTAACATAGACCCTGAAAATGAACAATTTATAGTGGAAACTAGTCTTCCAACCCCTATCTGCCAGGGTCTATGTTAATTACCAGAGGGTATGTCCTTAACATACACCTGGCAGGTCGTTGTGGTGCAAAACACACAACGTAGAAGAACCAGCCAAGCCAAGTGGAGGCTGGAGTGCTCATGGCCAGCCCGTAGATCAACTCCATGCTCAGTACCGAAGAGAAATCAGAATTGCTGATTTGGCTGCTTGCAAGATGGGTCGGAACCTTCTGGAGCGTCCAGACTATGAAAGCCTGCCACTGCGTGCTTCAGGATTGTCGTTTTAGTCCGTCAGTGCATCCACATAATTCAGGATAATATCGCAGCTGTATTTAACGCAAGGGGTTATGTTAATGTTCACAAATAGTTATTGAATAATTGACGTTTGACATAACCCCAAATGTTTCTGGTTGGTTGATATTTGCGCATTGTTCCAAAAACAACTGGTGAAAGAACATCCTGGTATGACATGTAGCTACCAAAGTTTCGGTATTGTGTGCCGCCTGCAGGACAAGTCGAGATCCAGGTGCCTCACTGGAAGGATATCATCCAGATCAGCTTTCATGCCTGGATGTCGCTTGGTCGCCGGGTCTTCCAGTCGGCATGGATAGCGTGTGGGTATGCCACTTGGGATGACATGCCAAAGGACGTGTCCGAAAATCCCATTTCCGTTCAAGATGCACGTCAGGTGCTTGATGTTTTCGGGAAACTTGGAGGTGGTTCACCACAGAGGTGCACATGCTTTGAATGGCAGATCAAGGACCCTTGGCTGTTATCACCAAAATTCTAATCACAGAGTCTATGTTAAGTACTGAATCAATTTATGCAGTGATTTGTTGTTGAGACATCCTTCACCTCAGATTGATCAAGGTCGCAAAAGGGAATATGTTAATGATACTGTAATATATGTCAAGTTGCCATAGACAATAACGATCATTGTATTTTAGTGGGAACTAAGCTCTGTACTGGGGTTTATGTTAATGTACCACACAATATATGGAAAAAGAAAAATGCAAGTTAGCCTCTGATCTTTTAGCTTTGCAGGACCAGAATGATGAGTGGAAGGCCCTTCCCTATGAGGCCGCTGGTGCCGTTGCCCGGTCTCTCATGAGGCATTGCCACACTTTGTCGGAGTTGAGGAAATCCAAAGCCCTCTTGTTGGAAAAAGACCCGCAGAAGAAAAAGGCAGCGACGCAGAAAGTCTGCGTCAAGGTTGATTCCATGCTTCATGTTGACAAATACATGGTCTTCAACCCCCGGACTGGCCAGATGGCTACAGAGGCATGGCTATCCGACCACATCCAGGTGGTGGAGGGAAAACCAGAGTTCAAGAGGAAACGAAAGAATGACATTGGCCCAAAGATTGTGACTTTGGGGATCAAGGTACTAGAGAACACGGTAGACTTGACACTTGACCTATCCCATGGCGACATGGGAGCCAGGCCCATCAGATGCTTTGATCTGCGGGATTCCAAGCCCCAGGGTGATCTGCAGTATTTATCTACTGGGTTTGGTCATTTAGGTGAAGATTCGTTGGAGGATGAAAGCGACGTTGAGAACTGGGTCGACTTTGATGAGGTTGACTTTGAACATGGTTCCCAAAAGGATGAAAATGATTTTGATGATGAGATTCCCCAAGATGACCTGGGTATCGAAGGTGTCTAGCCTTAACCAGTGTATGGGGCTACCGCCAGGGGTTATGTTAATGATAGGGATTGGATACCTGAGAAGTATCAATACAAGGATATATTTCTGAGCTGGGATGGGTGCTGCTGTTCCAGTGTCAAATGTTTTTTTTTTGATATCTGGTAAATTAACATAGACCCTAACATTGGCCTTATTTAATTTGAATAGAACTAATCTTCTAATCCCTATCCGGCAGGGTCTATGTTAATTTACCAGAGGGTACCGGTACCTTCCACAGTTTGACTATTGTTCAGTACTCTTTAGAGACTACAAATAGAATACATACAGTTGAGCATCTAAACCTAGACCCTGACACAATGGACGGGGTTTGGACGGGTTCATTTCAAAACTCGCACCTTTGTTATTTGCATATATTATAAAGATATACACGCACAAACATGTGTATATATATATGTACATACATATATAGATACATGAATAGATACATACATATACATACATATACATACATACACATACATAAACAAACATATACATACACAAACATTAATATACTTACATCTACATATATATACACACAAACAAAAAACTCTATCATTCAATTTTGAGCTTGCCGTTTGAGGTGAAACGCGTTTCCAGAAGCAGGACAACAATGACTCTGCCCTTTCCGAAGCAGAGACTATCCTTTTCGACGCAGAGAATTCTCAGAAGATTCCCTTGGAAGCTGCGATTGAGGGTTTCGCAGGTAACATGGCTCCAATCCTCCCAACAGGGGTATGTTATGTTGCGAGGAATAGTGGAAAACTATCATGTCAACATTATGACAAATATTGTGGCCAGGGTTATGTTAATACTTCGCGTTTTTTTTTCAGGTTACCAGCAGGCCTAAACACACAAAGAGCCATCTCATGGGGTACCCTATTCTGAGATCCAAAAATGTTACAAATCAATAATTTTGAAAAGAATTACCGTAAATACAAAAAAACATGGGTTCTTCAGCATTCTGATGCAGTATCTGGTCTCCCATGCTGGTAATGAGTATCTGATGGTCTCCCATTTTGGAATCAGATCTATGTTAAGGGCTGTTTTGGCTAGATAAATGTATATACCGGTAACTCTATCCATACCTGCTGTCAGGCAGTGACTTCGAGAATGTGGATCATGATGAGTGGGACGACTCGTATGAAGTTGTGACCGAAACCAACATGGAAGACAAAATGATGAAGGTCATAGAACCCCAAACTCTAGCAAAAAGACCCAAGCTCTTTAATACTCGTGAGGAATATCTTGCTCTGGAAAACATGGGCTTGGTGAAACTGCCACAGATCCAGGGGGTATTCTTATCGTTTCACCCAGCCACGTCGCAGTGGCACTCAGCTTACCCTGCCAAGCACGGTAGCGGTCTTAGCCACCGAGCGCCTAAATGCGGCGAAGGCCTCCGAACACCACGCCAAGCATTGCTGCTGGCACTCCAATTCTTATGGAAAACTCATTTTTTGCGTACTGGCCAGGGTGAATCGCATCTGGCACTTTTAGACGCGGCGTTGACATGAGTTTACATTAGCATAGCATAGAGGCAGAGTAGAGCAGGAGCTTGGAATGTGCCCAGGTGTATGTTAAAACACTACAATGCCAACATCAATGTTCATGTCTCATTGCTGCTGGCGCTCCTACTCGATGGGAAGACCCATGCTTTGCGGAGAAGCCATGGTGTTGGCCAACTGGTACTTTTTAATCTGCAGTACCCCCTTTGGTAAATTAACATAGACACTGAAAATAGCCTAGTTTCAATGAAAACTAATCTTCCAACCCCTATCTGCCAGGGTCTATGTTAATTTACCAGAGGGTGTTCAAAAAGAAACAGTATAGAGAAGTCAAACGTTTTGCCTCGAAGCCAGTGTGTTGGCCATCTGGCACTTTTTCACCAAGCACTATGCATGTCTCTGGGGAGGCAGAGTTGAGCAGGAGATGGTGCGCAGGTGTATGTTAAAACACTAAAATGCCAACATCAATGTTCATGTCTCATTGCTGCTGGCGCTCCTACTCGATGGGAAGACCCATGCTTTGCGGAGAAGCCATGTTGTTGGCCAACTGGTACTTTTTAATCTACAGTACCCCCTCTGGTAAATTAACATAGACACTGAAATAGCCTAGTTTCAATGAAAACTAATCTTCCAACCCCTATCTGCCAGGGTCTATGTTAATTTACCAGAGGGTAATGTTCAAAAAGAAACAGTATAGAGAAGTCCAACGTTTTGCCTCGAAGCCAGTGTGTTGGCCATCTGGCACTTTTTCACCAAGCACTATGCATGCCTCTGGGGAGGCAGAGTTGAGCAGGAAATGGTGCCCAGGTGTATGTTAAAACACTAAAATGCCAACATCAATGTTCATGTCTCATTGCTGCTGGCGTTCCTACTCAACGGTAAGACCCATGCTTTGCGGAGAAGCCAGGGTGTTAGCCAACTGGTACTTTTTAATCTACAGTACCCCCTCTGGTAAATTAGCATAGACACTGAAAATAGCTTAGTTTCAATGAAAACTAATCTTCCAACCCCTATCTGCCAGGGTCTATGTTAATTTACCAGAGGGTAATGTTCAAAAAGAAACAGTATAGAGAAGTCCAACGTTTTGCGTAGAAACCAGTGTGTTGGCTATCTGGCATTCTTGGAGTTTACAAGAGAGCACAGAACAGAAAAACCGAGATCGCCTTTGGGGAGGCCATCGAAAAAAATGCGCTGCTGAATTTATTGATCGGAGAGTTTTCGGGGCTGGTTGGGCCTTCTGTATCTTCTGTATCTAGGTGTATGTTAAGAGGAATTTGGTCAATTGCAAAGGATTCAATGATTTTTTTTGACATGCTCCGGAGGGTTTATGTTAATGATTTTTTGCAATGTTTTCATGCTTCGCGACTCCAAAATCATCATTAACATACACCCTAGACCCAGGGGGTAAGGTGTTCGTCAATTTTACAAATTTTGGACCACAGGGTGTATGTTAATATTCAAGAGTGTACCATGTTTTACCATTTTACCCCGTTGTTTCCAAGCCATATCATCCCAGATAAGTTGGTTTAGAGCTGGACTAAGTTGGATTTATGAAAGATAAATATCTACAACTATTTGCACGTGGATTGGTGAACACAAGTTCATATAATAAGTGGGAGGCTCTTGTCCTGAAAATGGTGGATGCCCCAACAATTCAAGCTTCAGAAACGTATAGAATTCCCATCTGTTTTTTTCCAGAAAGGGACGATGAACACCTCGTTTTCACCTTAGGGATCCATATATTTTCCAGCTATTGTGAACTCCAGGGTACATGGCTACCCTCGGTAAGCTAACACAGCTATTAAGAGTCACCATTCTTAAGCAATCAAACTAAATGGACCATGGCTATGTAAGAATGTAACAAATTACCAGAGGCTACCATGGGAATGTCCCATTCTATCCATTGATATTCCTATTATATGAACTTATATGATAGTATTGAGGGTTAATTCCCCATTATCAACTATGATGGTTTTATTATACACCGTAGCTACATTTCTATCCCTATGTACATACCTGGTTATACATCCATTTATTTTCATGGATGTTTTTCAACAAGAATTTAGGGGCTTTGGTTGTTCTGGATATCTATGGATTCTATATGATTCTATGGATTCTATCCCTATGATTCATGGTAAATACCATAGATATATGGATATACCATGGATATATATGGATATACCATGGATATACCATTGATATACCATTAATGTTGTGGGGATATCCCCACAGTTTGATGGCGACAAATTTTTTTCCCCTCCCATGGTGGATCCATTGCTAAGGCCTCGAGCTGCGGACTTCTCTCAAGACCTGCAGCAGGAACTGAGCAGCGCGGGCCGGCGGCGTAGTGTCATGGCGGCGCAAGGTACCTTGGTTACCTTGGACCGGTTGGGGGAAGGCTGGGAGTACCCCAAAAATGGATGGTTTTTCCATGGAAAATAAAAAACCCTGGATGATTTTGAAGGGTACCCAAATTTTACGACACCTCCATATGATAGGATCAAATGGGTTGCCCGTCACGGTAAACTAACGTAGATTCGTGGAAAAGCCTGTGGTTTACCTAGGAACATAGTTTACAAATGCTGGATTTTTCACATCGAACTGTTAGTTCATCCTAGGTAAATGGGTTCATTAAATGGGTTGAATAAATGAGATATGATATGATTGTGTCCATATGGGGTTGGAATTATAGTGGAATGAAACCAATGGATGGGATTGTCATTGGGTCGATTGGGATAGAGTGGGATTATAAAGACTTCATAATGATGAGTTGCTGGGATGGGCTGGTGAATGTAGGGAATGAAATCAGAGATTGGGATGGGAGGGTCGGCAACTGGTTGGCAACTGGCTAGCAACTGGCTAGCAACTGGCTGTGAACATGACAAGCCTGTGGTGAAACAGTACTTGAGTGAAATTGATGTGCAGCGATGTTGAGTGAAGTTTACTGCTGAAGTTCCCACTTAACAACCAGTTCTATTGAAAGAAGTGCATTCCTTAGGAATAACAACTTCATGTGTCCTGATCTTTCCATACTTTCCATATCTGGCAGGTAGGGGTAAAAAAAAAACACGCTTGGTGATGGTGATGTTGTTCATTTTAAATCCGAAGGTCCACATCTTTCGGTGTTCCATCCCTAATCTGGGACTGATCCGAAAAACCATCCAGGAATATGGAAACCCATGAATTTTGTTGCTGGTTTGTATCCTCTATATACTGGATCCATTTACGTTTTATGGATAAATATCATGAATGGATCATTAAAAAAAAACTGGATCCATTCTACATGTATATACTGTGGTCAACAAATACATGAACCATTTATTTTTCATGAATATAATATATTATATTATACTGGTTATAATCTGTAATATGTGACCCGAATGAATGTAATATCCATATATGACCATATATGACCCAGATATATTCAATCTCTCCAAAACTGGACAAGTACTGTATATCAGTATCTCCTCATGAATTCTCCAACTCCGTTGAAAAGTCCTCGAAGCTCAGGTGCTGCAGCGCAAGTTGCCAGCGGCCCCGCAGCACTCACGTTTCAGGAGGCCGTGCTTTGGGCCAGGCGCTTCCGAGAGAAGATGTTTATGAACTACCGCAGCTCGGTATGGGATCATTTGGGATGATAAATGTACTATGTTACTATGAAATACTATGAACATGAGATGATATGGGATGGGATGATGATGTACTAAGTTACTAAGTTACATCATGAGTGATTGAATAGCCATTGGGTCTCTGATGGGATCATTGGCTAAATGGTGTAAACTATGGGGATGGGAAATTGGATAATTGATATATTGTAATCATGGGAATTTACAGGTATATGTTTTATATGTTTTGTTCATAATGGACTTGGATATTGGAGATTTACAGGGAAATTGATATGATATTGGATATTGCTGACAGAAAAACGTTGTATAGAAATACCGTTGTGAAACCCATGGAACATGATCTACAAACGGCGGCTTCTCCATATCTATGTTGATTTACTGGAGTCTATGTTAAATGGGATATTGGATATGGTTATACCATCGTTATATGGATCTTCTTGGGGTTCCATGATGCTTCACCTTTTTTGAAAATGTCCAAGTGATTCTTTACGATTTGGGATGGTATCTAGACCTCAAAACAGGATGGGATTCCAACATTTGGTCAGACAACAGACAACAGACATGTCAAGCCCTCTATATGGACACTGGGGTCTTCCCGCTTTGACCCAAGGGGTGTAGCAATTTGGACTTGGAATTGCTTGACAATGTCATACCTTCTTTCCCTGGGCATCATCTCCAAAATTACGATAAAAAGGCCTATCATTCGAATCTATTCGAATCAAGTCCCACCTTTTTCACATTATGGGCATCGCAAGATGTAGCGATATCCCCAACATTCCCCAACCATATTTAAAATTGCGAGTTGTAGCAGTCCATCTCCATCATTTGTTGAATCACATGAAGGCCCAGCACGTCCCTAAGGAGAAGTCTTCAACAAGTACGACGACGACAACTCGAACAGCATCGACATGTGTGAAGTCAGAAACGCCACAACCTGAGATTGATATCCCTCGCACTGGGTAACATAACGTGCATCCCAGCAGGTAACAACGCCATGTTACAACTTGTTAAATCTGGAATATGGCCCAGTTAATCCGTCCGTTACATATGGGTTATTCACAGTTATTGCTTTATATGTGATAATCCATGGGATATCAATCATGGGATGTTACGGTATATGTTCATAGCTATACACTGGATATCGACCATCAGTAATAGCATGTATATAATAGTACTATAACAGTGTTCAATCGCAAATAACTGATTGACTGGTTGTAATAACAGGTGAAAGTCAAGTCTGGCTCCTTTTTCCCACCATATAGTGATACCTTGAAATCCGAATGCTGTAAAATTTTGGTCATGGTAGATTTTGAACCCAAAAACGTAATCTCATGCGTAAAACCGTAATTGCAAGCAAAACGCGTAATCGCACATTCCTGAAGGCTGTTTGCAAATCTCTTCCGGGAATTTTGCTATGGTCCACCAATTTCTTTCATTTTTCATGGAATTTCCGCCTCCCAAATGAAGTAAAATAAGAAAAAAGTGGACATTTAAAGCCATAGACGGCCCAAAAAGGTAATTGTTGTTATTTTATCCCGAAATGACCAAAGCTGTGCATACTTTTGGCTTCCCAGTGATAATTTTCCATAAAATCATATAAAAACTTAGGGGTAATCCATGAGTCAACTGGGGATTTTCAACGCCTCAGATAGACCGAGCACTTCGATGCACAGGTCATCAAAGATCTGGGCTTTACGATCCCGCAGAAGACCGTGGACGAGTTGGTATACGAGGCCCGGCAGTGGTACAACCCAACCTTTCAACCCAAAAAAAGACCAGAGTCGGAAGAAAGGCACTGGAAATCTCATCTTTAAGACCATTGTGTTGAGCTTGTTGAACCATTTTACAGATATTTCTAGAGATCTTTATGGCTATTTATGGATATTTATGGCTTTGAAGCCCAAGAAAAAAACATCAAAAACACCTCCATGGAGTCCCAGGCCCGTGTCCGCGGGGATATCGTGAATCGAACGGAGGATACAAACCTGGATTATGCCACTGGGGCGCGGATCACTGAGAACCAAGGGAGATCATGGAAAAATGGGGGAGGTCAAGATGACTGGAGATTTTACTGTATGGATTAGTGTAACAGTCCTTATTGCTTTATACGATGGCAATCTTCCATAGTCTTCCCCCAAAACACATGAAACATGCATGAATCAGGGAGATGTGACCAAGAAAATCGGAGATGCAGCAGAAAAATAGGGCACTTTCACCAGGTAGAACAGACAGAATTGCACATGAATAACGTCTATATCGCAATCCCCATCCCCATTGCACTGGGATCCATCTCTGTATCATACCTATAATAATAACCTTGTTGAATTACTTTGTTTTAAGCGGCTCCTGATAAATGTTTTTTTGACAATCTTGTTGCTGACCAAAAAAATACCCAAGCACTTTTTCCAGGCAGAGGTGTGTGGATGTTGCGGCCATCGAACTCCATTTGCTCCCGACCAAGGATAGTTTTGTTCACTTCATGCAAATCTTGAACGAGAACGACGGCTTCAATGCAGAGGACAACAACGCGGACGCGTTTGGGCCTGCGGGTTGAAACTGCAATGTGTAGAACGCTGTCCAAGAACAATTCTGTGAGGAAGGCTTCCATCATTGTGAGCTGGATGGTATAAATGCCAAATATTCCGAGAATTTGTTATAATATGTCATAATTATAGCAATCATTGGCAAATATCAGGCTGAAAGTCCTAAGTGATACAGGTTGAAACTTGGCATTGCTGGAAGATCCCCCAAAAAGGAAAGGTGGTTAACCCATGGCCCCATCTGCTTCACATATCCACCGTATGCATCCATAAATCCTACTTACATACTTACCTAGACCCTCCAAATACACTCAAAAAATGGTAAACGTATTAAAAGGATGGGGAAAAATGGGTAAAACACAATTTTTATTGGTACTTGGAGGGTCCTTGCTAGACATTATGACCTGGACTTTTTTTTTGTTCAAAACTTTCTGCCGATGTGGTCAGGAGATTACGCGCATCCAGAAGACTTTTCATAAGTTTGACCTGGACGGGAGCAGGGAGACGTTGTGTTAGGCAAAATGGCTATGAGTCAAAACCTTGGTACCCTAGTGAACCCCAAATAGCTGGGATTTATGGATGTTCATCCCCCCAAATATAGCAAGATTGGTTTTGATACATCCCCAAATGGGGATTCAAACCTCAATCGTCCGGATTTCACCAAACACTGGGTATTGGGGTTGAGTACGGTTGACCCATGTTGACCTGTATTTAAGGTCAGTTTTTGTTTGAAGGCGCACTGAATAGCCTCCGGAAAAAAAGAACCTGACAACTATTTACTTGTTGATCAAAACCACGGGTTTCAGGCCTACCTTAGATTTACCAACGGGTGCATTTGCAGAAAAAAACATCAACAAAAACTGATACATTTTTTTGACACAACTTGTTAAGTCATTTTATGTAATGTTCAATGCCAATGGATGCCGTGTTTGTTGCTGCTTTTCGCGGCAGGACGGCAGTGGAGATATCAGTTCCATCGAACTCGCCGACATGTTGAGGGAACTGGGTCAATGTTCCAGGATGGAAGAGGCCACTGTTGTGGATGCTCCAAGATGGAAACAATGGATGAGACTGGGAATAACAGAATCATGACACTCTGGTAAACTAACATAACATAACTATGGGAAATCATCATATTTCATATGTACGTATGTAAGAATGTGCTAATCATTAAATTATATATATATATATATTAATGAGAATTTGGATGCTTATGATATTTAGTTATCACTGATAATTGTGGGACTGATACTATTCATGATCGAATGAGTATAGCAATCTATTTGGAGCACACGTGGTCACGTGAAGTTTGGCGTTTCGCAAAGTTCTGCTGAGTTAAGCCATGCCGTCCCGGATTGGAGATACCTCCCAGGTCCCATGAAATATCATCCGAATGTATCCGAGGTATGTTTGGTTTGAGTCATAGCCCATTCTGTTTTAAACAATTAGTGAAATTAGTGACAGAGTTTGGTTTGTCTTAGACATACAAACCACTATCATCATGTCCCATAATCATAGACTTTGGTTTGTCCGCATAGTTTATTTGTGCAGCGGTGCATCCGCCATTTTCTTACTTGTGCATCTTGTGCTTAGTAGGGAATGAAGGAATGATCCACTGGCCAACTATCAACCAGTGGTTCGCTGCACTGCTGTGCCAGGTTCGCAGCTTGTTGTCCGCCGTAGACATCAATGGAAATGGTGTGCTCGACATGCGGGAGCCTGGTGTGTTCGCGCAGTGGGGGTGTTTTAGTTGGTGAAATCCATGGTGAAAATTATATCTGATGATATTTCTTGATATTTCTTGATATTTGATGTTGTTAAACTATGTTAAACTGCAGAAATAATTTTGTTGGTGGAAAGAAATCCACCTTTTTGTCCGGAAGAAGAATTGTTCCATCATGAATTCCTCAGACTCCACAGATCCATTGGAATTCCTGGGAAATCGATGTCTGCGGATTTTTCATCGGCAGGTTCTGGGTGAAATTCTTGGGTCCATCTCCTCAGATATCACCGACTTTAGATGGTTTGTAGGATTTTGTAGGTAGGCATTTCAGATCTGGATAATTTCTTAACAATCGTTTTTTTGTGAACGATCTTTTTTGGCTGTTTTAAAACACCCACGTCAGACGTCAGGAGTTTATTCGCTTCATGCGGCTCTTCAGAGAGAAGCAGCTGGCGCGCGTGAAGATGGTCTTCACCAAACAAGCAGATCCCCAGATGGATCCAGCGGTGATTCCAGCTGCACAGGCAACGGATGGCAACGACAGCTGGACAGGGAGAAAAAAGATGTTGGAAAACCCATCCAAAAAATGTCCAGCATGGAATGATACACCAACATCAACATACATCAATTATATGATATTATATGATATTATATGATCCCCCATGTCCAGAAATCAATCATAACGTATTCAGTATATGGCTAATATATGCTAATATCCCATCATATCTCAATTTTGTTTATGCCGAAGCCCCCATTATATCCCCCATCACAGGTGGAGGAAGCAGTCCATGCCGTCCTATCAGAAGAAGCAGTGGAGGCAGCACTTTGTTTCGTGGATTTTCGTGGTACCAATCCCAAACAGCTGGGATTTATGGATGTTCAGCAGTTTAGCTGATGAATAATATGCTTGAATCATCTTAAATCCCAGCTATTCTGACGTGAAAAGACCCAATGTAAAGAATACCCAAGAAATTAGGGGTTACACTCTGATTGTGGCTACCACTTTGAATCATTATAAACATGATAACAAAAATAACTGTAACTACAACAATATAAATGATATATATAAATTATAACTCATATATAAACGAGATATGCATACTATGTAGATAATATATAAATAAATCATACCAATACATAATATATAGATAATGCTGAGAATAATGATGATACTTGTAGAAAATACACTATATACTTTCACAAATCCATGTTTTCCATGTTTCATGACTTTAACGTTTTGGATGGTGCTTTGTCCAAAAACTTGTCAGATCGCCTTGGCGGATGGTCAAAGCATTGCCAAAGAGCCCTTGGAGTTCGAAGACTTCGTTCTTTGGCCAAAACGAAGTTCGAAAATGGTGTGTTTTTGGTTAACAAAAATGGGAGTTTACCGAGTTTACCATGAAAAATGGCGATTGTTCAGATTTCATGGTGATTTACCCTGTAATCAAACGTGGCTAGCTGGTTTCAGTCCTCAATGGAAGATGTTTCATGGGAAAATCATGGAACGAAATGCTGGGGGGGATTTTCCAGCTCACCATTGCAGTAGACTCAGTAGATCCGGGAATTTTTACCCAAAAAACCACAGGATAATCATATCATCATTTTCCCATGTTTTTTTCCTATGATTTATGGCAATCGGTTTTTTGGTGCAAACCCAGGGTCGTAAAGCCGGTAAGGTCGAGCCGGCGTGCCCTTTATTTGTTGGTCACTTTCCCATTGTTGGTTGGGCCATTATGCCCCCAGCTGATACTAATAAAAAGCTGGCAATGTTCCCAGTTGCTGCTCAGGTCCGAATTACCGACCCTTGGCAACGCGCCATTTCGTTTGGCCCTGTGGTCATTTTCACCGAGGATTTCCAAATGATTGGAATCAGAGGGTCTATCTCGGTGAATCCCACCTCTGAGAGGCAAACTGCTTTGAAGCCCAAGACTGTATGTAGTTGGACGGGGAAGTAGAACCACGTTTGTTGCTGGTTTAATACCCCGTGTTTGAGTTGTGCAAAATCGATGGCTTATGGATATTGATTTGGAATGTGTGAGGCCGTCTTAAGATAAGTCTTAAGGCATTAATCACGGATCACTACACCACCGTAGTGTTTCTGATCAAAATCAACTAATATCCATTGGTAAATCTCAGATTTCCATCGTCCTCACATCTCGGAAATCTGCTAATTTGATGCCAGATATGCCAGAGACATACATCACTACTTGGTGGTTCTATGATGTTCTATGTATATCTATGTAGAGTATGATGACCCCCAGCATGTTTGGTAACCTGGTAACCCCCAGATATCCCCAGATCGAAAAAAAATATGGAGCATCTCCGCAGCCTGACTCAAAGGATGAGCTCCGAGAGTATTGCGTGTTGACCTCCAAGAAATTTGCTGGTTACAGCCAAATGGAGGTGCCAACCTTGAAGGACCACTGCTTAGATATCCCGAAATTTCTCCCTAGAAGGTGATGTGAAAATTGTGAAAGTGCCTTAACTCTTTGATGGTACAACCATGTACAACCTCCCCTGTTGCTTAGAGCTCAAGTTTGCCATGAAAAAGCATGTCAAATCCAGATGTGCCATGGTCCTGGTAAGATCCACATACTTTGCTGGTTACACTGTGTACACTGGTTAAATCCAAACTGGTCAAATCCTCATTTTTTTTCCATGCATCATCAGAATTTCTAGTGATGAATTCCAATCAAATGCTGGTGAAATCTCGTTTTGTTTGGTGAAACCATGTTAATTAACCCCGTACGTTTGCTGTTTCAGATCTATTGATTATGATACTTAAGATGTTAAGTCTCTATTCTTGCTTCTTGAATCTGAATATTTCCATGTCAAGTCAGCCTTTCTTCTGCTAAATTCTCATTTTTGGGTTCAAATCCACATACTTCTCCTTCCAGAATGTCATCGTAGTTTTCAAGAATCTTATATTTGTTGCTAAAATCTCATGATTGAATGAACTTCCCCATGTTTTGCTAGTAAACAATCGCCATGTTTGCTGGTCAAACCTCTATTTTTAGATATTTTCCATCAACTTTCCACATTTTCCACATTTTTCCCTAAGAAAATCCCCCTCCCCATCCCCCCAACCGGTTTTTTTGGAAACCGCCAGGTGGACGGCCTGCGGCAGGTCTTCGACGGCTTCGACCTGAAGAAAACGGGTCTGCTGCGACAGACCGAGGCCACGGAACTGCTGAAGAGCTTGGGCATCGAAGTGCGCAGCGTGGAGGTCGGACGCCATGGGAGGATGGGATCCATGGAGCTATGAAGCTCATGCTATATACAATTATAAATTTAACTATATATGGGTATGGGTCAAAATTAGGTACCCCAAAATTATGGATGGTTAATACTAAACTAGACTAACATCTGTGGTCCCCTAGGTCTTCCATTTTGACCCACATCCATATATATATATAAGTTATTAGTTGATTTAGTTGATATATTCATACTAATCTAATTACGCATATATATATAATTATCTTTAATTTATGAAGAAGTAGCATATTACTTAAATTATAGAGTTACACATGATATTGAAGTTCAATTAGTGGCAAAACTACCAGATAAAGAATATGGTGAACATGAATTTAGTTTTAGGGAAAATTACTTTATGAATGGCTTTGATGAATATGTAGATGAAGATAATATAGACGAAGTATTAAATAAAGCAGTTGAAGAAATAAAAACCGATATAAGAAGACCAAGATAAAGATAGTATAACAGGAATACAAGCATTTCATTTTGAATTGATAATTATTGAAGAGATTTACTACTAACATATTTCTAATAATATTTATTTATTAGAATTATGGATTTGTAAGATAGGGTTATTAAAGGGTAGGGAATAATGTTTATTGTTGTCTATTGTTTTGTTTTTAATGGTGTTCTTTGCTTGGCTTGTTTTTGTTTTTTGGTTGTTATAGGAATTCTTGGAAAAGACATTTAAGAAGATAATCATATTTATATGTAATGGGTAAATTTTGTAGATACTGTGTTAAAGATTTACCAATTGATAATTTTGAAGATGGATTGAAGACTTGTAAGAAATGCTTGGAATACAAGAGAAAGAACTATGACAAACATAAAGATAAAGTGAATGAAACACGAAGAACTAAATATAAAGAAGATGAAGAATATAGAAAAAAGAAACAGGAACAAATACAAAACTATCGTGATAAAGTTGCCTTTTGTAATGTATGTAATTCATCAATAAAGGCACAATGTTATTCAAGACATTTAAAAACAGAGAAGCATAAAAAGGAATTTAGGAACGGTTGATGGATAGGATTTTGTAAAATGAATAAGGTAATAATGCGTTTGACTGCCATGATTTTGAAAAATGAATGAGGTAAGTATGCTTTGACAGCTATGATTTCAAAATTTTGAATGAGGTAATTGTGTTTTGACTGCTATGATTTTGAAAAATGAATGAGGTAAGTATGCTTTGACTGCTATGATTTTGAACAATTGAATGAGGTAATTATGTTTTGACTGCTATGATTTTGAAAAATGAATGAGGTAAGTATGCTTTGACTGCTATGATTTTGAAAAATCGAATGAGGTAATTATGCTTTGATATTGTTGAGAAAAATGACGTAATCAATAAGGAATTTCGTGAACCCTAATTTTAGCGAATATTCTGAGGGTGGACCCTCAATAAGCGTTTTGACTACATGAAAGCTCAAAATGGAAGGTTTTTGCGCTTAATTTTCGATGATTCTAAGTTGAAAACGCATATTGAGCAAGTGGTTTTCCCGGTGGTATGTGCAGGACCTTGCCCGGACATTCAACCCGCAAACATTGTCAGATCTTGCCATTCCTGAGCTTAAGGTTTATTCAATTTTCTGATAATGATTGCGCTATATGCGTTTTGAGTGCTTGGAGAGTGAAAAACAACATTTGCTGTTTTCCTTTTTGACAAATTAGACTGTAAATTTGCATATCGCCTGTTTGGAAGTGACGGAACCACAAAAATATTCACTTTCCTATATGCCAATCTGCGTTGATATAGTCATTTAAGTTTTATTTTTGTTGCAATGGAATCTCATTATAGCATGCTTCTCGGCTGGATGATCCTGAGCATCTTATCCGCTGGATGATCCTGAGCAGCATTCTCACAACTAAATGTTATTATCATTATCCCGGAAAGTCAAACGAACAAACGCTTCATGAAGAAACAACATATTCATGTTGGCATGCGGGCACCAATAACGAACAAACAAGTCTGAGGACAACCGCCCCAATCTTTCAAAGCCAAACGGTTTGAAGCGTTGCCGCTCTCAAATTTTGAAAAAAACGGTCCCTATAGTAAACTTCTGATGTTATCCTCCGAAAACTTTGGTGATATGATATCATGTGACATCCTGATGAGAAACTATATGCTGATCCTCTGGGCTGGTATCAGAAAATCCTGATGATATCCCCAGAGTTTATGGCTGGTAACGTGCTAAATTTCTGCTGAAATTTTGATGAGTCCATTCTGATGATATCCTTAGACAGGTCCGATAATCCTCACAAACTTCTGATGATAATTCCGATGATATCCTTAGAAAGGTTATGATGAGATGCTGGTGATATCCGCAGAAAACAGTCGCAATTTGCGCTGAAAATATCAGCTACAAAATATCCTCGGACTTTGTAGCTGATGTGTTGCAACAAAAACTGATCCTTGATTAGCATAATTTCATATATATATATATATATCAGAACTTTTTGATGGTTACCAAACAAACAATTCTGGAGATTCCTCCAAATTTACTGAGAAACCCTCAAAATTTTCGGAGGAGCCTTCAGATTTTCCTGAGGAATCATCAGCTTTTTTTGAGGATCCTCATCCTCAGACTCTTTGAAGATCCTCAGAATTTTCTGAGGATCGTCATCCTCAGAATTTTCTGAAGATCCTTATGCTGCGAATTTTCTGAGGGTCCTCATCCTCAGAATTTTCTGAGGATCGTCATCCTCAGAATTTTCTGAGGATCCTCAGAATTTTCTGAGGATCGTCATCCTCAGAATTTTCTGAGGATCCTCAGAATTCTCTGAGGATCGTCATCCTCAGAATGTTCTGAGGATCGTCATCCCCAGAATTTTCTGAGGATCCTCAGAATTTTCTGAGGATCCTCAGAATTTTCTGAGGATCGTCATCCTCAGAATTTTCTGAGGATCCTCATCCTCAGAATTTTCTGAGGATCGTCATCCTCAGAATTTTCTGAGGATCCTCAGAATTTTCACTCGATAAGCGTTTTTTTGTTTGAAAATAAGCGTTTTTTTGGCACATTTTCATGAAAAAAAACGCTTATTGAGCGAAAATTCTGAGGATCCTCGGAAAATTCTGAGGATGACGATCCTCAGAAAATTCTGAGGATCCTCAGAAAATTCTGAGGATGACGATCCTCAGAAAATTCTGTGGATCCGCAGAAAATTCTGAGGATGACGATCCTCAGAAAATTCTGAGGATGAGGACCCTCAGAAAATTCTCAGCATAAGGATCTTCAGAAAATTCTGACGATGACGATCCTCAGAAAATTCTGAGGATTCTTTAGATTTTTTTTGACAATCACCAAAAATTTCGGTTAATGACAATTCCAATAATCATTGGATATATCCGGTGTTCGTCAGCACGACGATCGTTGCAAAAAAAATCTCCAAGAGCAAAGTCAAGCACGAAGCACGGCCATATTGTGTACACAGACAACACGCAGTGTGTTTTACTTGTTTTGTTGTTTTTCCCTGACCATCAAAGCTATATTTATTTTAAAATTTTAAAATAGACCAAAGCATGATGATAATCATCAAATGTATTTGATATTCAATCACCAGATATATCCAGAGATTGTCAGAATGATGAACCTTGGCAAATCTGATTCTCAAAGGAGAAACAAACACAAAGCATGCCGTTATTTTGTATACATACAGCACGCGCTGTTTGACTTGTTGTGTTTGCCTCTTTTTCCGTGCTCAAAATTACCTGATGCATGTCGCGAAAATGATATCCTGATAAACTCCTCATGATATCCTTCAAACGTTCTGATGATCATCTGTAAATCCTGATATTCTCGGAAATGGTTCATGATATCCTCAGATAAATCTGATGACCCTCAGAAATTTCTGAATGTATCCCCCAGAGGTCTGCTGATATCCTAGAATCCTAGAACATACTAGATGCTTTATGATGATACCGTCAGAGAATTATTTCTCAGAAAATTCTGATCCTCAGAGATTGTTTTATCCTTCGGAAACTGTGATGGTATCCGCAAAAACGACATTTCCATCAGATTCCAAAAGTGACATCCTCCAAAATGCCCCATTTTATCCTTTGAACATGTTGCCATGTTGTTTGTTCATTTTCCTTTAAACAGTTTTATCATGTACATCCAAAAAATCTTGGAAACTGTCTTGATGTACGTTCAGGATATTCTGACTGCCACAAGAACTTTCTCTTGATATAGGTTATATGTGGATATCCTGAGAGAATTCGGATGATATCCTCACACAATCCGATGGTATTTTTCCTCAAACCCAGTAAATCACATGGTTGATTGGTATAGCTGGCAGAAATCCGCCAAAATCTTATTTCACACTGAAAAGGGAAATTAAGGTCCCTGCCACCCAAAATACATTAAACACACATATTACACAAAAAATGGACCTCGCAACATGTACTATTTTTTTTCGATGGTTCCCTGCATTCATGGTAAATGTTGGTAAATGGGTTTTCCTGACATGAGTGGCTAGATCCCCCAATATGCGTTCATGGCGCACGATTTTTTTTTTTGATACACCTTAAACGCATATTGACCCCCCCCGCTAACAGAATTGGACCATAAACGCATATTGGGCAAATAAACAGGACTTCACGAAATTTACTAGTAATCAACAATATTTAAACTGACTTTTTGGACTGTTATGTTTTTTTTTTAAATGAATAAATTTTGATTTGCTATACTGCTATGATATTAGTTTAGAACACTTCACTGAATCAACTTTTTTTTTACATTTTTTGGGGAGGGGGCATGTCTCAAAACCTTTCGGAAACCAGGTTTCGCAATTTTCCCCAAATTTCCCAGTCCCAGTTCAACCATGGCTTTTTTTAGCTATGCCATAGGATGTTCCCAGTTCGACATAGCCACCAGGCTGCCACCAGGCTGCCACCAGGCTGCCACCAGGCTGCCACCATGGTTCCATTGATCATCCCAAAGGGTTGACCGAACTCCGCAGGAACGCTTGCTGCTTTCAGACCAGTCGCTGGGATGATAGCAGTGGTTCTGGTTCTGGGAGCTGATGCACTGATGCTGATAGTGTAGATTTATGCATTTTTTTTGGGATTTTCATGTGATGAATCTAGAAAAAATGCTGTCTACTCTAGTTAAAAACATGTTTTTGCTGCAGTTTCCGGATTTGAGTGGCAACTTTGACGTGGCTGCATGGGGAATAGTTCTACGTACCAAAACAAGATGAAAAAAACTGAAGAAACATTATGGCTTTGGCACATTTGGAATTCCTTAGCAGTTTCTCTGACCTCTAGTCAAAATTATGTTCTTGTCCTACTTGGGCTAGCCACAAGTCCAAATGGGCGTGTGTCACAACTTCGTGGGTCATTGAGGAAGGCCAGATGTTGGCGGTTTTTGACAGTCAACCATGTTCGAACAATGCGGTGGCGCGTGTCCAGGAACTTGTCATCCCTATATGTTTGTATCCTGATCATGGTTGCTTCCATCGTGTCATTGATTACAATATTGTTTTGTTACTGCGATTATTCCTTGTCCCCATCTTTTCTTGGGGAATATCTCTATTCTTTGTTGCTTAGTAGTAGGAGTAGGATTAGGACCAGCAGGAGTAAGAGTACGAGTAGGAGTAGAAGTGGTAGTAGCAGTAGTAATAATAGTAGTAGTAGTAGTAGCAGTAGCAGTAGCAGGAGCAGTAGCAGAAGCAGTAGCAGTAAGCAGTAAGCAGTAAGCAGAAAGTAGTGAGTAGCAAGCAGTAAGTAGTCAGTAGAAAGTAGTGAGTTGTAAGTTGTAAGTTGTAAGTAGTAAGTAGGAAGTAGTAAGTAGTAGGTAGTAGGTAGTAGGTAGCAGTAAGTAGTAAGTAGTAAGTAGTAGGTAGTAGGTAGTAGGTAGTAGTAAGTAGGTAGTAGTAAGTAGGTAGTGGTAGTGGTAGTGGTAGTGGTAGTGGTAGTGGTAGTGGTAGTGGTAGTGGTAGTGGTCGTGGTCGTGGTCGTGGTGGTAGTAGTAGTAGTAGTAGTAGTAGTAGTAGTAGGAGTAGGAGTAGGTAGTAGGTAGTAGTAGTAGTAGTAGTAGTAGTAGTAGTAGTAGTAGTAGTAGGAGTAGTAGTAGGAGGAGTAGGAGTAGTAGTTAGGAGTAGGAGTAGGAGTAGGAGTAGGAGTAGGAGTAGGAGTAGGAGTAGGAGTAGGAGTAGTAGTAGTAGTAGTAGTAGTAGGAGCAGCAGCAGCAGCAGTTGTAGTAGTAGTAGCAGTAGTAGGAGTAGTAGGAGTAGTGGGAGTAGCAGGAGCAGGAGTAGCAGGAGTAGTAGGAGTAGTAGGAGTAGTAGGAGTAGTAGTAGCAGCAGTAGCAGCAGTAGCAGCAGTAGCAGCAGTAGCAGCAGTAGCAGTAGGAGTAGGAGTAGGAGTAGGAGGAGGAGTAGTAGTAGTTGTTGTTGCTGTCGTCGTTGTCGTCATCGTTGTAGTAGTACTAGTAGTAGTAGTAGTACAAGACTTAGGCTCATATTTAATGGAGGGGGGAGGAGGAGGGGAGGGAGAGGGGTGGGGAAAGCAGGGGAAGCAAAAACGTGTAGCAAGAGAACAACGGCACAAGTACAAGCCAAGAACAGAACAGGAACAACACCTTCCAATCAGACACGCCGGCAGGCCGGCGGATTTTTTCAAGTGAAATCCCCATCTTCAATGATGAAACATGGCTGTAAATCACTGAGGATCGCCCGAGCCTGCGATGCAGCGCGGGAAGCTGGTGCGCAGGCGCGGCTGCGGGGTTTCCATGTTCGAGCCGGTGTGGAGTCAATAAGTTTCAGCCAACTTTGGGATCAAAAAAACTATGAAAAACACAGTGATTCTGGATCCATGTTTGGGAATGTCATATCATATCTCTCTGAATCCAAAGGAGCCAAAGATGTAAATCGCATCTTTTGGGTTGAGCATAGACCAAGAATTGCTCGGATTGACATCAGACACCAAGATATTGAGGGTTTACTAGTTTTTGGCCCATTGGCGCTCAATTTTTGACCCATGGCCATAACGATCTCACTCCTCATTAAATGATTTGCCTGTTTATTGTTATGTTCCGTCTAGTTGCTGCAAAGCAGGTAAGTATATACTTTGATCTGGAACGAGACGTAGAAACTTTCTCTGATCTATGCATGGTGTATTGATTGTATGTTTTGATTATGCAGTGCAGTACGTACATGTATCACTGTTGCTGCGTGTTTGTCACAATTGCAATTTACCCTTATCCCAGCTTTGCTACATTTTTGAGCCGACATTCAGCTGCAGCTAAGCGCCAGGAGGTGGTGGATCAACACGTGAATTTCTGGGTATTCCTTCAACTCTTCCGTTCCATGCGACGGAAACAGGACCCCCAACCAGGGACGAGAAGCTTTGACGCTGATCCAGTCAGGTAGCAAAGGTTTAGATGCTGCTCGATTCCAATGGTCAGTTCCCTATTTATGTTGTCTAAATCTCATAACTTGCTGGTTATCTTGATCGGGCCGGGGGTGCAGAAGTCATTTCCGACCTAAATGTGTTGGTTAAGTCTCCTCTACTGGTTAAATTGACGGCTACACCATCTTGATTCCACAAGTGGCTGGTCAAATTTAACCTCCAAAACATGTGGTTGGTTCAGTTCAACCTCTCATCCATCATGCGGTTTCATCCGAAAATCAAGTGTCCCACACTCCCGTGATGTATCACCATTCATCCCTTTAGCTTTGTATTTTGTTATGGGGTGAACTGAATTTGCAGACTTGGATCCCATTCTATCCCCATGTTTGTTGGTTAGATCAGTCAAATCCTTACACATTGTGGACGAAAGCTGTTGGTTTAATCTCTGTAGATTATTGGATTTCCCGCTTAGATTCCAGGTTTGTTAGTTCAAATATGTTTGGCCTAAGCCCATTGGTTGCTTCACCGTTGCGTCACGGTTGCTCCGTTACGCTTCACCGTTGCGCCGTCGGCCAGGACGAAGAGAACGAACGGCGCCTGATGACGGTGTCCGAGGAGGCCAAGTTCAGCTCGCAGGACGCTGACGCTGGGGAGCCGGGCTGGGAGATTTGGGCCATGCCAAATGAGATCCGGGGGTTCAGTTCCTAAGCAAAAGTGTAGTATAGTGTAGTGTGGGATAGTATCGTATGGTGTATAATGTATAATGTATAATGTATATAGTATATAGCAAATAGTATTAAATTAGTATATAGAATATTGTAAATAGTACACAGTATATAGTATATAGAATATAGTATATAGTATATAGTACACAGTATATAGTATATAATATAATGTATAATGTATATAGTATATAGTATATAGAATATAGTATATAGTATATAGTTTATAGTATTTAGTATATAGTAGATAGTACACAGTATATAGTATATAGTATGTAGTATATAGTACACAGTATATAGTATATAGTATATAGTGTATAGTATATAGTGTATAGTGTATAGTATATAGTATATAGTACATAGTACATAGTTTATGATTTAATATAGTACAATATAGTATAATACAGTATAATATAGCATGATATAGTAAATATTAAAGTATACTATATTATAGTATTTAGGATAGTATAGTGTAGTATTGTATCAGTATAGTGAAGGATAGTAGAGTATACATTTAGTGTACACATAGTATACATCTAGTATACATAGATTATACATCTTATTTACATCTAGTATACATCTTATATACATCTAGTATACATCTAGTATAGCATAGTATAGTCATTTCTGCCATTCCCCAGACCCGCACAAGTTCCCCAAAAGTATCCAAAAGTCTTCCTGGTGGCCTGCCAGTTCCAGGAAGTGAGCCAGTTCCAGGAGGCCCAAGGGGCCCAAGATGTTGGATTTTTTGTGGCAGGTCGGTTGTGACGTTGAGGGTTAGCCACAACTCAATGGGAAATTATATATAGATGGCTAACAATCATATGTTATATGGATCTGAGGAAAACCCTATTCAACTCAGATATATAGTAAAATCTCAAAACAGATGCTGACTTCACCAGAAAAAGGACTATCTTGGATTTCCGCAGCAGCGCTGAACAGAGCATATTCGTGTGGATTTGTGATAATCCATGGTCAAAGGGACCATAGGTGCCACAGTCACTTGTAGTACTACCTCAACCTTGACCCAATCCCATGTGGCAATGTGTGCATGAGCAAGATACAACAATCCAGTATTGGTTCAGTCCCATATATAACATCTAAGTTTTGAAAAACATGGTTAGTGGTTGACTTAATTGATGGTTCAGCAGTGACGTTCAGCAGTGACAAGTGATGAAAACAAATAGGAGTTTCTGGATTGGTTCCCCCCTTGACCAAGATGTTTGGCATTGTTTAACCAGTGGTTAAAAACAACACGGCAGCGCAGATAGTCATGCCAGCCTCCTCTAGACTCTGATTTAAGATTGATCCCGATTCAGATGGCTGAAGGGCATCAATAAGTAGACTTTACTTGGGAACTCGTGTTCCAGCAATGGCAAAAGTTGGAGTTTTACTAACGAGTTTTCTGTGGGAAACACGTGTTTTGGTCTTGACAACTGTTAGTTGAAAGTACCAGCAACCCTTCCGTTCAACCCTTCCGTTCAAAAAGGATCAAAAAGGTACGTCCGTGAAAATCCGACGGGCTAAAAAGAGGGCATCCCTTTCAGGGTGTCTTTTTGAAAAGTGTTTGGAGCCTCATGTGTCTATATAATTTAGCAGCAACACCAGGTCATTTGGGACGTGTGGGTCACAACATTTGATTGCTTCAAATCAACTCCTCATTCAGGGAGCTCTAGGGTGCCTCATCCACAAACAAAAGAACCATGAAATCCTACTGAATCCCCTCAAAGCCTACTAAATCCCATTGATTGAATTGCCATTCCAATTTAGATGCTGTAATAGTCATGATGAATAAGAAGAATCTTAGTATATAGCAATCATCATCCCTTTTTGTTACATCTGTTGCTTCGATCCTTTGTGAAAGATGCCGCATGGGCCAGGTCTTTGACCATGCCTTCGTCTCCTTCGTGGGAGACCAAGTCACCAGCAGCGATCAGAAGTTGATTCCCAGGACAGGGGAGAAGATGGGGGAGATTGACCACAGGACATGGGACATGTGCATATATATATAATATATATATATAAATAAACTAAATGAATAAATAGATAAATAAATATAGTTTGGTGCGTTTTCTGGGCTGGGGGGAAAACACTATCTTTATTTAACTCTAATATATATATGTATTGATAACGAGTGTTCTGGAAAACGCGTCGAAACTATACATGATCATACATGTTAGCTATATTAGTGTCAATAACATGCTTGATGCCCAAATTCATTAATCTGTTTTAAGATCACTGATGCATCAACACAGCATGGTTATAAACACATGATTGTTTTTAAACATATTATTTAGTTCAAATCTAAAGAAGACAACACCACACAATTCAAATACGCAACATGGTAGGGAGCATATATGAGGTTCAAACCATTTGACACTGACGTTGTTAAGTATGATTCTTGTACTACCTGGCAGGAGAGGGGGAGCAGGATCATATGATGTAGGATGTGTGATAGCATGAACTGCTCATTGGAAGGATTTAGGTGATAACATGAGTGGACTGATTGAGCACGCTTAAAAGTGATGAAGTCAATTCAGCAATCTGGTTTGTTTCGTGACTCTTCAGAATCAAAGTTCAGGCAGTTGATCATAAGTCCTTTGGTGGGTGCTTGGGCTAAACCCGTCGTGCCAGGACTGGTATTTACAAGCTCCTGAGAAGTATGGGCCTGCGGGTCGAAGGAGCACAGCTGAGCTGTTACCATGGTTGCTTGTAAGGTGTAACACACACACACACTCTCTCTCTCTATGTGTATAATTATATATATACACACATGCAGATGCCTTTCAATTAATGTCATTATCTAATTATTTAAGATATTTAAGCATTTTAGGTACGTCTTTATTCATGCTGATGGACGTCCATAGAGTGAAAGTCGAGGAGTCGAGGCCACATATTTGCTCACTTCGACTGCTTTTATTTATTACGTGCGTTCTGTATAGAACAGTACCATTATATCTTATATATATTAATACTAAATAATACTATATAATACTATAGAATAATTTATAATACTATATAATACTAAATAATACTATATAGTACTATAGAATACAATATAATACTATATAATACTATATAGTACTATAGAATACTATATGATACTATATAATACTATATGATACTATATGCTACTATATACTATATAATACTATATAATACTATATAATACTATATGATACTATATGATACTACATAATACTATATAATACTATATAGTACTATAGAATACTATATAATACTATATATTACTATTTGATACTATGTAATACTATGTAATGCTATATAATACTATATAATACTATATAATACTATATGATACTATATGCTACTATATGCTACTATATAATACTATATAATACTATATAATACTATATAATACTATATAATACTATATGATACTATATGATACTACATAATACTATATAATACTATATAGTACTATAGAATACTATATAATACTATATATTACTATTTGATACTATGTAATACTATGTAATGCTATATAATACTATATAATACTATATAATACTATATGATACTATATGCTACTATATGCTACTATATAATACTATATAATACTATATAATACTATATAATACTATATAATACTATATGATACTATATGATACTATATAATACTATATAATACTATATAGTACTATAGAATACTATATAATACTATATAATACTATATAATACAATATAGTACTATATAATACTATATGATACTATATGATACTATATAATACTATATAATACTATATAGTACAATAGAATACTATATAATACTATATATTACTATTTGATACTATGTGATACTATATAATACTATATAATACTATATAATACTATATAATACTATATAATACGAGATATTACTATTTTTTCTCTCAGTTGTTTAGCTTTGTGTTGCCCCCCCCAATCCCCCTGCAACCGCCGACATCCAGCCATCTAGGACGAGATCGACAAGCCTTAGATGAGGAGATCACCAATCTGAACAAAGATGGGTCGTGGCTCCCAGATGTTTTTCGACGTGGCACCAAAACGGTGATTTTTTAATGGGAGTTACTATGGGATATGGTGGGAATAGAATGGGAATATCCATGGGAATATGGAATATAGTGGGAGTATCATGGGAATATCATGTAAGCCCCTATAAGCATGGTTAGATATCGGTGATACTGTGGATGGTTAAGAAATCCTGTACCAGTTGGTAGATGAGCAAAATCCCGTTACAATCCCAGTAAATAGCCACAGTGTTTCATAATTACCTAGCGGTGCAGGATTTCTTCCATCCACATCATTGGAATATAGTGGGAATAGAGTGGCAATATATACCCTCTGGTTATTTAACAGTTCGCCATGGAAAATCACCATTTTTTTAGAGGTAAACCATCTATAAATGAACAATTTTCAATAGCTATGTTAAATTGCCAGAGGGTATCCCCGTATAATTATAGCAAAATATCGTTTTATTCCATTGATAGGACGACGCGTGAATTTTTTCCAATTGGACATCCAACAGCGATGGAACAGCATGGGATTTTGGCCACGGGAAGTTGTCTTGGCGTTTCACACCAGCAATGGGCAGTTTCAAAGATAGGGAATGGCTGAATAGGTCTAGTTTCCTAAGGATGATGATTCCATCCATGATGGAATTGGTCTCATGCAGTTGTCCATCCAGTTTTGGAAGATCATCCAGGTGACGCTGGTGACTGGAACATGTTTTATGACTTTCCATATATTGGGAAGAATCATCCCAACTGACGATTCGTCCATGATTTTTCAGAGGGGTAGGTATACCACCAACCATATATATATAATGTTAGATGTATTATATGCCCAGTCACAATTTCATATCAGGCGGATTTCCTTCCATGACTCGATCATGACGACAAGCCCTGAAGGAGACCAATAATAAATTCAACTCACAGACCTTGTCAGATTCAGATGGACTCGTCATCTTTAGTTTTAACTGGTATATGTGTTTGCATTTTTTGAATGGCGCTATTGTACTTGATTATGAATAATATATATATATATATCATTATATATCAAATATGTCAAGTGATGATTAGATTCCTATTCTTTGGGGATATACACTAGAGACTAGTCAGTGATGAAGTTCTACTGATATTGTTTTCCCACACATAACAAGGCACGACATGGGATTTTGTGGGATCGTTTTCTCCTGCAGGTTTTCGTTCGTCCTGAGGGTTTCCAACTTGCTACGGAAGTTTTTTCGGCCACGACTAATGGTCCCTGCAACCAGCAGCATACCATCAAGGACCAGATGTTTTTTCCCAAATCGGGTTCCGATTTGGATCGACACTGAGGCTGGATTTTCCCAACTTCCTCTTGCTTATGAGATGGATGGTTGATGTGGACTTCGGTCAGATCTCTTCTAGAAACCTCTGACACCGGGGTTGCCTCGTTAGATCGGAAAGCAGCCACGGAAAGCGTGACCACCGGGTTAGAACTTGGGGGTTAAGCATGGTTAAGCAACAAATAGCAAGAACATATGGGTATGGATCAATACCTATTAATACCATTTTTAGTGGGATGAACATCCATTTACCAGCTATTTTGATGTTCACCAGGGGTACAAGGTTTTGACACACTGCCATATGATGGTGACTATGATCTGGAAACAGCAACAAAAAGTGGCTTGCAGAGATGGATATGACCCATATCCAGATGTGGGTTGGTGACTGAATAGGATCATGTCATTTTCTCCCAAATCATCCAACATGTTATCCTCGTTGAGCATTTTTCTTCGCCGGTGAAATGGGTACCCCATGGTACCCCCCGAAATTGGAGAAGACCTATTGACATCCCTACAGATGATCAAAACATGTGATTTTTCCATAGCTATGACCAATATTCCATAGCAATCTGCTAGTTTAGCATATTAGAATTTGGTACATTTGGTGACCGGTGCGGTTTGCAAAACATATTCGTCAAGGCGGAGTGCTGTACATCTGCAGTGAATGTGTTTTTGTTGGCCCCCCAAAAAGGGTATAGTGTTTGTTTTGTGTTTGTTGCTAGATAGATCTAGAATGATCTAGATAGTTCATGTAGTTCGACACACAAAGAAGTCTCTCTTTCTTTTGGGCTTTCTCTTTGACATGACCATCATGACCACTGTAGTCTTTTTGCAGGAGCCTCTTCCGAGGCTTTTTTTTTGCAGGGTCGATCCTGTGGCGTTGCTGGCGTCTGCCTTGGTCGGGAGTTTTTTTGTGGTTGAAGAGCGACCAGGTTTTGGCCTGTTTTGGCCGGGCTCGCTCCACCAGGACTCCGCAGTCTTGAAAAACATTCAGATGGGACTTGGGAAGTGCATTTTCTGGTTTAGTCAACTTGATTTAATACTTAATGTCATTTTAATGTCATTTTAATGTCATTATTCCAGTGACACTGGTAGAATGATTTCTGCAGCCGTTAGGGGTTCCCCAATCGCCGCCGGTGGTTTCTCAAAAGTCCAGACTTCAACTGCTGAGCAGTTGCCGACCTCGAAGGTAGGTCAAACCTTGCACTGGACGATGGGGAGAGCAGTCAAACAGCGAACGTTCAGAACGCCTTGATGGCTGGATATTTTGGGCTGGAAGTCATCTTTGTATCATATGTGTAGTACATTCTTTGTGCTGTTGGTTTGATCCCTGCAAACTCCTCGACTTTTGAAGCGTAGACCTTAGATCAATGTGCGAAAGACGGGGCCGTGGCAGCTTCAGGTGCTTTTCGTTTTTTGGTTGATGGTTTCGATTATTCATATTTCTGTTCAACGATATTTAGGGTGTTCCCCAATAACACCTGAACATTCCTTTGATCAATTATTTTTGGTAGTTTTGGAGTATGACCTAAAATGACCCAATTTTCAGAATCTCGTCCAATTCTACTAGTTTGCCGGCCACACTATCACCACAATTGACATTTTGAATAATTATGACTGAACATGGCTTGCATCCTGGCTGCGTCCCAAAGACATACCAGGCCATTCTCATATCCCGAGCACCAACGCATATAAATGCACATAACTGCGCCCAAAATTACCCGCAAAACGCCCGCAAAAATCCGCAAAATGCCCGCAAAAACCCGCAAACGCCCGCAAATCCAAGAATCTGGTAAAATTGTATAATTTTGGGAGCGCGCAATTAAACAGAAACCAACTTGGATGTGCGGCTCCATATTTTGAGAGCAAAATGCTGGTGAGAAGACAGGGCCATGCCGATGGGAAACACCGCCATGACATACCACGCCTAACTTTTTCGGGAAACGCTCGATACGACCATAAATTTGATGAAACGCCTGATTGTGCAAAACGACTGATATTATTTAGGAGTTGGAAGGCCCAGGCACACTCGTATGGGATGGATTGGGATGGGTTGAAACCAAACGTGACATATAATTCTAACGACACATATAGCAATCACAAGGCCATTGTTGATTGCTCAACTGGTCCTTGGATACTCGTTTTTGTTCTGCCTCTGAAAGTGTCGGCAATTTCTATTGGCAGCTACTGCAACCGAGGCTCGAAACTGGGCACATCAACGGTGGAAAAAAGACAAATTCACAAGACATGTGTAGCCTATGGGACTGATATGGATCTATTTAGCCACCAATCATCAAGCCTACCCTCGGGTAAACTAACATAGCTATGAAAAATCATCGTGTTTAATAGGGAAATCAACTATAAATGGTCCATTTTCGAAAGCCATATTAGTTTACCAGAGGGTACATATTTGATCGTGAAACTACTTGTTTCATGCAGCTGGAAAGTCCATTCACAGAAAAGTCCAACAAGTTTCCGTTGGGTTATGAACCACCGCACATGGGCGCTGGGGCCAAAGGGCCTCAAAGGCGCTGGGGCCAAAGGGCCCAGTGGGGCAGAAACTTCAAAAGTGCCCTGATTCAAACTGAGCCGTGACATGGGTATGGGTCAATACCTATAGATACATTTTTAGTGGGATGAACATCCATAAATCCCAGCTATTTTGGGGTTCACTAGGTACCAGGGTTTTGACATGTTTTGACCCATCCCCACATGGTTAAAAATCGTCCCCAAGTTGTTCCCCAATGATGTACTTATTTTAGCTAGGTGAATTAGTATAATCATGGTCAATATCCCACCAGATCCAAATTTGGTCATTCATTTAAGTTAATTATAATATATATATATTATGGTTGATATTAGATCGAATCAACTATCCCATCAGATCAATCTAATGTTTCGGATGTTTATCCATATATGAGGTCAACACATCAGGTCAATATCCCATCAGATCAACTATCACACTAATTGATTGAATCTTAGTTCATACATGCTTCATATAATTCATATATATATATAATATTATATATATATATCCCAGATCTTTAGTAAATCTTAGTTCACATTTAAATATCACACTTATCACAGGGTTTGGTGCAAAACATCCCACGGAAAATATCGATTCCATGGGATGATGGGCTCAGGTAATGGCAGGTTCCGCAAGCGATGATAGGCGCAACGGCAATCGCAACTGATCAGTTGATCAACTGATATAGTACCATGTGATGGTATTATTATATGGCTATTATTGGGTATTATTAATATGGGTTTTTTCTATGGATAATATCAACTGATATGGATTTATATGGGTATTATACCCATGATCAATGGGTATACCCATTGTTGATACCCATATGCTGAAGGATGTATGGTATGTTCACGTACAAAACTGGGTGATTGATGTTGGGCAAATGTTGACAGATATTCCAAACATGGAGCATATGGGATATGATATAGTGGTGTTTATCAACTATGACTATGACATACTATGACTATGCGTGTTGATTACTTTATGTCACTATTATGTAGTATTACATATGTCACTATACCATCTGGTTATTTAACAGTTCGCCATGGAAAATCACCATTTTTAAATATTTTTAATAGGTAAACCATCTATAAATGGGCCATTGTCCATGCCTATGTTAAATAACCAGATGGTCTCACGTCTTGATCACTTCACCAGGCGGAGATGAAGGTCTCGGGGCGTTCCAAGCGCACAGGCAACGCTGGAAGTGCTGGGTGTGATGACCGTTAACAACGATTTACAACCATCAACGCGCTAGCAGTTCAATTTCTGACCTTCATCTCTACTTAATGTTGTTGCAATTGTGATCGAATGTGACCAACCATGGATCCTAACTTCAAGATATCGAGCGCGACTCACCGAAGAAGTGCACATTAAACCGCTGCAGGCGGCCTGTCGAGAGCGGTTGCCAGTCACTCACTCAGAACAAACCGCGCAAAAAGAAAATCCACCTTGTGAAAATTGTGAAAAGGGTAAATGAACATGTGTAAATGAAGGGTACTAAGGGTGTAAATGAACAATAAATGAACATTGCTGAAACTCAGGGGGATGGATTGATTTCTGCCTACGACTCAAGAGATACAAGCACCCAGCCATACTGCGGAGCTAGACTCCAAATCCAAATGTGTATCATCTGAGTCATTGTGTTTTTTTGACATCTGTTCAGGAGAATTCTTGTCTTGGTAACTTCTGCTACTTGAACCCCCGGAAAACTGGTGTTTGAAAATGACCATGAGCATGATGTACGTGGCATCATCATTTGAACATACTTGAACAACCATTTGCAACCTCATTTTCTGAAAAATGTCCGACAACAACTAGACTATCCTTTTTCCATCAGTCTAGCTTCCTGACATTTTTCATCTACTGTAATCATGCAACCAGTACTAGCCAGTACTGTGGCCAGCTACCATCTATTGACCTATACCCTCTGGTACTTAGACATAGCTATGGATAATATTGGATAATCACATATAATCACCATGTTTTTCATAGATAAATCATGATGTTCATCATCTATAAATATTATAAATGGCTCATTTTCCATAGCAATTTTTTCATAGCCAAGTTGGGTACCCATCTACATCCACCCCTACCATGAATGGAGGCTCGCAGGCTCCACCCTGGCGCCCGGGCTTGACGGAATGGGTGCATAGCCTCAGTGACTCAGTGATGCGTTGGTCGATGATTCTTAAAGGCTTAGAGGCTTAGATGATCATAGATCCATTATGATCCATTCATCATTGATATCATTGATGAACCTAAATCCGAAAAAAATATCCGTTATCCATGATAGATATGATAGATGATCCACTAATTTTACATTTATAGATCATTTATTGACTATATTATAGATGATCCATGAGGATCCATGATCCATTCGCATGCCACATGGAGGTCGTTCCGTCCCCAGATCTCCATTCGCCGACCTTTCCGAGCCGAGGTGTTCTGCATTTTCTTCAGCGTGTGCGTTGGATGTGTCCACCTGGCAAGTGGCTCCTGGTGGATTCCCAGGTGGATCCAGGTGGATCCGGTGCAGGTCACTGGGAATCGTCCGCCAGGTTGCAGCCGTCATCAGCTTCAAGTCCGCGCTCGAAGCGCGAGAGTTCAGACAGAGGCGATGGGGGTCTAGCCACATCCAGCTGCGCAAAAGCTTAAAGCCAGCTTTTTGGAACTACCATGAACATCCAGTGTCCACTTTCCGACATCTATATTACAGTACATATATATAATATAATATATAATATAATATAATATATATATAATCTAATATATATATATATATATTACAGTACATAATGGTTCCAAAGTGACTGGACGCCATCGCAAGGCCGGCTTTCCTGGAGCTCTCCAGCGATGCGCCGCACGGCGCTACCGACGCTACCGACGCTCCCGGCGGCGTGGCGACGCCGGTGGAGCCTGTGGTGGTCGCCAGTGGCGCACGGCCAGGGCTGCTGCCCAAGGCCGTCTGGCGCTCCAAGGCGGAGATGGGATGATTTTTCTCGGGGGCTGAAAATGGGATGATTATACCATGAATTACCATGATATATGGTGGTTTAATGGTGATTAATGGTATAAATGATCACCATTAAACCATATTATACCATGATATATGGTATAGTATGGTTTAATGGTGGTTTAATGGTGATTAATGGTGAGTAATCATGGTGATTAATGATAAATTAACTGATCCTTGATATTTATCCATGATAGTATATGATATTTGATACCATTATTATTATGGGATTATTCAATAACCATTATTATGGGGTTAAGTTATTATGGGATTATTATTATGTACCATGATATACTGGTTGGTGGTTTGGAACATTTTTTATTTTCCCCATCAGATTGGGATGATGATCCAATCTGACGAGCATATTTTTCAGGGGGGTAGGTCAACCACCAATTAGATTAACATGGATATCACATGGATGTTTTGGATAGGGAAAGTGATGAGAATCGATAGTGAAGCATCTATGAAGCAATGTGAAGCCGCTTTCTGAGGCCTGTTTGATACCTAATTGATACCATCAAAAAGATCCGTGGAAGGATGGTGAAGCAATATGAAGCATCTAAAGTCTTTAATTATATATTTTTATTGCTAAGTTTTTCGTGTCCCGGGCCCCGCCATTTTAAAGTTTGTTCTCATGAAAATACGAAGATGCGAAGAAACCATTTGGGACGGAGCCGTTTTTGGAAGTGCGGGATGAATCATGGAATCATGGATGATGACGAGAAGATGCTTGGGGAAGGGGGCAGCAAAGAGTTTGGAGGTAGTGAACAAAAATACATGGAAAATCATGGAAATCATATTGGCAACAAACCCTTTTTGTACAAACATCAGACAGAGTGGGAATTGTGATAAGAGATGAAAAGAGTAGTCATAATTATTGGATCATCTATTATTATGCTGCTGATGATGCTGATGACGACGATTGTGTTGCTGCTGTTGATGATGTTGCCGTCGCTCTAGACTCTAGCTTCTGAAAGTGATGGTGCAAATGCAGATGAGGGGACAAAACGAGAAGGAGAAAAACGGTGGGCAGCATGGGAATTGAACACTTTAGAACTAGTAGGTTTCCCAAAGAATGTGCCATTTCTTTGGGCCACGGGTTCTGCTCGAATAGTTCTTTCCGTATATCATACACATACAACGACGCACAGTAAGCAAAAAAATATGGATTTCACAATGATTTCACAATGAGCCCAAGATTGGTCTTACTTGTGCTTAGTAGGGAATGAGGGAGTGATCCACAATAAGTATCAATAATAATCCCAGCAACCCCCAGCAACCCATCATTTTCCCTACGTTTAGCACCAGTAAGTGGTTTTCCGCAAACCCACGGAACGCCCAAGACGACACAAAGCTGATTTGTCGTGGAGGCCCCCAACGTGCCGGCCTATGTCGTTAGCTTGGCCCCGTCCACCTCAACGCCGAGGAAAAACTGCGAGGCGAAGCTCTGTCTTGGGGAATACCATGCTTTGGGGATCTTTGGGGGTATAAAGAAAATGATAAAGAAATATGAAACTTTGTCAATATCTCTGAAATCTAGATTTCCACTTTTTAATTTGGGGTATAAGTATATTTAGACTTAGGAAGTATCGGATTGAAGTTTATATTGAAGTATAATAATCAAATATTGTGAGAATAGGTGGAGGTACCATAATTTGGGCTAGAACTAGCAAGGATGGGGATCAACACATAGAAATGGAATACAAATGGGGGGACCTACAGTGGCGTACATGCATAATTGCCAGCTATCTACATTATCTACCAATTCCGACTGGTAAATGGCTAACTTCGATATTGTTGCAATTCCGAACAAGCTGATTGGTTGGGATTTCAATATCATGGTGTATATATATGTGTATATATATATATATATGGGTATGGATCAATACCTATTAATACCATTTTTAGTGGGATGAACATCCATTTACCAGCTATTTTGGGGTTCACTAGGTACCAGGGTTGTGACCCATCCCCATATAATATAAGTGACCAATTTCGGCAATCTCTTGATGGCTGCAGATGACCTGGTGCCTGGGACGGTCCCAACTGATTTTGTCAAAGTGCGTCGCTTCCGTTGATAGAACCAATGAGCCAATCAACACCACTTACAAGTGAGATGATATGATACACTTACAAACTTCAATACGGGTCATTTGCTAAGTACCAGATGGACCAGATTTAGCTTCATCGTGTTTAGCCGATTAGCCAAGTTTGATTTACAATAGAGAACCTGGTTGCGTCTACAGGTCCTTCTTTCTGAGACACAAACATGTAGTTACTTACCATCATATGTCAAGTTTCATTTGAGCAATGATGCACATTGGTGATTGTACCCCAGACTTTTCTCGATCAACGGAGATCTCACACACTATTGATTTTGGTCAAACTCCTATCATTCTCACATGGTCTCTCCAAACATCACGGCAGCTCCTGGAAATTTGATGACTGCGATACCAAGAAGTAGGTCTTCCCCAGCTGATTGGTGGTGACTGGAACCATGGGAATTTGGATTGACTTTCCCATACTTTCCCATCATATTGGGAATGGAAAAATCATCCCAACTGACGATGATTTTCCATGATTTTCCATGTTTTTTCCATGATTTTCCATGATTTTTCCATGATTTTTCCATGATTTTCCATGATTTTCCATGATTTTCAGCCACATGTTGAAGCACATGTTCGCTGGTTTTTACCAGTCTGGTTGGATCCACAATAGCAGGTCGATTTGCCCAACTTGGCAGCGACCTTGGGCAAAGAACTCCACAGTGTTCAGGACCGCAGGGTTTCAGACTTGGAAGTCTCGTTTGGGAGTGATATTGATTTGTATTCATGTACAGTATATGGATCTATATTATGGATTTTAAATGAGATTTACCCTCCAGTAAATTAGCATAGACTCATAGACGCTGAAACTAGCCAATTCCAAGTGGAAACTAATCTTTCAACCTTCAAGCAATGGCAGGGCCGATATTGATTTACTGGAGGCTACCTCCATGAGTTCACTCCCAAGTTGCTATGGAAATCCAGGAACTACCCTGGGTCCTAGGAAAATGTTCACGAAAATTTATATACTGGAGGGTATATTGTATTATAGCATATTATATTGTATCATATTATATTTTATTTTATAGCATAGTATATTGAATTGAGGTTTTTCCAGCCAACAGGGAATCATGTCGAATTTAACTTCATCAAGCTGACTGGTGGTTCCATCACTATGTTTCATTCCCCCTTAACCTTTGGTAATCAACCGGACATCCCCGTTTTCAATGGAGGTCTTAGTGGGAAAATCATCGAAAATCATGAGGATTTTCCAGCAGATCTCGCCGTGACAAAAAGTGATGTCTCAGGTTGGTGTTCCACAGATTTTATTCGGCTCCATCCCAAAGAAAAAGTTGGTGAATCCACAAATTGATGGAACATTATTATATATATATATATGCACATAATTATATATATATATACATGATTGGATGGAATGTTCAAAAATTGACATGTAATTTTCTCAGATTGACTCCTGCAGGATAAAAGAAGTTTGGATCTCGCAGTGGGCGCATGGAAGAGGCTTGCCTGGCCCCGGGGACGGCTTGCCGTTCATCCAAGTTCTTGGTCCTTGGGGAAAATTCCAATGGTGCAGGGTACAGCATCCCCCTTTTGTTGGCATATATATATGTCATCCCAATATATGGATATGTATATATATATATATGTGATATATATATATATATGTGATATATGATATATGAAACAGCGCTGTTTTTTGAGGACTTGACCTTGCCAGGCTTCTGGAAGGCCGCATCCAAGTGGACTACATGCGGCAAAGACTCTGCAGCCGGATGAAGGCGGAGACCTTCAGTTTCTGAAAGCCCAAAGAAAGATGTTTGTTCATGTGTAGGACAGAGATTGAATATATTTATTCATATATATATATATACTATATACCAATTGTTGCTAAATCCATAGACCACCCAAGATATCCCAAACTATCCCCAAATGATTGATGTTTGGCGTATATACTTGGATGTGGTAGCACTCAAGAATCGCTGGGTTTTGCAGTTTTGCAGCCAGTCTTCCATATCAGTAGCTGGGTTTAAAGAGAACAACCTGAGTTTGAAGGTATGGAAATCGCATGCTTTAGCATGTATAGCATCTACTCTAACTGCCGGTTTTTGATATGAATGCCTATCTAGCTTTATAGATATAATATACGATAAGATAACATATATATATATATATTATGTATGTTATATTACATGTTATTTCATTTACCACATATATATATATACTAATTTCAGTAAAGTCCATTGTATGCATCTGTGAGCCGGGCCAGGCCTGGTTGGTCGCTTTGACCAAGATGTCATGGACGCGACCAGTGCAAGGCGACATGCCGTGGACGAAAGCTCACGAAAGACGGCCATGGGGGGCGTTAAACCAACCAGCCGTGGAGGTTATGAGGTTGAAAACCAACGAAATTTTGCAGTGATATGGCAGTGTGTCAAAACCTTGTACCCCTGGTGAACATCAAAATAGCTGGTAAATGGATGTTCATCCCATTAAAAATGGTATCAATAGCTATTGATCCATACCCATATGACTTTCCAATGGATGGGTTGCTGGGGGTTGCTGGGATGATTATTGATAGTTAGCCAGTGGATCATTCCCTGATTCCCTACTAAGCACAAGCAAGATGATATGTGGCCAACTCAACCACATCGTTTTTTATTATCAAACATGGTGGTTTAAGATGGTTTGAATCATCATGAAATGGGGAGATGTATAGCCAAATTGGAGGTGTGAAACGAAGCATTTGACGGTGACATGATATTTGGGTGTGATGACGGGGGAGTAACTCCCCAAAATTGCCGCTTTAGGAGGTGAAAATCTACGGCATTCTGATGACCCAGTGGATTTAGAGGTACCGTATTTTTAGAAAAGACTGTTTTTAGAAATGACAACTGTTGTCTATTGACATGTTCGCCAAAACACTTGTCCGATTGAAGAAAATGATGATTCAATGGGTAACCATTTATTTTTTTTTGGCTGGATTCAATCCTGGGCCTTTCAATTCTGAAATGGATGAACTTCTCAAATTCCTCGATGTTTTCTCGGTTTTCCTAGGGCTTCCCACAATTTTTTCTTCCTCCACCAGCCCAGGTGGCAGAGAGATCACATCGGCGCTGGTGTGGCCTCAAGCTGCCTATCTTCATTTCGGCGTCACGGGGCCCGGTCGCTGTTTCTGTTGGTGGGATGGATATTGAGCAAACTTGAATTATTTGTTGATTTTATAACCCCCTTTATGTGATTCAATATAAGATTTATATAATCTTAGTAATCTTAGACTGATTTTGTTGGCCAACTTTATTTATTTGTCCCAAAATGTCAAATTTCATGCTGGAGACTCACGTTCTCAGTACCATCATGACTTGCAGACTACATATTTGTCCCCAAGAATTCTGGCTGCGAGGTGAAACGCGTGTGGAGCCTGGGTGAGTACACACAGTTGGACGCTCGGTCTGAATCTGGATGTGTGTTTTTTTTCAGCAAAATGCCATGGTCATCAAATGGCATTTTCATGTATTTTCATGGGATGACCTATATTGACCTATTAAATGGGTCGATTATTTAGTATTAAGTGGATAGTACCTTCCCATCCATGGTTTTGTAAACACCACCAGACTTTGATGGTTCCAAAGATGTGACAAAAATATCCCCATCGACCATGGTGTTTCTGGGGGTGTTTAGATTTCAGAAGATGAGCATTCTGCGATCGGAAGATACAACTGCATACGACTGCTGCTATCACCAATACAACTGATTGTTGCTAAGATGTTCCATGATGTTCTATGTGAAAAAACATGAAAATCCCCCAAATAGCATGGTGATGGCAAGTCACCCTGAGATAAACCGCCGGCGAACTCATGACCGGCTCTTTTTGGCTCTAGATGGCGATCCTTTAACCCTGGCAAAGCATTCTCAGCAGCCATAGCCCAGCGGTGTTTCATATCGTTTCACGGGAAAATATAAGAACGTCATCTATAAATGATCATCTCATGTAGTATAAATGTTCATCTATCATCATGTCATCTATAAATGATCATCTCTATAAATGACAACACAACTGTTGTATTTTCCCAGGCGACCAGGCGACCGGTCGAACTTGGCCTTGTCCTTGCCATGGGAAGTCTTGGCCGGAAATGTAGGCCATCAAGTTGGTTGATGGGAGCCCATATGGGGAAAAAAGGCGAAAAATGTGGTGGTGTAGTACCAACATCATAAAATGTGGTAGTGTCATGACTGGGGTTCCAAGCCAGTTTTATTCGTTGTTTTCAAGCAGAATTTCGGGGATCCATGAAGACCACCCTACTTTGACGATCTGGATGTGGACACAGCTGGGTACTTGGACAGGCTGGTTTTGTGGCCGGTGCTCTGGGTCTTAACGGTTCACAGTGACACTTGGTGGCAAGTCAGAGGCGATTGAGTTTCAATTGCGTGGTCCTTATCATTCTCCAGTTGGGTGTTAAACGTCATTTTTTGGTGCTTGAATAGATCAAATAGTGGTTAAGGCCCCCAAAAAATGGTAATGTTGTTTCATGTTGTTTCTAGATCTACTTCTAGCAGAAATAGAAAGCATCCTGAATTTGGTCAGTGCTGTGGACTTCGGAAGTTAGAGATTCATCCAGCTGTTGATCCGGTGCAACCAGATCAACAGCACCTTGGACCAGCAACGTTCGTGCCAAGGAGTGGACATCCAGCTTCCTTTCTTGGCGGACAAGTCAAGGCTACGGTCCTAGAAGAGACATTGTTTTCATTCACTTTTTCTAATACAAGATGAGTGGACATTCTATATTCCAGCACATGTTTTTGAGGTGTCACATGTATATTTCAAATATGCAGACGCAGACTCAATCAGACTCACAAATCAATGTCATAGTTCATGACACATGGATTGTTTCTACAGTTTGCAATGTATGGTTGACAATGTTTTCATTTTTCAAATGCAACTTATTGCAACTTTCGTGCCTGGAAGTGATTCAGCATCTTCATGTCTCACATCATTTGATTCAGATGGCGAGAGAAGACTGGTGATTGGCCGACCTACAAGGCTCGTGCCGGCTGAGACGCCTCACCTTTGGGGTCAATGGACAGTGGATGGTTGGTGTGAATTTTAAGTCCAATTGATTTACACACACATATATATATATATAATGATATATATATATAATGATATATATATAATGATATATATATATAATGATATATATATAATGATATATATATATAATGATATATATATATATAGATATATATATATAATGATATATATATAATGATATATATATATAATGATATATATATATAATGATATATATATATAATGATATATATATAATTATATATATACACTCACCGGACATTTCACTGTTTTGTGGGGCAGTCCATAGTTCTCCCTGCGATCTGAGAATTCTTTGGGCTTTCAGGTCCTTGCGACGGTCGGAGCCCAAGGAAGGAGGACTGCTGTGGCAATTCGTGGAAGATGACACTGAAGTGCTGTTGATTCAGCTTCTAACTGATGTAGAAGTGGATGGTGGAGAACATTCATTATCACTTTGTTGTATGATATAGTTGAAATTTGTTCTAAATGATGAGAAGACTCCCTCCAGTTTTTTTTCATAGTTGCAATCCAAAACAGAAGATGCACCTCTGAAAAGTTCGAGATGCACTATTTGATCTCACTAATCTTAATGATCAGTTCTGAAGATCCCCTTTGACACGGCAGGATTCCAACAACTGGAAACAAGGGTGCCATCGGACGCCTGCACCTGCCGCTTGGCCGAAGACGGGCTTCATGGGGGATGTTTTTTCATCTGCGCAAGTGAATCAAAAGATTCAAACATCAAAAGCTTCGGGAATCACAGGTGTTGGTCATCCTTTAGTCTTGAACCATCCATCGAAGTTGAAAGTAGAAGCCATCCCCACAGCTGCAGCCGACTGCGTAGGTTCAAGTTGCTGGCGCAGCAACCTGCTGCGCGGTGTGGGAGGAGCTGCAGGTAGGATGCTGATGTGTGGATGAAGGTAATGGAATACATCGGCTAAATCAATCTAAATCAACCATCCAAAGTGGCTTTCAATGGCGTGATTTCCTGGAACATCTGCAGGAAACCATGGTTTTCGCCCAAGTTTTTTGGGATTTTCTGTACGATTTACCGTAACTTCATACGATTCTGTGAGGTTTTTGCTCCCCAAAGTCAGTGATATTTGGATATTTGATCTGTAGAAACGGGCTTAGCAGCAAATATACCCTCTGGTAAACTAACATAGCTATGGAAAATCACCAGTTTCAATGGGTAAATCCACTATAAATGGCCATTTTCAATAGCCATGTTAAATTACCAGAGGGTAGTATAGTAATGTCAGTTATGTCACAAGATCAGACCCCCTAGTGATACACCATTGGATTGTCTATATTGGAGTATACCGCAACGGTTTTGGGTTCCCCAATTCTTGGAATGTCCGTTTCAGAAGATTTGAGGTGCGGCCATGAAGTCATAGTTAGACCTTCATCCCACCTATTGGAACGCCATGATGTCCATGGAGCCATTTTGTTTAACAATGCTTGATGAATTTGATAGGGAACCTCGGCATTTGAAACTAAAACAGATAAGTCTCGTACTGAAAAAGTGCAACAACTCCACGTGCGAATCTCATTTCCTCTATGCCCCAAATCGCCCCATTTGCAGCCTCAGGTCTGGGGCTGCTGTTGGCTTCGGGGCAACCCGAGAAGCTCAGCAAAGCTTTCTTAGTCCAGGAGCCTCGCAGCGCAACGGAGAGCAGTTGCCGGGGAACAATGGCCATCATCGGCCGAAGTGGTTGTGGTCCAAGCATGACAAAAGGGATATGTGTCAATAAATATTCCAGTGTGCAACTCACAATGATCATGCGGATTCATTGGAAAACTCCTTCAAGGGTTGTTTCCCAGGAGATGGCTGGCATGGCGGACTATGAGCGGTTGGTGCGTGAGCGAAAGGAGCCTCGGCAACAATGATATGACTTGTCGTGACCAACTGCTCCGTTGAAACCATTCTCTGCTGTTGTGATGTTTATGACTCGCAATGCTTCACTGAGTGCCTGATGTTTGGAAGCTGTTGGCTCATATCACTGTTATCACATATCATCACTAATTAGAGACCTGACCGCGCTTTAGGTTTCCGCTGGCTCATGACGTCTTCCGAAGAGCAAATGTTGGCCAATCAAGCCACTACCATGCACATTAGAGGTGCTGTGTCCGCAAAAGATGTCGCGGATTACGTGAAGTTTCTGCAAGAGAAGGATGTTCTGACCCGGATGGTAAATGACAGCTTTCACATCATGGAGACAGCATACCAGGGAGTGGACCAGGATGAGCTGCAGAGATTGGTACTGCACCATCGTCACAAAGAAGATGATTTGCTGGCTGACATGCTGCAGAATGTGTTTCTGGTTGGTGAGGGATCAAGCACCTTCATAGCCAGTGTGCCTTCAAACAATGTCTTTGTCAATGTGGTCTTGCTCTACGCGCGTCGTCAAGATGGCAAGTATGATTTGCTGATTGCCAAGGGTGAACAGAAAAAAGAAGTGAACATGACGAAAATGGGCGCGGCTGCAGCCGGTGTATCAGGCCTGGGCGCCGGAACCGCGGCTTTGGCCTTTGGTTGTGGTGCTTCTCTCCACCCGGCAGTGGCCGCAGGCGCAGTGGTTTTCTTGGTAGCTGGCTGCGGTGCAGCGTGCAAAACGTACGATGACTACAACGAGCCAATTGAGAATGTTGTGAATGGTTTTCTCTTGTCCTCTCTAGAGAGCAAGGGCCTCATTGAGATTTCGCATCGTGATGGTATCAAGCTGAAGCTGAGGACAAGCTAATCAAAGTCTTGCGGCAAGAGCCTACTGGAACGACAGGTTCCAGTGCTGTTGATGAAGAAGTTTTGTTTTTTAGTGAGGCAGAAGCGGAACCTGCAATCAGTCCACATATGGGTTGTTGTGACAGGGCGGCAAAAGCCAACAGCACAGTTCGCAGATATGAAAATGGTGCTTGATTCAAGAAGTGCTCTTGCTGAGACTGGCATTGCGCATTGGTGTGCCTGTGCTTGTCAACACCGCCAGCTGTCAGTTCGTGATTCATGTTTTGCTTGCTTTCACCTCCGGCAAATGGATCAGCCCACTTGAGTCCATCCGATCCCAGGCGCAAACTTTCCAGAAAGCCATCAAAACCAACGTGGAGAGGCCAGGGTGTTCCACAGAATTGGTCTGATGGACTGAGGGATTTGGATGGATTTGGAATCGCCAGTAATCATGTTGTAGCCATGGGGACCTCGGGATGAATTCATGCTACGCATCAGGGGGTCCATGCTGCCCACTGCCAGGCTAGTTGAAGTTGGTGTCGGTGCAGGGGTGAACTTCCCCTACTTCAAGCAAGCCGGCGTCAAGGAGGTGGACGCAGTCTCCAACGGACCATGGGCCAGTTGGGGATGTGGCTGAAAGATGTGACACTACCCTGCAGGACGTTTCTAGATCTAGGGAGAATACAGAAAATTCACTTGGTTTTGGAGCCTAAGAGTAAAAGGACTGTCCCGCAACATCGAAAGACAGCTGGGACCCGACTACACTTGCTCCAATATCTACTGTTGGGTGATTGATTCCAGGTTTTGTTGGTGAAAGCACCAGAAACGAACGGTTGAGGTATGTTCGAAGCTAGATTCCGAGATGACCACATTGATCAATGAAGCAGCCTTGAAGGGGCGTTTCCTGGATTTTCTGCCTGATGCACACTTTGCTTCCTATGATTATTTCCTATTCGCCAAAGTTAGATGGTTGAAGAGCGTTGAATCCTGAAAACATCTCTCAAAATGGATCTGAATCGCGAATTTTGATGAATTTTGTGGCTCCACTGGTGTCTCAGCGTTTCGTGGTGGCACCTCCAGGTAATGGCCGTGGAGCCCAACCTGAACTTCCTGCAGAAAGCCCAGGCAGCTGCGGATCGTGCCGACATCCAGCTGCAGGTGCGACAGGGCGACCCTTGGCCCTGGAGGGTGTTGGGGATGTCATGGCGGTGGAGTTTGGAGGTGCTTCTTTTAGCCAATAAACATCAATACCCTCTGGTAATTTAACATAGCTATTGAAAATCACCATTTTTAATGGGAAAATCCACTATAAATGGCAATTTTCAATAGCTATTTTGACATAACCAGAGGGTAAACAAGAAAAATGATGAAAACGTTGGGGGTTCACCAACCAACATGGAGGCTACATTCGGCCTGAGCATCATTCTTTTTGTGAATGTGATAGACAGCAAGACTTGAGGGATAATACCAACAAAAGGATTTGGGGATATAGGGGATGTAGAACCAAACATATGATAGAATATAGATGCGTAACCTCATGATTTAGAATGATTTAGCCATATCTAGCCAACAGACATCATAACCATCAATAAAGATGCAGAGGGTTCCCAAGTTGACATATGTTGACCGACAACCAGAAAGATGATGTGGAGTAGAACATGTGCAACATTGTGGAACCATGCATAGCGGGGAAGGGCTGCAGCCCCTTCTGGAAGGGTGTTTTTACCAAGTAAGCCAGGTGTTCAGCGGAAGTGGGGCCTTCCCACACAGGGTGCTTCCATCAATAGCCAAAGATTGGGTCATATTATGGTTTCATCCATTGTGCTATTTCTTGGAGATGGTTGCAATAAAAACTATCAGGGGGATCCAAGACCCTGCATTTTCTTGGATGTTTCCGGGCATATCTACGGGCAAACTTGATGATGTTTTCCACACCCCCAAGCTACATGTCCTTCACTTTCCAGCTTTCCAGCTTTGCTTTTGTGAATGTGATCCCCACTCATTTATGTGGCTTGAAGCATCAACCAACACCCCCAGGGAATGGATGGAACATGATGTCAAAATATTTGGGGAAATTCGGGTCTATGATCCCCCATTGACAAATTCCTTCCCCCTAATTCCTCCAAAAATGAGCCATTCTCAGCTTCTATGTTTAAGTTGGGGTCTATAAAAATACCATAAAATACCAATACCATTTATTGCCAATCTACTTGTTGGAGCTTTTGTCGCCCATATCACCAATAGTTTTGGAGGGGATTCCCATTCTGGGGGATGGGCTTGCAACTCAGGTGATGGAGAAGATGCCTTTCGAAGACAACTCGGTGGATGTGGTGGTTGGTACCTTATTGCTCCTCACGCAGCACGGGGCTCGCTGCGTGGGTGACAATGATATTCATCAATATTTGTCGATAGTATGGCTGGAAAATCAAACAATAATCACAACATAATCAAAATTCCTGTATATTATAAGCATAATCATAATCTAATTAGATGATATTAGATGTATGATGATGCAAACCTAGCTTCCCAAATTTGCTGCTCTTCAGCCTGCAATCTGGGCACATCCATCCAGGGCATGGAATCGGTGCTCGCCCTATAGCTGCAGATCCAGACTGGAACTCTTAAACATTAAAATTATGTCATATGGCAGTCAAAACCAATAGTACCCCTTTTGTTCACATCAAAATAGCTGGTATTTACAAATGGATGTTCATCCCATTTTCTAAATGGTATTTTCATAGGTATTGATCCATAGCCATATTATTTCATGATGTAATGTGTTGTACATGTTTTCCAATCCCACCATCTCCAATCCCACCATCTCCAATCCCAGCAGCCCAGGCTGCAGCCCAGGCTGCAGCCCATCCACTGGGCCACCAGGCTTTGTTCCGTCCAAGATCTACGTCAGTCCATCTCCGAGGTCCAGCGCGTCCTTCGGCCCGGTGGGCGATACATCTTCACCGCGGCTCGGCGCTTGGGGGCGCGGACGTGGGGATGTGGCGACGTGGCGGTGGGAGAGGAATGGATGATACTGATTTGAAGCATTCCTGAAATGGGGATACCCCAAATCATCCAAGATTAAACCATGATTAAACCATTATTGCAAGTAAATCCATCTATTGATATTGAAGAAAACATGATTAAACCATCTATTGATATTGAAGATGGTGATGAAGATAGTAGTGCTGATGATCATCGCAGACTTTTGCCATGTCTCAGGAGCATGTCAGGGCTGCTGATGGCGAATGGCTACGCTCTGCCAGTGCCCCAGTTCTTTTCAGATCATGTGAATCTGGGGTTTCTCCCATGCGGTTACCGTCAGTTACCATCTTTACACATCCAAAGATCTAGAAAAACCATGAAAAACGCACGTTTTTTTTTTTTACATAAGTGTATATAAACATAATTATTCCCATATCTTTTCCCACTTTCTCTCATGGATCTAATGGCCATTGGTCCAGGCACAAGATCTACTGGACCCCTTGCAACAGGCCCAGTGGTGAGGTGCTGGACATTGGCCATTCCACTAGACATAGACATATTCGCCTGGTAACCACTAGAAATATGGGGGATGATAAATGATAATATGCATTATGTAGTTATGTATATTCAGTACGTATGTATATATATATATATAGTAGGATTTGACTTGTCAGTGCAGTCTGAAGATCGAAGAGCACTGTAGTTCAGCGGATGATTTGCTGTTGGAGATGGTGTCTTTTGCATAATTTACCATAGTGATATATTACTCCATATGATGAAACACCTTTTTGACTATTGCCAGTCCCAAAACATAGGATACAGTAGCCTCCTCCTTTTACCCAATGGGGAAACTAACATTGTGGAAGACCCATGGTTCCCCGGAAGATGGTCCCACTTATACCGCACATTATCCCAGCATTGCTTGAAACCAGTTCCAAGCAATTACTATATTATCTCATTATATCATTATGATTGGCACTACTACTTTAAATAAGAATATTGATCATCATTACATCATTGTAAGCTTACCATATAGTAATATAATATGATCGTTTATCAATTATATCATGATAATATCACAGTATATCAAGATAAACATCACTTTAAATATAATATCACCATATCCCATAGGATCCATGGTGCTGGTATATATGCTAACATGACTGGGGTATATTGATGGGATCCATGTCACCATATATAGCAGCACCATGAATCCTATGGGTATTGATACACTATTGGGATTATTATAACCTTCTTATTGATACTTTTTTTTGGGGGGGTTATGATAATCATTATGATATCACCATATGATCACCATGAGAACTGCTGCTTCCCCAAGCGATCCAGGCCTTTGCTGCCGGTTGCCACCTCAGCCGAGAGCCTCTGCCGCTGATCCAGGAGACCTTCGAGAAGGTGAACGCTGAGCGCTGCTCGGTTTCGCTGGAGATTTACCTGCATCTGGAACAACTGGAGATGATTTGTATCAACAATTCATAGTTGATATGTGCCATACAATGCCATACATTAATATCCTGGATAGTTGATGAATATGAATATGAATGTTTATTGGTTTTACGAATCTTAAGCATAAATAAGGGTGGTAGTTGCGAATGAAAAACTTCCAAGACATGTTACAATATATCTAAAAAATAATGGATACCATCGGAAATTTACCAAACATAGTGGGGGTGACATCAGCAGCTGGGAAACCTAAGAAAATTATCATCAAGATCTGCAACAACTGGAGATTATTTGCAATAAATGATGGGTAGTTACAAATTGAAACACTGGCTACAACTGGGTGTATCTACTATGAATACATCTATAAATGATGGAAATCGCTTGATATTTACCATAAAGAATCGATACTTACTACTGAAACTATCTGAAACTATCTGAATCGATATAATCAATGGGTATTTTTTCCGAATATATTTCGGATACATATAGATACTTACCAGATCAGTTTCAGGGTATTGGGAATTGCCCGTTTCGGGTTGGCCGGTCGGGTCTGGCAACCCGCTCCAAGGGTTCCAAGGTTGGAGTCTCTTCGATGATGAGTTCACAGGCACTATGTGATGAGTGCGAGTTAGCTATTGAAAATGGTGATTTATTGTGGATTAATGGGATTTTATAGTGATTCAATGGGATATTAATGGGATATATCCTCTGGTAAACTACCAGTTTGCTATTGAAAATGGTGATTTAGTTCGTGGATTTACCCATTAATAGCATGGTGATTTTCCATGGTTATGTAAACGTTTACCAGAGGGTAGGTTTATATATCTTGAAACAACTGGAATCTACTGAATGCTGCTGAAGAAATTTGGGATCATGTGTGAGAAAATCCAAGATTTTGCGTGGCACCAAAACTGAAGAGTAAGTTATATATAATACATGTTCCATGTATTCACCAACAATTACCAACAATTATACCAACACAATTCAAGCAATTTAACAAATTTGACACATTCGATTCTAGTTTGTTCCTGATCTTCCCAATCCTGGTGTTGGTGACTGGTGACCCTCACACTGACCCGCCACAGGTGGAAAGCCCAGCGGCTTGCCGCCGCATTTCCTACTGGCGCCACATATCTCGGGCTATGCGGAGGTGTGAGTCACCGGATGCGGAAGATCTACCGAAGATCTACAAAGATTCAAGGGGTTGGCGGAACTGCAGTCACTTGGAATCCTGGTACCTGCCATGTTGCTGGACGGGTACCGCAGATGTCGACTCCATTGCGGTGCGTCGATCTGCGCAACGCAGTGGACTTGTTGGAGACTTCGACATCGGCCATGGGAAGAGATGGTCACCAGCGCCACCAGTTGGTCACAAGTGGACCTTGCAGCGCCTCAGAAAAAGGATGGCCACTTGACCTGCTTCTTGCCCTCAGAACTGGTGTTTACATTGTTTACCCTAAACCTAAATCAGAAGAAGCTACGAAAATTTGGTCCGCAGCACTGCACCACAAAAGATGGCTATAGTATGCTATAGTCTATAGTTGTGATGTTACTTGAGTTACTTGAGTTTTCCTGGAAGTTTGCTATGATGCCATTGTCCTATTGTTCTCCTGCACAGGACAACTTTCGCCACAACTGGCATGCAGTGGATGGAGAATATGCATGAATATGCAGCATCCGATACTGAGATATTTTGAGCCATACCCTGTGAAAGTAGGCAGCAGGGACAACCGAATCCTGACTGTCACCACGCCTAGGTGGGCTGACCTGTGCGCAGCATTGGCAACTCTGGGCTTGGAGGTGTGCTGTTTGCTTCAGGATGTCGCAGGTTTTCTCTTAATTTCGGTCCCCTCAAGCCAAAGCAAGAATTGCTCCTAAAGGCGACAGATTGTTGTTTTGGTGTCCCGTTTCAGGAACCCCCCCAATATTTCCCCATTCTTTCTGACAAAAGCAGTGGTTAATCCCAGCACAAGGTTTTGTTTCTGAAAGAAACAGAATGAACCCTACATGTTCTGTTTTGGTTGTGATTTCTTGCGACATGAGCTTGAAAAACAGCCCATCAAACTACACCCGCTAGAAACATATACCAGAGAGCCGTAAGACATATAATTAATATAATGGTATAGTGAAGCAATAGTAAACCAATTCCAAATTTTGCAATCTATGGCTGGTATGAACCATCAAACCATGGGCGGTTTATTGGTGATGCTATGGGTTCCTCCAACATTATTCAGCTCGTGGTGATGCTATGTCGATCCTCCTCCATGGTTCCTACCGAGTTCAGCTAGTAGAGGTGACCCTTTGGCCTTTCAAAGGGAAGAAATATCCAACAGCAAGTCTGCGACTCAGCCTGGTGTGAGGGGGTCCAACTTCGTCTCAAAGGGATCCATTCAGAATGGTGGCACATTTGTCAATCCTCCAAGGATTTTCTATATGTTTCCCATGAATTACGATTCCATCACTAAACTTGTAGATATGGGGGTTTCCATAAGTGGGGATGCCCCAAAAGTAGCTGGAAAATCCCATCTATAAATGGATGGCTGGGGGTACGCCTATGACTGAAACCTCCATGATGACCAGCATTGTCTTCACCTTGGGACCGTTCCCAGGCAGCTACGAACCCCACCGTTTGGTGTACACCGACTACAATGGCGTTTGGGGATCCCAGGAACGTGGGTGAGTTTTGGTGCAGGGGTTGGACCTAAGAATGGGTGATTTTTCAAGGGATTTACCATCCAGAAAAATGGATTGAATTAGATATTTTTTCTGGATATGACATATTTAATGGATCCAGAAAAAATTCTTAGTCATTTCATGGATCCCATATGGGTGGTAGAATGGGATATGACATGATATGACATGATGTCCACGTGATATGACAGGATATAAAACTGGGTCTGTCTGAAAATGGGGAAATCATGGAATGTCCAACCAATTTTATGGCAATGGTAATGAGAAAATGATGATAAACCATGGATTGAACAGGGTACCCTATCTTCAGACAAGCCCATCTGGTTGTTTCTCATCTTTGATGATCCCTGAAGAGTTCCAGAAGGTGGCCCAGTCGCACTGCATGGCCCAGTCCTATTGGCCTACCTGTCCCAGGTGCATGCGGGCAAAGGTGCCGGTGTATTACCTCCGCCCGACAAGACCTGGTTACTGGAGCGAAAATCGGGAAAACGCCCATCGTCGACAGTTGGAGAGTTGGCCGGAAAACCACCATGTGTGCCATAGATTTCATATAGGAAAAAACATGTAAAACCATGGAAAAAGGATGGTTATGGTTTTCGGCAAAGATTTGATTCATCAAAACCAATATAAACCCAGTTCATGTGATGTTTTTTTTTTTCCAAACAGGTCTTGTTCCACTTGTTCCATTGATTTTTTTGGGGTACCCTCTGGTAAACTAACATAGCTATGGAAAATGGCCATTGATAGTGAGTTTTCCCATTAAAAATGGTGATTTTCCATAGCTATGTTAGTTTACCAATGGGTAAGTTTCCTCCTTAACCGAAACACCAAAAAAGCTACGGCGATGTCGTAGGACACCTTCGGCACCGATGGCACGGTGGTGCAGCATGACTTCTTCGGCCGGATCTCGCCGTTGACGGAGCCGTCGCGGGATGGGACGATGGTCGCATGGGACGGTCGCGGGACGGTCGCTGTTCCCTGGGATCCACGTGTTGGATCCGCAGGAATATCCTCTCCATCGCTTTTTGACCCTGGTTCCAGGCTGGGGGATGGGTTGGAGAAAAAATACCATGGTGACCTGAAAAAACATTGGAACATGGTGGAAGTGGAATTATGAACAACTCACCTCAGGGAATATTCATCCATATTCATCCATTCCCCCTAATATTACCATCTGGTTATGACTAACATAGCCATGGTATAGAAGGCCCATTTATAGATGGTTTACCGTTCTTAAAAATGGTGGATCTTTCCATGGCTAGCCCTGTTAGTCATAACCAGAGGGTAACCCATAGATTTTCACCCCCAGAAACCATGGTGGATGTTGGAGTTCAAGCCATGGAGTCCATGGAGGCTATAGCAGCCGCAACACTTTCCTTGGAGTTGCGGCCGTGGCTCAGAGTAGCGTCGCTTGGAAGATCCGGGAGTCCATGGATGCTTGGAAGCTGCTCATGTCCTAAGTCCATACCTATTACCAATATATATATATATATTATAATATATATATCACGAAAGGTAGCTCCAGAGGGGTTACTTTACGAAGTAAAGGGGAGGGCGGCCAGCCCCGTTACCTGATTCTTCAGGAGATTGCTAGTCATTTTAGTACCCCCTCCCCCCCCCCCCCCTCCACACCTCCCACGCACCCTAAGAGCAGACTCAAAACATTGTAATTTACAGTATTTTTGTTCTTTTCGGATCAAGAAACCACATTTTGCTACATGGTGAAACCTCCGTAAATACCAGTGTTTTTGCTAGGTGCTGGCCAAAAAACACTGTAAATACCGTGCTTTTTACTACCAGAGGCAAAAAACATCGTAAATACCGTGGTTTTGGGCTGCCGACCCGCCAAAAACATCGGTATTTACGGTGTTTTTTGCTCCGAGAGTTGCAAAAACACGCGAAAACACCACCAATTTGACGATTTTCGGCCACTACGGAACCGAGCAAAAACGCTGCAGGGGTAACACCAACACCAACAACAACAGCAACAGCAACAGCAACAGCAACAACAACAACAACGACAACAACAACAACAACAACAACAACAACAACAACAGCAACCCACAACGCACAACGCACAACGCACAACGCACAACGCACAACGCACTACGCACTACGCACTACGCACAATGCACAACGCACAATGCACAATGCACAACGCACAACGCACAACGCACAACGCACAACACACAACACACAACACACAAAACACACAACACACACACACAACACACACAACACACACAACACACACAACATCACACAACAACACACAACAACACACACACACAACCACACACAACAACACACACACACAACAACACACAACAACACACCACAACACACAACAACACACAACAACACACGCAACACGCAACACACAACAACGCAACAACGCAACAACGCAACAACAACACACAACAACACACAACAACACACAACAACACACAACAACACACAACAACACCCAACAACACACAACAACACACAACAACACACAACAACACACAACAACACACAACAACACACAACAACACACAACAACACACAACAACACACAACAACACACAACAACACACAACAACACACAACAACACACCACAACACACCACAACACACCACAACACACAACAACACACCACAACACACACAACAACACACAACAACACACAACAACACACAACAACACACAACAACACACAACAACACACAACAACACACAACAACACACAACAACACACACACACAACAACACAAACAACACACAACAACACACCACAACACACCACAACACACACAACAACACACAACAACACACCACAACACACAACAACACACAACAACACACGCAACACACAACAACACAACAACACAACAACAACACACAACAACATACAACAACACACGGCGACACACACACACACAACAACAACACAAACAACACACAACAACACACCACAACACACCACAACACACCACAACACACACAACAACACACAACAACACACAACAACACACAACAACACACAACAACAACAACAACAACAACAACACCATCAACAGCAGCAGCAGCAACAACAGCAACAACAACAGCAACAACAACAACAACAGCAACAACAACAGCAACAACAACAACAACACGAACACGAACAATACCAACACCAACAACACGACCAACAACACCAACACCACCAACAAACCCAACCACACCAACAACACTAACAACACTAACAACACTAACAACACCAGAAACACTACTACCACCAACAACACCAACAACACCAATACCAACAACACCAACAACACCAACACCACCAGCACCACCAACACCACCAACACCACCAACACCACAACCACCACCAACCCCAACCACATCGCCGAAGCCTTTCAGTCGCTTTTACCAGAGTCCCCTTCATATTTTTGGAAAGAAAATGGCCGCGTCGCTTTTACCAGACTCCACTTTATGTATTTTTCCCTCCCCTCTCCCCTTCATTTTTTCTTCGGTTCCTTTCTTGCTTATTTTTCCCTCCCCTCTCCCCTTCATTCCCGAGAGCGTCTGAGCGCAGGGTTCTTCCAATAGTGGGGGTCTGTAAAACATCTTCTCATCTTCACATCTCATCTTCACATTCTCTCATCTTCACATCTTCTCATCATCTTCAAATCTTTTCATCTTCACATCCTCTCATCTTCACATCCTCTCATCTTCACATCCTCTCATCTTCACATCTCATCTTCACATCCTCTCATCTTCACATCTTTTCATCTTTGCATCCTCTCATCTTCACATCCTCTCATCTTCACATCTGCTCATCTTCACATCCTCTCATCTTCACATCCTCTCATCTTCACATCTGCTCATCTTCACACCTTCCCATCTTCACATCTGCTCATCTTCACACCTTCCCATTTTCACATCTTCTCATCTTCACATCTGCTCATCTTCACATCTGCTCATCTTCACACCTTCCCATCTTCACATCTGCTCATCTTCACACCTTCCCATCTTCACATCTTCTCATCTTCACATCTGCTCATCTTCACATCTGCTCATTCATCTTCACATCTGCTCATCTTCACATCTGCTCATCTTCACACCTTCCCATCTTCACATCTTCTCATCTTCACATCTGCTCATCTTCACACCTTCCCATCTTCACATCTGCTCATCTTCACATCTGCTCATCTTCACATCTGCTCATCTTCACATCTGCTCATCTCCACATCTGCTCATCTTCACATCTTCTTATCTTCACACCTGCTCACCTTCTCTCTCACGCCTTCTTTTTATCTTTCTCTCTTAAGGCCGAGGGTGGTGCCGGCGGCGAGTCACGAAACGTCAACCCTTTCGCACGAAATGAGGGTCGATCGGCAAAAACTGAGGTAAAATTGCGATTTGACTTGTCCTGGAGCAACCCTTTCGCACGAAATGAGGGTCCATCGGCAAAAACTGAGGAAAAAATTGCGATTTGACTTGTCCTGGAGCAACCCTTTCGCACGAAATGAGGGTCGATCGGCAAAAACTGAGGTAAAATTGCGATTTTACTTGTCCTGGGGCAACCCTTTCGCACGAAATGAAGGTCGATCGGCAAAAACTGAGGTAAAATTGCGATTTGACTTGTCCTGGAGCAACCCTTTCGCACGAAATGAAGGTCGATCGGCAAAAACTCAGGTAAAATTGCGATTTGACTTGCCCCGGAGGAACCCTTTCGCACGAAATGAGGGTCGATCGGCAAAAACTGAGGTAAAATTGCGATTTTACTTGTGCCGGAGCAACCCTTTCGCACGAAATGAGGGTCGATCGGCAAAAACTGAGGTAAAATTGCGATTTCAAGTCGTCCGGCGCAACGGTTTCGCGCGAAATGAGGGTCGATCGGCAAAAACTGAGGTAAAATCGCGATTTTTCGTGTGCTGGAGTAACCCTTTCGCACGAAAAGGGGTTTGTGTGTACGAGCGTTTCTGTGTAAAGATGTTTGTGTGTAAAAGTGTTTGTGTGTACAAGTGCATCTGTGTAAAAGTGTTGTGTGTAAAACCTTCTGTGTGTTCAAGTCTTTGTGTGTAAACGGGTTTGTGTGTACGAGTGTTTCTGTGTAAAGAAGTTTGTGTGTAAAAGTGATTGTATGTAAAATTGCATCTGTTTAAACGTGATTGTGTGTAAAAGCTTCTGTGTGTACAAGCGTTTGTGTGTAAAAGCAGCTCCTGTGTGTAAAAGGGTCTGTGTGTAAAAGTGTCTGTGTGTAAAAGTGTCTGTGTGTAAAGGCTTCTGTGTGTAAAAGTGTCTGTGTAGAAGCGTCTGTGTGTAAAAGCTTCTGTATGTAAAAGCTTCTGTGTGTAAAAGCTTCTGTATGTAAAAGCTTCGGTGTGTAAAAGCTTCTGTGGGTAAAAGCTTTGTGTGTAAAAGCGTCTGTGTAAAAGCGTCTGTGTGTAAAAGTGTTTGCGATGCAAACTATTGTCTTGCACTTCTCACTATTTTGTCTTGATACGCCTCTTCTCGACTGCCTATAACACAGCTTTCATATATCATTTCTAATATTGCGTCTCCATACTAACAAGAGAAGACCCTGCTCCTCTACGCTCTCGGGCCATCCGTCGTCTAGTTTTTTCTTCGGTTCCTTTCTTGCTTACCTACCTTTCGTGTTCCCCCTCTCAAGTATATATATTACATATATATATATATACATAAGAATGTACACTATATTCAGTAGCCAGTTTTTACCTTAATGTATATATATATATATATATATAATTATATATCTGTATTACCCAAATCCTAAATCACGGTTCCTGTTGCCATGACCAGTCACTACCAGAGCGTTTTTCTTTTGAACCAGAATGTGAGAGCGTTGTTGTTTTCCCCTTTGCCAGCTTCAAACCAGCAAGTATACACTTATATTATATATATATGTACTGTATATCAGGTATTGTTAAGACATCATAAACAGCATATCACATCATAAAGCTATCCATTGCATTATCATTCTTCATCAACCACCAGGTGTTTTTCATATTTCTTCAACATAAAACAACATGATAAAGTCATGGATCATCATGGATCATCATGGATCATCATTTGACATCATCTGACATCTATCTGTGATTCACCCAGTCAGATTAACCATAATGTAATACCAATGTAAATCCCATCTAGATTAGTGATTCACCTAAAACCATCTTCCAAGATTAACCCAATTCCAAGATTAACCTTGGAAGATGGTTTTAGGATTATTGTTTTTTTTTCCATTAGATGAATCCATTGGTTAATCCATTGGTTAACCCCATTAATGGATCCCCCAGTCGGATTAACCAATGGATTATTGGATTAATCTAATCAATGGATTCATCTAATGGATTAATGGGGTTAACCAATCATCCTAAAATATGGTTAATCCCATTAATCCCATTAAAATATGCTTAATCCCTAAAATATGGTTAACCCAATAACCCAAGATTAATCTTGGAAGATGGTTTTAGGATTATTGCTTAATCCATTAGATGAATCCATTGCTTAATCCATTGGTTAACCCCATTGGTTAATCATCTACATCAACCCCCAGTCGGATTAACCAATGGATCCCATGGATCTCCCGAGGACCGTGGATCCAGCTTGCCTCCCCGGAGGTGGCAGTGTGTGCTGTGGAGCAAGGCGCGGGCCATGGTGGTTTTGTAAAGGGCCAAGAAAAACATGGGAGGTATGGAAAAAACACAGGAAAAAATGTGGGTTAGTATGGTTTAAGATAGTTTAACATGGTTTCATCAGCATCTTTGATGGATGTAAGATGATTGAACCGTCATTCTTTATGGCTTTGTTGTCTTTAAACGACCAACATCATGGGGAATGAGTAACATGGAGATCTAAAACCAAGCACGATATACCAAGATATGGGGATACTGGGATGCAGGGAAAATCCCACCTAGAATCACCCTATGAACAGTGTTTTCCCGTGGGAAGGTCATCAATAAATGGACGTTGTAACGAGAACGTCATCTATTGATTCAGGGTATTCCCGCCAGGTGCGATGACCAGAGCTTATCATGGCCGTGAAAGGGATTTTATGACAATTCAGGTTGGGGATTACTATGGAGTCATCCAACTCCATACCACCCATGTAGATTGGTGGTCTACTCCCCTCTGTTATTAATTCTCAGTCATGGTTTGACATCACTGGGTTTTTGAACTTTGGCCAGTGAACACATCTCGGAGTGGACCCGAAAAAACTACATTTTTCCACACTTTTGTGGATTGGTCTCTGGGGAATACGTGTCGCTTTTTCGTGTCGCGACCATTGACCATTAACCATTGGTTTAACCATCATTAACCATTAATAACCAGTAATAATAACCATTGGCCATCATTAACCATTAATAATTAATAACCACTATTATTAGCCATCATTATTAACCATTATAATAACCATTAACCGGGCCCCGTTAAGCCATTGACCATTGACCATTCCCGGGCCTACACCAGGTGCATCCATGGTTGGCCGAATCCAATGGCTTCCCAGCCTACCATTGGAAGCTGCTGCGGGAATACACCAAGTACTGCAAGGTCATTGCGACGGTGGATAGCAAGGCAGGTGGAGAAGCTGCGGATCGCAGGAACGTACGAACGTCGAATGGTGAATTTAGAGATGGTGTCTGTTTATTGTTCATTACGGTTCCTATCATTGTTTTTGTTGATGTGTTTTTGTTGTATCATCATCATCATCATCATCAGAAAACCACCAAAAAACAACAACAACAGCAACAGCAACAACAACAACAACAGCAACAGCAACAACAACAACAGCAACAACAACAACAACAACAGCAACAGCAACAGCAACAGCAACAGCAACAACAACAACAGCAACAACACATCACTGGTCCCCTTCCGCTCCTTTTTGTGTGCTTCGTGGCACCCGTGGAACCCGTGGTGTCTCCCCAGCGCAGGATACCTACCAGACGGCAGAGCTGATCCGCAACTGCTGCCCGGACGTGGAGATCCGAGAAGTGCAGCCCGATGCCGAGAAGTGCCTACTGGGGTAGAAGATGGTAACAGGATTTATGCACCGAATTCATGGAAGAATATGATAATTGTATATAATTGTATGATATTACCATTATTTAATTTATTGTTCTTATTGTTATAATATTATTATTATTATTAATGTCCATGATATACCTAATCTACCCTAATCTAGTAATGACATATAGTAAATATCCAAAAACGTATTTCATATATTACCCATTGAAGTCACTTGTGCCGCAATGGCTTTCCTTCCCGAGGTCTCCCAAAGATTTCCAGGAGCTGCTTCTGGGTTCCGCGGTCTATGTCGGCGTAGGCCCGGGAGCCGGTCCAAAGGAGAGCCCAGGGTCATGGGTCATTGCTACTAGTAGAGAACAACCAATATGACATCATTATGACAACCCAAAAAAAAAGACAGAAAAAAAACAAACAAAACAGTGAAATCCTATACTAAAACAGTGGCAAAAGTACTAGACTCTATCTTTTTACGGGGTTGCTGTATAGAAAATAGATGAACATAGGCCGGGATGTGATTTTCATAGGGACAAAATCAGATCCACTGCACAAGTCGTCAAGTTGGTACCCTCAAATGGGATGATCATTGCCATAACCCACGGGCTGCTGTTGATTGGTTGATGAATCTGTTGGTTGAATTATCATAATTCAACCAGCTGCTGATGCTTAGTTAAGGCTTAGCGTCTTGCAGTAAATATACTTGCGTTGCATCAACTGACTGTCATGACTTGACATGCCATGCAAGACTGTGGCTCTTCCAGTGCCAGAGTTGCAGAGCCTCTTGAGATACGACGAGAAGAGGATGACTTACTTGGCAAAGTGCTGATAAAATGCTGATTCCGAGATTGCTGGAATCAATGTTCGCATTCTTGTTCGCATTTCCTCGCAGAATTTCAGAAAATAACCAGCATTGTCAGGAAATTTGGGTCTACAGCCTTTTTTCAACGTTCGCAACCGTCGTCCCATTGAATGGATTGCAGCCTGATGGCGGAGAACGAGAACGATGAGCCAAGTCTGTGTCAGGAGTTCATCGCAAATTTGAGTGACGCTGGGTACAGCTAAAATGGCCACTCTAGGGGGGCTTGAAGTACTCATTCACTAGTTGCATGTCGTTGCTACGGATTCTTCTTTTGCAGTTGTCATTTTCTGGGGTTACGTGTGATCATGTACAAAGATGTACAAAGCACTTTGTCATGTCGGCGCGTCCACTATCATGCTACCTGGAGTGGTAACCCCTTAGTCTTTTTAGCACAGATCACCTTCAAATGTGCCGTTGAAACAGGCTGTGGAGGGGCTCTGTGGCGTTGATCATCGGGAGATGAATCCCCTAGAATGCTTGGACGTGCATCCGATTTAGTACTAGATTAGGAACCCCTTTGCTGTATACCAAAAAACAACAATGGCTTGAATATGGCTATCAATTACTCATCAACTGGGATACACCAAGTGCTTTGCAAATCACTTATCGCTATCCAAGGACAGCCAAAAACACGAACTAGTTGGCCGAGCACTTCTGGAGCAGAGCAGTGAAGAGTGGCAAAAGATCTTTGAGGCAATTGCTCTAAAACGTTGCGATGACCGCACCATTCGTTTTCGCGCGCCTTGCCCGTGTACGATTTTTCCAAAAAACTTTGTTCATGTTTTTTCTATATGGTTTTATGACATAGAATATCTATGAATATCTCCAGTGAATATCACCATTCATAGTTGATTTTCCGATGTTTTTCTTCATCACTTCAATCCCTCCATTTGGAGCGGGTCATCCAAGGAGATGTCAGGAAAAGAAACCGAGCTGAAGCTGGATCCCTTCGAAAGGCCAATCCCCGAATCAATGTGGGTGAAATGACACGAAAAACACATCATTAAAGATAGACTATCAAAAGCACTAGCATTCTCATGTTTGGAACGGTGAAATGGATTTTTCAATGGTAGTTTACGGTGAAACACTGTTTTCAACGCCCCTTATCCATCCTCTTGCTATGTCATTGCTTGGCACATCATCGAAGTCACCCCCCATGGTCGCCAGGCTGAGCAGCATCCAGCGGCAGTTGGCCGAGCAGATGCCGCCCTGCGGCGAGGGCATGCGCCGCGCGGTGAAGTGTTTGCACGGCAGTCAGATGCTCTCGGAGGATACGATTGCGGCCATGTTGCCTGAGGAGGTGGGAGGATGTGGAAGAGATGGGGGATGGAAAAATGTTTTTTTTCCATGGGATTGAAACATGGGATCTATAAGATTTTGAGTGGGATGTGGTGAATTACTGGGATTTTAATGAGATTCAATGGGGTTTAATGGGATTTTATCATATTTTATCCACAAAGAAAGTATGGGGATTTGATGGGATTTTCCCCTACTAGGGATGTTTGACCGACAGAGATGTCCCACCAGACTTGGCTAAGTCGCCGACATGGGAGTGGTGTCCCCAAGTATCCAAGCGGGTTGAGAATAGCAAGCTTGATTATGCTGGAACTGCTGTTTTGGACATATTTCAAGCTTCTACTTGATGTTGCTACTATATACATTGATTTTGCAATATTTTGCATATGTTTGCCATCTTATATCTTGGAGATTCCAAGTTGGACCATTGACTTGAACTTCAACAAAAAGCTGAACGATGTGGTGCCATTAACCGGCCAGGTGAACATCGTTTGCAGTGAAGAACCTGAGTCGCCTCCAACATCGGAGTATACAGATACAGATTCTTATGGATCTTCCTTACCTGGCAGCCTGTTTGAGTGACATCCAAGATGCCACTCAGGATGCCGGGCCGAACAGGGGGCCATCGTTCTGCATTGTACATAGGCCGCACGCCGCACAGCCGAGGGAAAGAAAAGGATGCCGTGCCCATGAACTTGGATCTGCAAGCGAGATCAGTCAAACTGGGTTCATACCGTCATAATTTTGTTCAACTGGTAGTTGTAACCCTTATTTACCGTGTTTACATAATCCACAAATGATCCACGGATTTCGGTCTTGTGATTATTATACTCATTTCATGAATTATTCCATGGAATATGCCATTATTATTATTGTTCTCACTACTGGTATACTAATCATGGATTATGTCAATAATAACCACGGATTCATCATAATAATCGTATATAATATTCATGGATTGTTATGAAATATTATGTAAAATAACCGTGAATAATCCATCATAATAACCATAATATAACCATGGTTAATTCATCATCATAAACTTCAATAACCATATAATAATCACAGGATAGCCATGGATTGACAGCTCAGTTCTCCAGCTGGGTCTGGCAGGTGAACCGCTGATCGCTCCGTCCTGTTTCGAAGCTTTGAGCTTGGGCACACATGTGCGGGCCCCGGGCAGGAAGCATTTTTTGCAGGCCACCCGTCAATGAAAATGCTTAGTTTTTGCTATGTGTTTGCCATGTTTTATTGCTATGAGTTGGGTTTTTAAGGTGTTGTAAGGTCAATTGGGTTCCACTTCACCTGAGGGATGTGTGTATTCAAAAGATCCCCATGTATTGTGAGGTTGTACAGCCACGCTTCCCCGAGCCTCGACAGTTGTAAGGGCCTCAATTTCTGGCAGTTTTGGTTGAAGGGCACCCTTCAGGGTTCTTGGTTCCACGGTTTTCTGGGACCTCCTGATTCGATCATATCTGATGTTTGGGCCTCTAATTTCCGATATGGGGTAATGAAGCACATTAAAACAAATTAACACAAATTAACCATTGACTAATTGGGATGCACAACGCCCGATCTGCTGTGCCACATCCCTGAAAAGGATCATCCTGACACCCCTTACGCCCAGGAAGAACAAACCCATCACGCAGAATTGGACGTCTCAACATCCTTTCCTGGAGCAGGTGACTTGGTCCTTGTGGCACTGGCACCAGCAAAAGGGGGTATGCAGGTGAATCATCCCCATCCAAAATACCCTCTGGGAATTCAACATAGCTATTGAAAATGGTGATTTATAGTGACATTTCCCATTAAACATGGTGATTTTCCATAGTTTTGTAAACGTTTACCAGAGGGTAACCATGTCACATTGGTATCCCATGCCACATTGGTATCCCATGGTCCAAAAAAATGCCCATCAGTGCGGAGGTACCCGAGCCCTACGCCTTTACCGTTGATCCTCTTGACTTTGAGGCGCGGATGGCAATTGCTATAGAAATCCACTACTGAATCATCAGATTACATCAGATTCACCATGTTTTAATGGTCATTCTTGGGAGGTATGCCCTTTTTTTTCAGCCACACCCTGGTCGTGCAACTGTCCTTTTTTAGTGTTTGAACTCTCCTGCATGGTGATTTATGATGGCCACCACTTGAAAATGCAAAATCCAGCCTCATGTCTTCCCGTCTATCCTTTTGTGGTCTGCAATGCATAAATCTGACCAATAACTTTTCTGCCGGCTCAACCTAGCCATGGGCTTTTCGATTGCTTTTCTCAGAATGAGGGTCGCATAAATCAGCCAGATAGGTTCAAATATGTTGTACCTGAGAAGCCTTGGTTTTGTGATGCCAATCAGCACCGCTGATTGGAAGCCTTGCTCTGTCACGGCCCAGGGCCCAAATCATGATTGGCACAGGCACTTGCAACCACCTTTCGCACCCTGCGACATGCCTTTGACTCCATCTACACAGAGGAAACGGAACCCCCCGACACCTTCGGGGCGCGTGATTAATGTGGGGTGATTTCCCCTGGAGATCCGATCTCAAGGTGTTTGGGATTTCCTACATAGGGCTGGGTTTTTTGTTTGGAGATGTTTGGAGATGTTTGGATCGTTTGCACACGATCCAAAACCTGGATCATGCATGATTTTTGATGGTCCTTTGAGACTGGGTTATAAGTTATTATAATTATAACCTTTGAACTGCGCATCCCGTTCTTAGTCCACCGGGATAATTCAGTACACTGGAATGACAGAAGGTTTTGTACACTGCTCAATTGATTGCAGACATTCATCAATACTGATATTAATGATATTACTTGTATTTCTAGGACAAAGATATACATATAGATATACACATGCTTTTTTGAGTGATTCTTTGGTGATGATTTTACCATGGATTTTCCCATGCTTCGACCATCTAGGACAATGATATTGCGGTTGATGTTGGGCCTCAAAGATGCCAGGAAAGACCTGTTAGCTTCACTGATAAGGCGCGGGCGGTTGGGGTATCCACAGTCCCCATGACATGGGGAGCCAAGCAATTATTTGCGATGAGTTTGCCAACCACACAATAGACATCAATAGACTATGATGGATAATTTCAAGTTAACTTATATATAGTTATATTATTTATGTTGATAGATAATTACTCCCAACCACATGATAGATAATTACTCCCAACCATATTCTGATAGATAATTTACCCTCTGGTAATTTAACATAGCTATTGAAAATGGCCCATTTATAGTGGATTTTCCCATTAATACCTCCATTTATAAGGGATTTTCCATGGCTATGTTAAATAACCAGATGGTAAATTTTATTGATCATGTTTGCAGACTCAGCAGTTGTTGCGTCCGGCCGCCAGGCACTGCGCGAGTTTTATATGTCCGGTGAATACCCTGGGAGGCATGGCGTTGCTTCAAAACCGCCGGGGTTCGGTCGAAGTTGGGACCCTTTTTGAACCGTTAGGAGGTTCGATGGATATTCAAAGCATCAATAAGTGGGGCATAAACCATGAATAAACCATGAATCACTGGAAAATCATTAGGGAATAGCGGAAGAGTGGGGAAAATTGTTAGTGTGATTCCTGGAGACTTGACCAAGACGGGTATGAGATGGGGATGATATGAGGATTGTCCGATGGTTGTTGGAAAATCATCGATCCTGCTACAACTCAGTGCATCAACCATGAACCTTGCATCGGTTTCGATGGACATTTCAGACTTTGCCCTGGCAGATGTATATTCAATGTTGATCAATACTGTGACTCTTGCATTTCATACCCAGTGCCAAAAGACCCATATGGGTGAGAGTCAAAACAATTCAAAACTGCAATAGTGAATGAAATTGCATCGTTTCCCAGATCTCCCCTATGGATCAAAACTACATGACCGGCCAACTTCGGGTGGAAAAAGCTGCCAGGGAAGAGTTCTCAATCAGCGGCTTCCTGAAACGTGTTGCTGGCACCGTCACTAAAACGAGGACACGCTAGAAAAAAACTGTCCCAGAATTTGGGTGAAAATTGGGTACCCCAATAATTGGATGGTAGATATACTAAAAACATCTAAAATCATCTAAAATCTGTGGCCCAGGTCTTAATTTTGACCCATACCCATTTGTTTATGAAAAAAAAAATGTGCGAGTTGCTCTCCATTCGATGGCAACCATGGTATCCCTGTACTGATACTGCTTATACTTTTTCTCTTGAGCCGATTCATTGATCAATGGATTGGTTTAAGGGAAAATTTACAGGAAAACACCATATTTAATGGGAAAATCTATGGTTTCCTGTAGATTTTCCCTTAAACCAATCCATTGAATTGAATGTTAGAGATGAAACACATGATTGGCCAGATCCTTATTGCTCCTCACGATCGCGGCTGGTTTTTTTTTCATCTATAGACGAAACTGAGGATCATGCATGTCAAAAAAACTTTTTGATGAAGAATCTATAGCTAAACATGGTTCAAGCCCCTTTTTTGCTGCAGGAAAATCCACACCCGAACTGAGTCGATTTGTTTCTTCCAATTCCCATTGAAGTCCCGTCTCGCAGGACGCTGGACGCTGCAGATTGGGATTGGGAACGGGGAGACCACCCGCAGCAGGGAGCCTCGGAGATCGGCAACGGTTCGCAGGATTGGGGTAGTGCATGGGTCATTAAATGTCCCCATGGGTCACATCACCCAACCATGAATGGTATATGGTCAATGCCATGGCTACTTTTTCAGGTGATGTCCAATATTCCCAAAATGGGACAGGCAAACCAACCCCTGGGTAGAGTGTGTCAGCTGCACAGATCAGAATTTTAATTTGTGAAGGGTGATCTCTAGTTTTCACACGAATGATGAGGATATGGTTTCCTCAACAGTGTCATCGTGTTGTCTCAAAGTTTGAAGGCCCCCATCCCATGTGTTACCCTTCAATAGAACCATCGAAAATCACCAGTTTCAGAGGTAAATCCTCTACACATGGGTATGGGTCAAAATTAGGTACCCCAATAATTGGATGGTTAATACTAAACTAGACTAACATCTGTGGTCCCACATCGGTCTTCCATTTTGACCCACATCCACATGAGCCATCTATACCATAATTCTGTTGCATAACCGGATTGAGGTACCCCTTGGACCCCTGTTTTTTTTACCCCGGCTCCCATTGCCTCGGCGGTCGAGGCAACTGCCCTTGAGGGCTTTCAAAAAGTGAGATCCGAGGTTTGCCGCAGCGGGCCATCCAAAGTTTGGGTAGAAACTAGTAGAAACATTGATAAATCATGATACATCACATCTTTTTGGGATAGTTTATGATTGTAGATTCCCCATATAGTTGGGATATGTTGGGATATCTTTGGGCATGCCATAGCAAAAACTTTGATGCTTTCAGGTATGCATGGCTCATGCATTCTGTTTTGTATCCCTACTTGGGTTGACGAACGCTAGTTTCACAATACTCGCTCAAGTGGGTTGACACCATAAACCAGTTGAGTTTTGACTGCAAGTGTGCTAGTTGGTGCCTTCAAAGGGTGTTATGCTGGGCCATATTCAAGGTGACTTGTTACGGGTAATCAATTGATGTATAGAGTATAGATAGGTGCAGATACTGTGGCCTTACGTGGCAAATTGATTTTCAGAAAAGAACATGTCTACAATCCCAAACCCAGGGGTCGACCTGGCCAACGTGGATGACCACTCTGATTTGGCCCGTGGTAGCTGAACATTGGCACAGAAAACTC